CATCAGCCAGCCGAGGGCAATCAGCCCCAAAGCATTACCTTGGGTGACGTTCCAGTTCACATAGGCTGCTCCTGCGCCAATCATAGTCCCGAGGAACCTAGCCCAACCAGTAGTGTTGGCTGCGCCCACGGTCATGGAACAGACGATCATGAACGAGAGGAAGCCCCATTCGCCTCGCCAGTGCTGGTAGACGTCTCTCGTCTGGGGAATGAAGGCATTCATGGCCCATAGGATGGCACCGATACCGACCTTGAGACCGAAGCGAACATCGTCTCTGGCAAGCCTCCTCATAAACCGAAGCAGTTTTTGAGACAGCGTCGCCACGACCCTACTCGACTGGCTTTTGGCTGCCTCCCAGTTATACGTGTCCCTTCGTTGGACCATGGAATCAGGGATGCCCTTTGGGATGGCTGTCTTCTTGATCGGCCTGATCAAGCCCTCTTGCTCCTCCGGCACCTGGTTGTATGGCAGGGCAGGAAAGAACCGACTATGGTGATGTTTGCTCCTCCACCAGACAAGCCAGTGCCAGCTACGCCTTTTGAATTGGCTCTCATGCTTCAGGTCATCCAGCACGTCCAGATACTTTTGCATCTCCTCGGCAAAGGATTGCAAGCTGAAACTGAAGTGACCGCACGCCGCCGCAACTTCTTCAAAATCAGCTTGTATCTGTTCCGATCTCGTCCGATCCATCTCGAGGTGCTTGTACAACTCATGGAGGGCCTTAGCTCTCGCATCGTTGAAGAGACCCAGAGCATCAGTCAGACTCTGGCGGAACTGGTCATTAATCATGATTTCGTACTTTGGGGCAGATCCAAAAGGCGGATCACGAAGCACTTCGGAGAGCGTATAGGCCAGTGACTTCATGGAAGGCCCCAAGAGCGCAATAAAAAGCTCGAAAATTTCTCCAGAGTTGCGGAATGAGGGTACAGTCGACACATCAGAGCGGCGTGTATCGCTTTCAGGTGGAACTCTATCATCATCATCATCGCCTTCGTCAGATGCCTCTCGGATAGCTTGCAAGACAAGTGACCGGTCTTTGCCACTTTTGAGAATAGTGGATGCCGCCCGCTGCATCCTGGGTGACAAGGGCGGCTGATCGGCCTGTTCGAACGACTCCTTCAGTAGGGCAAACTGTGTATTAGCTGCGCTTCTGAGTCCGCCAATTGACTGAGCGAGGGTCTCCATGGACTTGACCACCGCTCTATCAAGCTGGTATATCTTTTCCTGGCCTAGAAAGTACCGCTCGAACTTTGCCTCACGCAGATTCTTGGTCAGTTGCGGGTAAGCCGACTGGTACGCAGCTGATGCGGCATTGAACTCTTTGGAAAGAAGCTCATCTTCGGCTCCACTGAGGAAACCATGAGTGATCATAGCAAGCATATCTCCCAGAGCAGTGGAGGTCTTGGTCATGGACTGTCGGAGTAAGTGTACGGCAGAAACACGCCACACAAGTAGATTGACCACGGTAGTGGTGGTGATGCCCATGGCGAGCATCTTGAGGATTTGTATAATCTTTTGGTTGGAGAAGACGCTGGTAAGCACAGCCGTCTCCTTGGTGACAACACCAATGATGGCAAGCGAGGCCAAGGTAGAGCCCACATTGACCAGCGGGTTGTTCATGGTCTGCTTAAGCCAGCCGATGAAGCCAAACCCGCCACCAATGAAGACGACCAGAACCAGGGTGTGGGCCAGAGCAGGATTGCCCCAAACATTGCCAAAGAGAACCGAGGTGCACATGGACAGGATGGACACCACCTGCGCGTAAGCCACGGCAACGATAGCAATGAGAATAGCCTCTATCATGGAGCCAGCGGACCTCGCCGGGTGGAAATAGACCGTGATGGTCGCGACTACATGCTTGCCGTCCGGTTTGCCGAGGAAGTCGGAAATCGGGGCCAAGAAGGTGGCTAGACTGGCAATCGTGTAGGCCAGAGTACACTTGAGCACTCCTCGGCCGGTGGGGGAGTTCAGCCACTGAAAGCCTCGGACCACGCCGGCTCGCAGGTTATGCGCCACGGCATGGGAGCGTTCTGAGAGGGACTGCTGGTCCGAGAAGACGGGTAGTATGGCCGTGTTCGCGGAGGTGCCATTTCCGTTGAGAGCAGCCTGGACGCTTCTCCTCCGCAGTGGCAGCCGAAGAGTAAAGGTGCGCCGAAATCGCTCGCCTGTCGAAGGTTCAATGAAGGTACCAACGCGCAGTTTCTGTATTTCCGAGACCTGTCAGAGCCGCAGACGGGATATAACATGTGTATGCAGAAAGAAGGGGAGAAAAAAAGAGCCAAAAAAAAAAAAAAAAAAAAAAAAAAAAGGCGGAACAAACGCTTCTCTTAGAGACCCTGCGACCGGCAGGAGGACCCTGAGGATAAGGTGCCATATTGTTTGACGGAGACAAGACACGATGATGATGACACAGGAGCTCTCAAGGAGACTCTCTCTCTCAAGTTGGTTTGCGCTCCCGATTCAAATTCTTAAAGCGCATATTCGGCGCTGTCTTTTGTTCGGTTGAGCCCACCGAAGCAGGGGAAACAGATACAATTAGAGGAGGCAAGTACTTGGAGGGAGTGCGATAGGTGTAGGTATGGATTCTTGGGGAGAAGTCAATGAAAACAAGGAGTAATAAAGGTATTGCGACGTTGAAGATGAAGGCGGCGACTCGCGCCCATGAGGAGTTGAAGTTGATTGGTTGAAGAAGCTAAAGTGAAGCAGCTCATGACCCGTTCCGGCGCCATTCAGCGGTTGGGTAAGCTTGTCCGTCCCGCCGCTGCTCATTCGCACTTGCCATACTTGTTGCCATGTCGTGTGGGTGTGAAGCAGGCAACTTGAACTGGAAGACATCGAGCACTTGCTTCATGTCTTGAACCATCATATGGAAGGGAATGATCTGAAGTCCGGAGCTGGAGTTAAGGTAGTCCATCATTCATTTGTTGGATTATAATGTATTCCTGTAACCTTCTCGCCCCTTATCATCAGCTTCAAGTTTCGGATGACGTCCTACGCTACAGTTCTGAAAAGTAAATAAAATGTAAACCTAACCGAAACAAGTACTTTCCTTACTTGACAGCGGGGTTCTTGGCGGTGAAGCGGGGGGTGGTGAACTTCGAGCTGTTAACAATTGTTATAGGTGGTAATGCCGCTGTAGTGTAATGATAACGTATCGGCGATAAGTCATCGCCAAACACTGACAATGGAACTTGAGAACCAAACATCACTGGTGCCCGCCGATTATCACGACTTTCTAGTCTTGGCGCCTCAGCCGCAAATAAACAACGCCAAGAGCTCATAGAAACAGACTCAGGATTGACTGACTGGCTTGAAATCCCAATACCTAGGCCACCTTCTTGGGGTACTCACATCCCACTCAGCAAAACCACCACCGAAGAATTCCGGGCAATCGCCTTCTTATGCGTCGGACACTTCTCATGATGAGCAGCATTACTAACAACACTTCGAAACGGTTCTTTGCGCCGCTGAAAGAGCCCTTCACGGCGGCGGGCTCTCAATTGCGCAAGCTGGAGGGCGTGGTCTTTGATATGGACGGGACATTATGGTGTGTTTTTTTTGTGTCAAAATCAGCTAATGAAATCTCACTTTCACCTTGACGAGCTAGGTCGAGTGAAGAGTCATTCATTCATTCATATACACACAACCACCACCATCACATCCCCGCCGTTTATTCTATTCTAGTCCTTCTATTCTAGTCCTCCATACTAACACATCCCCCCAAGCGAACCCCAAACCTACATGTTCGCACTCATGCGCTCCGCCCTCTCCATCCCCAAGTCCACCGACATCCTCGACCACATCTACTCCCTCCCCACCCCCTCCGCCCAAGCCACCGCCATGGAATCCATCCGGTCTATCGAGCGCGAAGCCATGGTCACCCAAGTCGCCCAGCCGGGTCTGGTGACGCTCATGTCCTACCTCGACGCACGCGGGATCCGCAAGGGCATCTGCACCCGCAACTTTGACGCGCCCGTGAACAACCTGATCGAAAAGTTCCTGGCCGGGTCCGTCTTCCACCCAATCGTGACCAGGGAGTTTCGCCCGCCGAAACCGGATCCGGCGGGTATCTTGCACATTGCCAAGGCGTGGGGGCTGGCGAGACGGGCGGGAGCGGGGGAGAGCGGTGTGCCGGAGGTGGGCGAGGAGGAGCATGAGAGTGCTGCTGCTGCTGCTGCTGCTGCTGCTGCTGGGACGGAGACGACGACGACGACGAATGGCGCAAGTACAGAAGAGGGTCTGAAAAAGACAGAGGAAGGGGAGTGGGTGGCGGATGCGAGTGGGCTGATTATGGTGGGGGATAGTATCGATGATATGACGGCTGGACGGAGGGCGGGGGCCAAGACCGTCTTGTTGGTTAATGATGTGAATAGGCACTTGGTGGATCATGAGCATACGGATTTGGTGATTGAGAGGTTGGATCAGTTGGTTGACGTTTTGGAGGAGGGGTTGTTGTAACGGTGAATGGGGAGAATCCGAGAATCGAGTTTCACTAGCGAGAAGAAAAGGTTGAGAGGAGAGATGACGGATGATATCCAGACGAAACAACAGTTCTTTGTATTCAGTTGTTTTGCTTGGATGTCTCACAACAAATGACTTCTTGCGCCCACTGATACACCTAGATACCCATCATAGACAGTACTCATTCTCTGAACAAATGCAAAACGGACAAGACATGGTTCCCATCCTGAGAAAGATCAGATTTTAGATGCAAACTCGGAGTTTCTCACACATACACTTTTCCTTCAAATCAAGCACCATCAACCCACCATCTCCCCCGTTCCCTTGTACTCAGTCAACCCAATTCCCACTCATGATGGCCATAACCATAGCTACCCATTTGACAGAGACCCAACGTTCTGCTTAACAAAATGCCATTGTCGTACCACTGAGGTGAGCCAGCACCGTCAGGGCAGACCCGCTGATTGTTCGAATGACTATCTTCACCAAACCGGTGGTCTTGAGGCGCGTGTAGAAAAGTGACATCGAACGCAGTCTGGGAAGGTCAACGTGTATATGCAAAACAAAGGGGGGTAAACGGGCAAAGCGGAGCTGCAAAAGAAAGGGGGAGGGGTTGAGTATTATTTATGCAAAGAAACATCCTCTCATAATCCATCATATGCAACACTCAACTCAAAATCGGCCAGTTGGAGGCTGCATTGCGGCTTGCCGGCGACTTTCCCTCTGCAGTTCCTCTGCTGTCAACTGTCTTCGTGGGGGCGGCGGCGGCATCGGCTGGCCCGGAGGCCCCGGTCGGATGGGTAGGGCGAAGCCCGATCGGCTCGAGGACGAGGAACTGGTATACGAATGGCCGGTTGACATGGAGGGCCTCTTTTCGAACGGAGGAGGAGGAGGAGCCTGCTGCGGGTACCTGGGCTGAGAGCCAGTCGTAGCTGCTCGGCTCCCTAGTCCCGGATGTACAGACGGTCCACCTGTGCGGCCAGCGCTGCCTGTTCGGCTGCTTGGCGGGGGTCGGGTTGGTACGCTTCCATGTTGATCACGAGGTGACACCATAGTCCCCAGAATCGGAATCTCACCTGAAGTGGGTGTAGGTTCATCGCTGGACCTTAGAAAATCGTGCGACGACGGAGAGAGTTGTGGTTGCAGATGAGACTTGCGGTTGTCCCGGTCCATCAAGCTGCAGGCCCACTCTCTCAGGTCGACTGGGGTTCTCTTCGCCGCTTGTACAAAGGGATCGCGGTCCTGGGTTTGGTGTCAGTAACTCTATGGCCGCAGTAAAGTAAAAAGAACAACTTACAAAGAGCTCTTGAGGCGTCGGCCGCCTCTCGGGTTCCTTGTAAAGACACTTCTGGATCATATCCTCAAGGATTTGTGGGAAAGCATCGCTCTTGGGTAGCTTCGGTGCTGGCTCGTGAACAATTTGTTGGAGAAGGTCGAGAATACCGGCGGGAGCATTTTCAGCATCATCCCCAAGCTGATCACTGGCGAACGGGAACTTGCCAATCGCCAACTCCATGACAGTCAAGCCGAAACTCCACACATCAGACTTGACTGTGTACTTGTCGCCCTGGATTCTTTCGGGAGCCATGTAGGTGGATGTACCCACAAAGGTGTCGGCGACAGAGTTGACTAGCTCTCCGGAAACACCGAAATCGCAAAGCTTGATGTGGCCCTTTGAGTTGACGAGGATGTTGGAGGGCTTGATGTCTCTGTGCATGATGTGGTGTTTGGAGTAGAGGTATGTGAGACCGCCGAGGGTAGCTTCCGCAATCTTTCCGAGGACATCAACGCGGACTGGACCGAAGACACGGGAGATACGGTCGAGCGAGCTACACAACCAAGGTCAGTCAGTCTCCACTGCGCAAAGAAGAACATGCGGTCCAAGAGGCAACATACCCAACATCCATGTACTCCATGCACATAATCACATCGTTGTGCTCGTTAAGGAAGGCGCCATAGAAGGTGACAATGTACTCGGAATGGCAGCCGTGCATGATCTGAAGCTCGCGGACGATACGCTTGCGCATCTCCTTCTTGGCCTCAACATGGATAACCTGCCCATCGATGCTTTGTTAGCGGAGCTTACAACGGCGAAGCTTGGAAACCTTGGCTTGTCCAACATACCTTGCGAGCCATAACTGTATTTGTCGGGATATGCCTGACTTTGCTGACTGTGCCTCCGTTTCCAGCTCCCAACTCTTTGATGAGGTCCAGATCTTCGGGCCTGAGGTCCAGGTTGAACTCGATGCCGATCTCTAGCTGGGCGTTGTTGTCGTCGTCTTTATCCTTGTAAAAGGTCTCGGCCGTCGGCGGGGGCTTGGGAGCGGCAGGAGCCAAGGCAAGACCTTTGACGTTCTTGCGCTTCATGGAGCGCGGGGCAAATGGGTCGGCCATGCTGTCTGTTTAAGCGTAGTCGGGTACGCTTCTTCTGTTGCGGTTTTGTCTGGAGAGAGTCGCAAGTCCTGGCGCTCTCGTTCTTCTGTCTTGGATGTCTTGACAAGTCGAGGACTGGAGGTGGGAGGAGGCGATCAGATATAGAAGCCTGATGCGATGCGATACGCCACTCGTACGGAGATGAGATGTGGATTCCGAGGTCGACAACCGTCAGGCCGGAATGCCAGTGCTGGGGATTGGGTATTTGTTATTGTTAAATCAACCCAAGGCCAAGGTAGAAGAAAGCAGCCGAGCGGGAAGGCGATCGATTCGAAACTAACTGTCGTAAAACCAAAAGCAATGTAAAAAGGGGGCCAAGGGTCTGCGGTTGGTGATGATGATAACCCTTTGATGCCGTCGTCCAGTATCCCAGTCCCACAAACGCGCTATCAGCTGAAGGAGAAAGAAGACTGGACACTAAATCGCAAAGACAAACCGCTTTTGGCGGGGATTTATTCGAAGAGGGGAAGCCTTAGTCCAGGCGGTGAAGAAGACACCAAGTCGAGGGAACAGGCCAATGTTTTTTAGGGTGGAAAGAGGTTGAAAGTTGTATGGTAGAGAGAGGTGGTAATAACGCTGGGTCCCGTCAGGTCTCGCCGTTGTTCTGTCCGGTCACAGTCCCAAGGTGGGGTCTGGTTGTGATGAGAAGAGGGAACCCGACGGGAGCTCAAGAGGGGGAGCACCTCAACATGGAGACGGAGAGTGTGAGAGCACCGAAAACGGTAGCATCTAGTCAAAGCGTGCAATAGACCATTACAGTGATTTTCCAAGCTTCAATCATGTTTCTTTACCCTGTGAAATTACGAGGAATTGAAACAGGAACAAGTTGTTAGCGCAAATGTCAGTACCTAGGTACTGAAGAAAGCTGTTACTGTAACGTATCTTGGCAGCACCAAGTATTGAAGAATGTCCCACTTGACCGATAGGGAAGACGGGGACCCCAAAGCTAATGAAGAGAAAAGAACGGCACTATTGACGAAAGACAACACCCATTCCACTTGACAAGATGAGTAGGTAGGTGGCCAGGTCCCGTGTGAATGATGGTATCTTTCTGGGCCCAATAAAGGGGTAATTATTGTAGAGGAAGTTGCACTCACTACCCTACAGTTTTCGTGTTGAGCACGGCCGGCAATAGTGCTTACCACTAGCACAGTGGTGTATAGCGGTGCTCACTAACTCCGTCACGCACTACCACCCACAACATTCCACACACTAGAGATACCTAGCGAGGTAGGTCTCAGCCCAAGGACAACCAAAGGAGGGGCGATCCAGAGGTACCTCGTTGGTTCCTGAGGGCAAGCACAAGGTTTGCTGGTGATGGGAAGAGCTTGGCACTGGTGGGTCTGATATACTTAAGTTACATGTAACACCAGTACTTCATTGTAAACAAGACATGGCTTTCTTATAACGCACTATTCTTCTTCTGATATCTGTAACTTCAACAGTGGCGCCACTATGTGAGGCAAAGAAGTCGAGAGGAACCTGTGATTTGAGTTGCAGAAAACGGGATGGTGTTTGTTACATTCGGTTCTGGAACTGGGGACGGCACACCGTAGTGGGGGGGAAATACAGTGCGGACTCTGAGAGAGGTCCGGACGAAGCTATTCCCAGGCTCACCAGGTACGTAGCCATACTTATAAATAGACGGTGCCATCCTGCGCACAGCCTATCTCCAGTGGAACCTGTGAAGCTCTTGTAGCTCGCTTACAGGCAAGAGATGAAGAAACTCTCTGGCACGCACCAGCAGAACAAAGAAAAGTACCAACATGCCAATGACAGGACAATCTTCAACTCAAGTCTAACCGCAGCACAGCAAGCACAGTGCACGTCATGTTCGTACAACCCCAGAGCTCTCAAGAAGCGCGCCATGAGATGTCGAATCAAGCAAAATCCTGCTGTGATTGGGCATGACCAGAACCAACAGTCGGCTGTGATCCGGATGATGCCAGGGACTTGTTCGAGATATGCGTGCCACATGGTGGGTCTAAGCGCGGATGGCTGGGGATCATGACCCCGAAGAACATCTGAAACCAAAGATGCTCGGTTCTACTCAAGTGGTGAGTTCCGTGATGCAGGGCATGAACGTCCCTCAGATATAGTTTAGCCATGCGGACCCCAGAGTTCAAGCATGGGTGAGATGTTCGCAGGACGACGACTGAACTTTGCATAAACATGCCCAGTGTGCTCAACATCATAGTCAAAGCTTCCGTTGCTAGCTCCCCTCGAGGGCATGGATCGTGTCGATTGGTGTCGATTGGTGTCTGTACACGGCACCATATGCTCCTGTGTGCACTTTACCATATTGTGTTTTTTTTTTTTTTTTTTTTTTTTTTTTTTTTTTTTTTTTGTTTTTGTTTTTTGTTCTCCTGACAGATGAACTCCAGACTGCTTGGTTGTCAAGGTGTATGGTTGTGACGGTCCGAGACTGGTCTGACAAAATCCGTGAACTGTCCTCACATGAGCTGAAATGCCATTGTGACATCCTCGTGAGCAGAACGACAAGCATAGTAAAAAATCCCATCACACAACATAAGAACTCGGGACAAGTTGGTGATGGCTGCTCGTCGTTCGATGTTGACGATATGCACGGGCCAAGCCATGTGTTGTTTCTGTCCCAAGTCATTCAACTTGACACTGACACTTCAAGTTCGTTCAGTTCAATTCTAAGTACGTACGGCCTGGGCCTTGGCGAGGCTGAACGCGTTATGTGGCGCGTGGCGTAAAAAGTTCAGTTGGAGGGTACCAGGGTACGTACAGGGGCGGGTGGCCGGGCCTTGCTTGGCCCGCCGTCTCGCTCCGACCAAAAATTCGGGTCTACGCAGTAAGTACCTCTACACTACCTTACCTATTGACGTGCGTGCACCGACCGACGTGACCTGGCGGCAGGCGACCACCTCACTAGGAGCGACCAGCACGGCCAGAAAGGTTCAGGGCAGTCGCGGTCAACTCAGACCTCCCTCAATTGCTAATCACTTCTTTTTCACCAAACGAGCTCGCTCTGCACCCAACTTCCTCCTGTATTCTTCTTTTCTCTTTCATCAGCACCCTAAGAGCGACTGTTGCTCCCATCGAAACGCGCTTCATTTCCAATTCCGACCCTCTGAGGCGGTCGAGACTTGTCCGAAAAGACACCTATTTACACACCAGTTTGCGCCACCCCAACCAGCCGTAACCATGAGCAACAGCATGCGCGACTTGATTGACGGCGAGGCCGAGCTCGATGACGAGGAGGATGATGAGTCCTTTGATGAGGAGGCCGGCGACCGCCCGAGAAGAAGACCCAATATTGATGATTCCAGCGAAGAGGAGGAAGACGACGAAGATGAGGAAGAGGCCAGAAAGGTACGCTGCCTCTGGCCCGATGCTGCAACATAACTTCCAGTTGGGAACACCGCTGACACACCCATCGCTCACAGATTCGCGAAGGTTTCATCGTAGACGAAGATGAAGAGGACGAGGCTGAGGATTCGGATGCGCGCGAACGCCGAAGGAGAAAGAAACGCCGTCGTGAGCGCGAAGAGGAGGAGCAGCTCGACGAAGAAGATCTCGACCTGATTGGTGAAGCGATTCCTGAGTGGGAGCGGAAGCCACAACCCCAGGTATGTGCTCTACGGTTTCCGGTGACATCATCCAGTCGGCTCACCTTTTTCCAAGCAAACCAAGTTCAAGCGCCTGAAACGGGGTCATAGGGATGACCACCGCCCCACTGAACGTCGCGGTCTTGCCGAGATCTTCTCCGACGAGGACGAAGAGCACGATGATCGAGGCTACGGCCGTCCCAGCGGCCGGGCTCAAGCAGACGAGTTCGACGACTTCATCGAAGATGACTACCCCGAGGATGACGAAGAACGTCGACACCGCGAGGAAGATGAGGAGGTCGCTCGTCCCAAAGATAGGGGTCTTAACATTGACACAACCGGTCTCGATAAAGATGCTCTCGAGGATATGGATGCCATTTTCGGTAATGGTGAAGACTACGAATGGGCGTTGCAGCTGGAGGAAGAGCAGGAGCACGCGGAGCGAACAAAGGAAGACATCGAGTTGCAGGATGTCTTTGAACCTTCGCAGCTCAAGGAGAAGCTTCTTACCGACGAGGATAACAGGATTCGGTTCAACGACGAGCCTGAGCGCTTCCAGCTCGATCGCAAGGCTTTCAAGAATCTCCAGATGACGTCCGATCAGTTCAAGGAGGAGGCTCGGTGGATCAGCAACCTGATGCTACCCAGCAAAAATCTTTCCAGTGAGCTTCACGGTCCGTTCAACAAGGCCGTGGGCAAGGTCCTCGAATTCTTCGTTATCGACGGTGTCGAAGTCCCCTATGTTTTCCAGCACCGAAGAGACTACCTCATCCACGCCAAGAAAATGCGCAACCCGAACCGCCGCGATGATCCTGACGCTCCCGAGTATACTGTTGACGCCGAGAAGCTCCTCACCCAAGATGACCTGTGGAAGGTCCTGGATCTCGACATTAGGTTCCGGTCTTTCCTGGAAAAGCGTAACGCGCTCGAACAAACCTACGACAAGCTCAAGGAGAAGACCCGGGACGATATCCTTGAAGAGATGATACGCCAAGCGCAGTCCATCGAGGAGCTCCAGGATCTCCAAGATTACCTAAACTTCCAGTATTCGGCGGAGCTCAAGGACCTTGCTGCCAACGATAATAGCGCACAGCGTGAGATTAAGAGGGCCGGTGGCAGGACAGCTCAGTTTGAACGCATCCGGCGATCCAATGCCTACAAGTTTGTTCAGGCACTCGGAATAACGCCTGATCGTCTTGCCAAGAACATTCTGCGCGAAAGCAGCAAGGTGACCTCAGAGGACGATTCAAGGCTACCAGATGACCTCGCCGACACATTGGTAGACGCCGATTTCCCGACGGGCGAGCTGGTCATCAATGCTGCTCGCCAGATGCTTGCTGAAGAAATGTTTGCCAGTCCTCGGATGCGCAAACACTTCAGGAAAAACTTCTACGGCATGGGCATCGTGAGCTGCCGTCGCACTGATAAGGGTCTACGCAAGATTGACGAAGCAAATCCTTACTACGAGGTCAAGTATCTCAAAAACATGTCTATCGCCGATCTTGCCGTTCGCCCAGAGCTCTTCCTCAAGATGATGAAGGCAGAGGAAGAAGGGCTCATCGAAATCAAAGTTTCCCTCGAGAACGACCGCGAATTCAGGCAACAACTTTTTAGTGATTTTGCCTCGGAGAACTTTAGCGAGCTTGCCGACAAGTGGAATGCGGAACGCCAAAAGGTGATCGATTTGGCCTTTGACAAGCTTGTAAAGGTTATCGTCAAGGGTGTGAAAGACTCCTTGCGGACGGCATGCCAGGATGAGCTGCTCAAAACCTGCCGTGAGCTCTACTTCAAGAGACTGGATCAAGCCCCTTATAAGCCCAAAGGTATGGTGATCGGCACGACTCCCCGCGTGCTCACGCTATCGAATGGCATGGGTGATCCCAACCGTGAACCTGTATCCTGGGTCTCGATGGATGAGGATGGAAGGATTCTCGAACACGGTACCTTTACCAACCTAGCTCGCGATGAGAGTCAACGTGAGGCCTTGGCTGAGCTAGTCAGGCGTCGGCAACCTGATGTTATTGGCATCTCCGGTTTCTCAGCCGATACACACCGTCTCATCAAGGACGTTGAGGGCCTCGTCAGTGAAAAGGGACTGGTCGGCCCCGAATACGATGACCCGGAGACCAACGAGTACCGCTCTGACCTGCTCGAGGTGATTGTCATCAACGATGAGGTCGCCCGGTTGTACAAGGACAGCCCTCGTGCGGTTGCAGATCACCCAAGCCTCAACCCGATGACCCGGTACTGCATTGCTCTGGCTAGATATATGCAGAACCCCATGAAGGAGTATGCGGCCCTTGGCAAGGATGTCACCTCACTTCAAATTCATCCCTACCAGCAGTACCTTCCTCAGGCAAAGCTGCTCAAGCACCTCGAGACGGCCATGGTCGACATGGTCAACCTCGTTGGTGTCGATATCAACGTGGCAATGCAGGACGCCAATACCGCGCATCTTCTTCCCTACGTCGCTGGTCTTGGTCCCCGTAAAGCACAACTGCTCATCAAGGGTATCAACAAGAACGGCGGAGTTGTCACATCTCGCGACGAGCTTGTCGGTGACCCCGAGCGACACAAGCTCCCCGTCCTTGGCCCTCGCGTGTGGAACAACTGTGCCAGTTTCCTTTTCATCGAGTACGAGCCTACGAATCCTGAGTCCGACCCGCTAGACAACACTCGTATCCATCCAGAGGATTACGATCTCGCCCGGAAGGTGGCAGCCGATGCACTGGGCCTGGACGAGGAGGACGTCAAGGCCGAAACTGACGAGAATGGTGCCGGTGCTATTGTTCGCAAGCTTTTCAAGGATGATGAGCAGGACAAGGTCAACGAGCTCATCCTGGAGGAATATGCCGAGCAGCTCGAACGCGAGTACCAGCAGCGCAAGCGTGCTACGCTTGAAACCATCCGGGCTGAGTTGCAGGTACCATACGAGGAGCTGCGCAAGAAGTTCGAGAGCCTTACGGTGGATCAGGTCTTTACCATGCTCACGGGTGAGAACCGCGATTCGCTCTGCGAGGGCATGATTGTGGCGGCCAACGTTCGGGTAGTCAAGGATGATTTTGCCATTGTCAAGCTGGACTGCGGCATCGAGGGACGCATTGAGTCTCACGATGTTTCGTACCGCCACTCCATCAAGGATGTGCTCCATGTCGGGCAGGTTGTTCAGGCCAAGCTCATTGATCTTAACCGAAAGGAGTTTGTGAGCAAACTGTCGATGAGAGATGAAGAGATGAGGCGGCCGTTCCGAAGACACTTTGACCACGGTCGCGATCAGTGGGATTACAGAAAGGAGGATGAGGACAGGGAGGAGCTTCGCGAGAAGGACAAGAGCACGGGACGTGCGCAGAGAGTGGTCAACCACCCTCTATTCAAGCCCTTCAACAGCACCCAGGCCGAGGAGTATCTGGGCAGTCAGCCGTCTGGCGAGGTTGTAATCCGACCTTCTAGTAAAGGTAACGATCACCTCGCCGTCACCTGGAAGGTGGCGGATGGTGTGTTCCAGCATGTCGACGTGCTCGAACTGCAAAAGGAGAACGAGTTTGCTGTCGGCCGTGTCCTCCGCGTGGGCAAGTACACGTACCAGGATCTGGACGAGTTGATCGTGGACCACGTCAAGGCCATGGCCAAGAAGGTGGACGAGCTCATGCAGTGCGACAAGTTCCAGAAGGGCTCCCGTAACGAGACTGGTAATTTTAGCCACCTACACTGATGGTATTCATGATGCAGATGCTAACCAAGACCAACAGAGAAATGGCTCACCACGTACATGGACGCCAACCCCAACCGGTCGACATACGCCTTCTGCATCGACACCAAGCACCCCGGTTACTTTTTCCTCTGCTTCAAGGCCAGCCGAAACTCGCGAGTCAATGCCTGGCCTGTGCGCGTCATCCCTCATGCGTTTGAGCTTATGAAGAGCCAGTACCCAGATGTTAGGGCCCTCTGTAACGGCTTCAAGCTTCGGTACCAGAGTGAGATGTTGAAGCAGCAGTCAGGAGGCAGATAGTACTGCAACAGGTCTGGCATTGCAGACGCAGTGGGGTTTTGATGGGTGTTTGCTTGATTGGCTATAGGGTTTCGGGTTTCGTTGTTTCTCTGTCTTTTGGGAATTGGACCGCAGTGGACACTGGGGCTTTGAAGAGGCAGCGCATTTATTCATTGTGGGATAGACTTTAGGTATTCACATCAGATTGGGTCGTGGATCAAGAGACCTTGCAAAAAGCCGATATAGTTCAGTCAACGGTGGAATGGGGAGAGGCATTTGACTTGGAGAGCAGTAATGGAGAATTTCAAAAAAGGTTCACATGGCATTTAATCGGATATCACGTTCAACGATCCAACTTGATGTGCCGGTGCTCGTTTACAGCTGGCTCATTGACAAACATTTGCGACCCTTGGACAGATAACAAGACTGTCGTCGCCAAGAAAAAGGTTCACATCTGGACGGATTCGGTGTTAAGTCCCAGCAAGACACCGAACCGTTCAAAGTTCTAGAAAGCGGCAAATGCCATGCTAGTTGGAAGACCGACATCCTGGATGACAACACACATGCCGAGGTTGCCGATAACCTTCTGGCCAATGAAACCCGCAGAATCCTGTAAGGTGTACTATAAGGCTGAGCGCTAGGCAACCTCCAGCTAGGCAGTAGCATGGCAGGTCGTTGGGGTGACCATGCCATGGCTCTCGGTGTGATACATATGTAAACGTGGGTTGGATCGGGATGTTGTTTCAACTGAATGAGGTGAGACATGGGGAAAGGAAGGGAGTAGTGTAGTACTTGGTGTAAGTAAGAAGGAAAAGCGGGCGATCGGAGGTTAACCAATTGTCCGCTGACCCCGAATGTCGGGACGGATGGAAGCTCCGGTGGGGATTGAGTTGGCGTCGGGTCCTTTCCATTGTTTTGTTTTGTTTCCCCCCTGGAAGGGAATGCCAGGCGGGCAGGCGGTCTGACGGGAACGCCCCTGTCGGCTGGCCATTGGGTGCTACGGTGGGTTGATCGGTCGGTGCCTGTGACCGTTCCCCATGTGCCAGTTTAATTGCTGTAGTGGTCCCCGTTCACCACCGCCGGCTTTTTCCCTCCTTTCGATTGCACTCGACAACATCAACAAGACCCCTAGTCTTATACCATACATCCGACCGTATTGGAGCTTTAACTACCTCTAATGGGTCGCCTCCATCACCAGCCCATTCATTGATCACGGAAGCTTTGTCTCCGACTCTGTTAACGCGGACAGAGTAGCTGCTGCTGTTGCTGAAGAGGCGGACAGGCCCCACGATCAGACCTCGGTTACCGCATTCATTCATCCATCCTGTCACCCTCACTGTCATATATAGTACGACACCCAAGCTCCCGATCACCGTCTTTCACCATGGCGGGCATCGAGCAGCTCGAGATTCACAGCAAGGTATACGCTCCCTGACCTGTTCAAGCCAAGCTTTCATAGACTTCGCCAACGGGAGTTGCTGACCGACGAACCCGCTGTTCACCCCCTTAGTCCTACATTGTGCGATGGGTCAAGGTTGATGAAGGCCACACGATATCATGGAGTCTTCAACCACACAAGAAGTCCATGTACGAACACCTACAAATCCCATAACTCGCTCTTCATAGACATTGGCTGACCCTGCAACCAACACGACTACAGCAACTTCGCCATCGTCAAGCACCCAGGATCTGGCGGCACAGCTGCCGGCTCCCAGACCTTCGAGGCCACGGCCACCCCCGAACACCCAGCCACCGAGGCCGCTGTGTCCGATGCGAAATCAGGCCTGTTCAGGAGAGATGCCAGCACAGCGCAAGATCAGCTTGCCAAGAAGGGCTTTATCCCCATCCAGTGGCACGGCAAATGCGAGGCCGACAAAGTTACAGTGGGCACATACGACGTTACCAGTGCTGGCATGTACGGTCTCGTCTTCGACAACACCTTCTCCAAGCAGACGTCCAAGACGGCCACGTTTGTTCTGCTTACCTACCCCACCGGCGCCCCGCCCCAGACTGCCCACCATCTGCCTACCGTACAAGCTGGGGCCGGCTCTAACGCCAGCAGAACGAGCTTGGGAGCAGGCACTACTCCCCGACTGGGCGCCGCCAATTCCGACTCGGTCGATAGTCTGCCCAGCAATGAGACCGCCGGGCGTGGCCGTGCTGCCTCGAATGCGAGAAGTGAGGGCGGATTTGTACCGGGCGCAACCTACCACGTCGGTGTGCTTCTCAAGAGACGTCGCAAGAAGGGCCAAGGTTTTGCTAGGCGCTTCTTCTCCCTCGACTTTACGACTTGCACGCTATCCTACTACCACAACCGCAACTCGTCTGCCCTGCGAGGAGCTATCCCCCTGAGCTTGGCCGCCATTGCCGCTGACGAAAGACGGCGCGAGATTACCATTGATTCTGGTGCCGAGATTTGGCACTTGAAGGCGTCTGGTCCCAAGGACTTCAACGACTGGGCCAAGGCCTTGGAAAAGGCCAGTCGTATTGCTCGCGGTCTAGAGACCCTCAACAACGGCGCATCCCTTGGTGTTGACAGACCGGCTTCGCGGCCGTCCACCAGCGTACCCAGCGCACAGCAGGAGGACGAAAGAGAATGGGCGCAGGTCGAGTCCTTGGTTAGCAGGGTTGCAGGAACAAGAGATGCTCTCAGGCGCCTGGTCAAGGATATGGCTGCCGAGAAGCAGGCGCCTGGTGCTAGTCAGGCCTCGTTGCTCTCCCCTAACACGCCAGCGATTGCGGAGGACTCTGAGACCTACTTCACTCCCTCGACGGAGTCGCGCAGGCCGTTTTGGAAGCGCAAGACCAGCAATGCTTCGCCGGGCGCGCAACCAGGCGTTCAGGCAACGACTGGAGCTGCTCTGGCGGTGCCATCGCCAGCCAGTGCGGCGGCCGTTGCGGAGGAGCGGAACCCATACGATAACTGCGCGGCTCTTCTGAATGATTTGGATTCTGTGGTGGTTGAGTTTTCGCAGCTGCTGTCTAAGAATAAGCGCCGAAGACTCCCTTCGCAAATGATGCCGCCTAACATGATGCCTGCGGCTTCCAGAAAGAGTTACGAGTCTACAGCGTCTACTATTGATGAGTTCTTTGATGCCGAGGCTGGTGAGCAGGGCGGCGCGGGACAGAACCAGGTTATGATCATTCGTCAGAGCGAAGAGGACATGCCCGGCTCAGATGCGGAGGAGGTCGATATCCACGACTCCTCATCAGTCTCTTCTGTCGAGGAAGAGGAGGAGTTTGAAGGCGTCGGTACAGAAAACCATGACAGTCTGTTCCCCGTTAAGCCCAAGTCTCTTGCGCCACTGCCTATCACAGACACGGTTACCAGACGCACGACGATTCCGGCCGCCAAAGTGCCTCCTCCCAGTCTCATCGCGTTCGTCCGCAAGAACGTGGGTAAAGATCTTAGTACGATCAGTATGCCCGTTTCTGCGAACGAGCCTTTGTCACTGTGCCAGCGTATGGCGGAACAGCTTGAATACGGCCAGCTTCTCACGGAGGCTGCCAAGAAAACTGACGCGAACGAGCGTCTTCTGTACGTTACGGCCTTTGCTGTCTCCCAGTTCAGCAACGGTCGCGCCAAGGAGCGTGCTACGCGCAAGCCCTTCAACCCTCTGTTGGGTGAGACGTTCGAATTGGTGCGCTCCGAGAACGAAGTGCCTGGCGGGTTTAGAGTGCTGGTCGAGAAAATCTGCCATCGCCCTGTCCGCCTCGCCGTACAAGCCGACAGTGCTCTGTGGTCTTTCTCCCAGTCGCCGGCTCCTTCGCAGAAGTTCTGGGGTAAGAGTGCCGAAATCACTACCGAGGGCCGTGTGCGGGTCAGTCTGCATCTCCCCGACGGCACCGACGAGCTCTACAGCTGGCACATTGCCACCGTCTTCCTCCGCAACGTTGTCTACGGCGAGAAGTACGTCGAGCCCGTCGGCAACATGAACGTTAACAACGAGACTTCGGGCGCCAAGGCTGTCGTCGAGTTCCGTTCGGCTAAGGGCATGTTCGGTGGCCGAGGTGAAGAGGTCCACGTCGAGACGTTTGGTCCCGACGGGTCCAACACGGGCCAGGCGCTCACGGGCAATTGGACGAGCAGTCTCAAGACTGCCCCTGGAGGCAAGGAGATCTGGAAGGCGGGCAGCCTCGTTCCCAACGCGGCGAATACTTATGGCTTTACGACCTTTGCCGCGTCGCTGAATGAAATTACACCCTTGGAGAAGGACAAGCTGCCGCCCACGGATAGCAGGTTGCGTCCCGATCAGCGGTTCCACGAGCTAGGAGATTTGGACTCTGCTGAAGAGTGGAAGGTCAAGTTGGAGGAGGCGCAGAGAGTGCGCAGAAAGCAGATGGAGGAGAGAGGAGAGGAGTATAAGCCGAAATGGTTCGTCAAGGTGGCTACGGGCCAGGACGGCGAGGAGGTGTGGAAGTTGAAGGGCGGGAAGGAGGGGTATTGGGAGGAAAGGGCGAAGAGTGGTGGGCAGTGGACGGGGGTGCTGGATATCTTTTCGGGGTAATCTGGTGATTTGGTGAGAGTGAGTGAGTGAGTGGGTGATATGGAGGAGTCGTGAGGAGGTAATGTCTAGTCTAGTGTACTGAAAGCCAGCCCAGCGTGCGAGAGCGAAGCATGTCATATTTGGTGTCTAATTTCGTTACACCCCTTATATTGAGTATCACTACAGTACTACTAAGAAACATTGAATGAAGAAAAAAAAAAGGGGGGGGGTTTGTTGACTTTTGAGCGATGGAGGTACACAGTTTGTGGTACTGTAGTCGCACCCGCCGTGACGTCCGGACGTATCCACCAAAGGCCGAGCCCATGCCGTTGCAGACCGCGGGAGAAAAGTGGGGGGGAAAAAGGAACCGGGCCCGATATGGATCGATGGAGGGACGGATGATTTTGGAGCCAAAAACATTTTTGAAAAGCATCGATCCGCGATTGAGAAACATTAGAGTGGCCCGTGCCCGCCGATACCCCTCAACACCTCTAGATTTCAGCGACTCTAGGAGCGCGCATCTTTTTCCACGGTCCCTTTTTCGAGTATACGTACAGAGCTTTAGGGCAATTGAGACGGCGACTATCGATAATACGACTATAGAATCTGACGACCATCACCGAAATCCCGCGATAAGCACACAACAGCAGAAGCTAGGCGAAGAAAGTACATTATTTATACCCGAACCAGCGCGCAACGCGACCCAGCGACTCCGACCACGATTCCAATACGGCGGCTGCGAGGAAAGCGCCGTCCGGAAATGCCCGTGTTATAGCCAATGTCCCTGGGAGTCAAACAGCTATGGAGAGTCTTGTCGAATCCCAATGGCGCTCGCGGGCTCTCCCTGATTCCTAGGGAGTGTACCCCAGCACTAGCTAGAGCAGCTCCCACCACCACCAGCAGATCGACTCTTCGCGCCCTCCACAGCCAAGCGCCGTCGCTTCCCGACCAGTCTCAACCTACCGACGCCGAGTTGGAGGCCAACGATGTGCGCCGGCGGCAGCACACTACTACTGAGGTACACGACTCTGGCGAAAACCCCGCCCCCGCCGCCCAAACACCAACAGAACCATCACGAGCATCACCACCACCACCACTACCCCGAGAAGAAGCTCAGGAACAAGCTCAAACACAGGCCCGGGACGTCCAGGATAAGCAGGATGGTTTATCTCCGGTCAAAAAGGCCAAACCGGCCAAACCTAAACGAGGTCGAGGCTCTGGCCTGGTCAACCGTTTGGCCAAGGTTCCTGTCCGCGCCCATCCGGTGCTCGAATCCGTCTTCGTCAGACCCGTCACCGAATATCCCGACCAGTACGAGACACGAGGGAGCGTAAGGACGCACATGAAGGATAACCACCGTCAAAAGATGGTCATGGGAACGAGGGTACCTACCAATCGAACGGACTGGCGCGCCGTTCTTCGTAATCTCCTTCAATCGACACCCATGTACCTCCCCGAGCAGTTCGCCGACAACGTCAAGGTCATCATACCCCGCGAGACGGCGCCCCGGCTCTTGTCCGACAGCGAGTACAGTGTGTGGGATATTAAGTCTCGGACCAACTGCGGGATGGTACTATACAGGGCTGGGGACGCCGGTTATGAGGAAGGGACTGAGGACCAGCACCCGTACCTGATCATCTGGGGCCATCACCACTCGGTCAACACCGCCATTGACGAGATTTTGGGCGTGACAAGGAAGGTCACCATCATCTCCCGAACCGAAGGCACGGAGAAGGTACTATGGAACGGCAAAGGGGACGGCAAAGACTTCTTCCTCCGTGCGCCCATCGTGTTCGTTTCCGCCCACCGCACACCCTCTCAGCTGGCGCCTTACCACGTGAACATCCGCGCCGACGAGTTTCCCAAACCCGAGGAATGGACCCGCAAGACCTTTGAGGAATACGTCGACGCCCTGATCAAATCCCGCATGCCCTCCGCCCTGGCCTCCAAGCTCTACCCCGAACACGGCCGGCACGAAATGGCCGTCATCGAACAGCTTGTCGCTGTCTTCAACGACGAAGTCGCCGCCCAGTTCGTTACCAACGCGGCCTTCAAGATGGCTCTGCACTATATGACCCGCGGCGGCGAGACCTGGCGTCCCGAGGTGCTCTCCATGTTCAACTACGCCCAGAGCGGACGCGTGCGACTGGACGTCGGAGTCTTCAACATCCTCGCCGAAGCGGCCGTCAAGACCCGCTCGTTGTATCGCTTTAGCGCAGTTTTGTACCTGTTGGTCACGCGCGGGTACCAGCCCAACCTGCGCACCTGGATTTTGTTCCTCCGCATGTTCGAAGCCGAAGAGGTCAAGCGCTACGTTTTGCAAGCCATGCACGACAGGGGGCTGTTCAACGCCCGCGGAGCGCTGCGCATGGTCGCCGACGAGATGGCGCCCCACGATGCGTACCGCGCCGTTCAGCTGGGTTGGGACGTGCCCACCTTCCTGGCCAAGCAGGACGAACTCTACGGCGCCAACAGGAAATGGGTCTCCATTGACGCGCTCAACAAGATCTTCCACGTGTTTGGTTCCTACTCAATGTTCGCCGAGATCCGGCAGTTGCTCGATCTAGTCTTCGCCGGCAAGCTGATTGCGTACCCGGATCACGTCACGGTCAATACCATTCTTGCGCACTGCAAGGCGCAGAAGAAGCTGGATTTGGCTGTCGAGTTCATCCAGCTGTTTGAGAGTCACCGCGCCAAAAACAACGAAACACCGCTGAAGTTGGATAACTTGGCCTGCGACATACTCTTTGACCTGGCTCACTGGCAAAAGAAGCCGCATGTGCTCAGCACAATCTGGCGGTATGCCCATCTGGTGAACTCTACAACCTTCGATATGCGACAGAAGGGGACTATTCTGTTGAAGATGGACGCGACGAAACTAAAGGAGGAGAAGTCGGTGAGGAGACTCAAACTAGGGGATGAAGAGAGGGTGCAGTTTGTGAGAAACCTCTTACTGGGCGAGTTTATCCAGGCGAATGGTGGCGACGAGGTGTTTGGGAAGATTATTGCTGGTATTGCCAAGGGAGATCAGGAACACCAGCGAGAAATGGAAGAGATAGTCGAACAGGAAGAGGATGATGATGACCGAATACAGTCCACGTTAGGGGATTGGTTCCAATCTCAGTCCCTCCTGGACTCCTCCAGCCCGACAATACCCCCATCATCATCATCATCATCATCATCATCATCATCAGCATCATCATCAGCATCATCATCAGCATCATCATCAGCATCATCATCAGCATCATCATCAGCATCATTACCTGCCTCTTCCTCCAACCCCGACCACAACCGCAGCAGCATCCCTCAACCCCAATCACAATCCTCCAATGAACCAGAATCAACAACATGGGGCAACATCTACGGCTCCTTCCGATCCTGGTCCTTCGCCTCCAAATACCTCTACCTCGAACCCTCCGCACCCATCGGTTCCCTCCTCCAACAAGCCCTCGACCGCGATCGCGAGCTTCACTTGGCCCTCCGGACAGATGGGCTCGATAGGCATGCAATTGAAGAGCTAATGAAGCCGGTCGAAATCCCGACAAAGTTAAGAACCAAACCGGCATTCGAGGAGGTGAAGAAGTTATTTGAAAGAGAGGGAGAGGTAACAAAGAGGGCGGTTAAGAAGGGTGGGGTAAAAGAAGGGGATCGAGATGGAGATGAAGAGGTGCAAGAAGCGATGGCGCTTGGACCGGTGGATGGGCAGGCGTTGGATAACTGGTTGAATGGTGGTGGTAGTGGTGATGAGGTTGCTCCTGCTGAGAAGAACGCCCATGTTGACGAGACGGCGGCGGCGGCTAAGCCCCAGCCTAGTTCTCTTCCGGACGAGTCGAAGAAGGTTGTCGTGGAAGAACAAAAACAACAAGAACAACAACAACCAACGGCCGCAGCCGCGGCTGCTACGGTTGGCGCTGAGATTGAGGTCGATACTAGGGGGTCACCAGAAAACAAAGTAAAAGAAGAAGAAGCTCATAAGAGGGCTGAAAAGGCGACAACGACGACGACAAGCAAATGCAAGACATCACCACCAGCGCCAGCATTAGCACCAGCACCAGCACCAACACAACCGACCACATCACCACCATCAACAAAGACACCCACAAAACCACCAACCAAAGAGAGAAAGACAAAAGAAGAAGAAGCCAGTCTTAAACTACGATTTCCGTCGTCATCATCGTCAGGGAAGCGAGTCAAGTGGGAGGATCTAGCAGATCTGTAGAAGGAGCAAGGAGTAAGGAGTAAGGAGTCACCAGTGGCTGAAAGGAGACTCGCCCGTGTATGATTTTTTGTTGTTGTTGTTGGAAGATAGAGGACAGACAGACAAACAAAGAAAAAGGCAAAGCGTTGCTAGTGTAAATCAAAGACTTTTTGTAACAATATTTATCTATCTATCTGTATCGAAACTTTGACACTTCTTATATATGTGAGTTGTTGTAAAGGTTCTATGTGGGGTTGTTATAGAACGAAACAGCTGGGACGGAAACCAAAAAAAAAAAAAAAAAAAAAAAAAAAAAAAAAAAGGATTTTAAAATTGACTTACCAATGCAATGGGTAATTTCATGCAAGGATTTTTGGAAGGGATGGGTAGTGTAGACTGGGGATAAATAAACGGGATAGAACGGTTTTTGGAATGGGAGTTCATGGCTCTGTAGAGTTTATATATATATATATATATATGTGTGTGTGTGTGTGTGTGTGTGTGTGTGTGTGTGTGTGTGTGTTCATTCTGTGCGCTGCCTGTTATAGAACCCATATCTAGAAGACTATACCGACTGCTGTTTTTTCCCAGCTTATGTCTCTGTTATAGCCTGCTTTGTGGAAACTGGGATAATGGTCTATAGGTTAGCATAGGTCCAAAGGGAACAGGGACACTTTAAGGAATAGGTATAGTTATTACACAACGAGGACCAATAGGCCCAGTGAAACATACCCAAGCAGGCTGATGCGTATAGAGACTCTGCCTTTAGCCAATGACCTTAACGCCCCGAAGATGCCCGTTGCTCCTTCCCACTGATAGTAGAGGTCGGCTATACGCATTTTCCCTTCAATTGCCATTGTCCAGAAGGAGACAATACAACCATGGGCAAAAGCAAACCCCATCAAGGCATTTGCTGTAGTTAAAGTGTAGGCCAAAAGAGTACTGGGTTTTGTATGACGCCAGACCATTCGCTAACGGGACTGCCGTCACTGAGAGAAATAATGGATACGGCGCCACAGGTACCTGCTCATAATTTAGCAATCATGACTGCCCAGCAATTTCCTGAATCCGTGAGGTATTGGTATTGATAAACGCTCAATAGCAAGGGAACCAATCCAAGATACGGAAACTGTTCGAAAAACTCAAGTCTCCAGGGATATCCATTCCTCTGCGAGGCATCTGGAGTCCAGGCAGGTGGATGATACGGTGCTTTGGGAGATGGATCGGTTGGCATGTAACAATCTCGCTCCAGCTCTGTGTCCAAATCCGACAGTTCGCTGACGTTGTAGTCATTCATCCCAATTTGCCCTGCTGGGTAACCCAAGGTAACATCTTCCATCAGACCCTCGTACATGTGGCCCTGGTCCACCGAAAGGGTTTTCTTGTGGGCTGAATCATCGTCGTGGCTCCGAGTCAGGGCATATTGGCTGCGATCTTTGTGTGGTATCTGAAGATTGCTTCTGTTGATTGACGGATCCATTATCACCGGAAAGCAGTGAAGAAGACTGTCTGGACCGAAGGGGGGAGAACTGGTGAGTCGACCACGATGAGACGAGATATGTGGACGGAGCTTGAAAGCGTCAGTATAAAAGGCCAACAATCACACGCAAGCAACTATTCCTGAATGACAGGCGGTGCCACTGACCACCACCAACATCGCGGAAGTCAGGTTGTCGGAACACGTCCCAGATTCGGCATGGTTATGTGTCACTGAGACACGCCTCTTCACCTTAGCTGGCCAAGCCAGAAAGAAACAAGACAAGGCTATGGCTCTGCTCAGCCCAACCTCAAGCCATCGCCAGGGTGGCGGGGGTTTCCAAACTCATTATCGTATCGGCATGTCGATAGCCGTCGAGGCCGTTCCCTCGTTATTCCATTCCGCAACGATCGATCCGGAGGTCTTTTGTCCACGTAGGTCGTTTCGAATCGGCTCAGTCGTGAGTAGATCCTGACTACTAACAACTTCAGTTATCAGGTTGGTCCAGCGAACATGTGGCTCTTATCGGGCAGATGTATCGAATACCTCTCGAACAGAACGCGTAACTTGGAAATTTCACAACATCTCCCCCCTCCGCGGATACCTCGCGCGTATAACTCCTCCCGCATCAGCAACCGCAAACCCCAGGCGTCCCGTACTATCCAACACCCCGTACTGAATAATTGGCTCCCTCATCCTGCTCCTCCCCTTCCTACTCCCACCACTACTTCGATTATTATCACTGCTACTTCCAGCCTCAACCTCAATCATATTAGCAATATTATTCCCCTTACCATGTCCATCCTCCTCCTTACCAACCTCGCCGTCTCTTGTGCCCCGTATTCTCCTTCTCACATGGTTAACCACCTGCGCCCGCGAAGCATTACTGCTTCCACTGAGAAGTAGCGGCAGGTTAGCCAGGTTGAGTTCAACCTGCTGCTGCTGCTGCTGAGAATGGCAATCCTGATAACTTTGGTGCCCTTGTCGTTGTCCGTTCACAGCGTCAGGGGCAGAATCAGCCGACATCCCCATTCCCGCCCCATTTTCCGTCCCCATTCCAGTCTCCCGCACAAGCAACGCATTCACCAACTCCAGCGGGTTCATCGAAAAATCTCTTCCCAGATTCCACCACCCCCAAAACAAAAAGATGGTCGCGAGCGGACCAAGGAGGCTAATAACTGAAGCAAGAACGAGAGCGGGAATCTGAGCGGCATAGAGCACGCGAACCTGGTTGCTTTGGTAGGGGACGGTTTGTCGCGCGAGCGGTAGGGTTGTTTTGTTGGTGGCCGAATTGGTGAGCGCAGCAAAGGCATTCCATTCCACCGCGTCCACGATGGCCAGGCGGAGTACCAGTTCGCGGAAGCTCTTGAAAACATCGTCCATTGGATCGTCGAAGGTTGCGCTGCACAGGTCGTAATTGCCGGGTTCTTGGTTGTAGTAGATGAAAGAGGCCAGCCCCTTGCGGAGAGGGTCGGACATGACGAGGTACTCTCTGGGACTCTCGGGTGTTATACGGATGGACCCCATAGCCATGGTGATTTGGGCGTCCCAGAGCTGGCTGGCAGATTGCGAAAGGAACTCGATTTTGGGCAGTTGGCCTGGGTCACTGGGTTTTTGTTTAGAGGGTTAGCATGGTTGGGTCAAGAACGATATAAGAGGTGACGTTTGGTTCGATATAAGGGGAGACGTGTGCACACAACGTACCTATGCTTGACTGGTTTCACGATGGAATCCCCTGTCCAGCTATCCGAGACAAAAGTGGCGTTTCCCCCATTCACCTTCAAATCATAGCTTACTATAGAGGTCTTTAACCAGCACAGTTGGCTCACAAGCTTAGCACCGTTGCACTCTGGGGTTGTTTTGCGTGTCACGTTGACCAAGATGCCTTCGCCGCGCCTGTAGTGGTCCAGGTCCCCGATTACTCCCTTGGTGATGTCAATATGAAACGCATCCACCCAGAAGTTGCGTCTCTTTTCGGTCAGTAGTGTATCTAAATCCACTGCCGCTGTTGAGGTGATGCAGTCCGAATAGTCAAACCCAAATGCCGTTACAGCAAGTGAACAGTTACTGCATGACTCGGCCCCTCGCAAATGGATGGGTGTTTTTGCCTGGAAACCGCGCAGTGCTTCTTGGTACCCAGAATCCCTTCCTGGCACACGCAAGTCTGTCGTCGGTATCTCTTTGGGGATTGGGAAATCACTGCTCATGATGTCCGAATATGGCGAGATTTCGAGGTCAATAGTCCCTGGGATAGGTATCTCGCGTGTCTCAATAACCAAGGCTCTTTGCATTAGAGGGCCTCGGAGTAAAGAGGTGACGGTAACAAGAAGGGAAACTAAAAAGAAGCCGTGAGAGCAATTAGTATGGCTTCTTTGTCAATGAGCTGGCGGACTGGTTGTAAAAGTTTTCGAAAGACTTACCCAAACTGACACGAGCAACTCTGCCTCGAGCTAGGGAGGTGATGGCTCCCCAAACACTCGTCGCTCCTTCATAGTGATAGTACAAGTCCGTCAAACGCATCCGACCGCTGACAGCTCGTACCCAGAACTGCGTGACCCAACCATATACAAAAGAAAATCCCAGCAGGGTATTTGCTACAGTCGAGCTATAGGCTAGGAGGACGCTAGGCTGCATGACTCCGGACCAGTCGTTCACAAGCTTGTCATTGCTCACAAGTATAATAGATATAGCGACAACGGTGCCTATTTACGTTGTGACTTTTATTAGCTCCCAAGGACAATCAAAGTCTCATCGTACACCATGCTCTAACCCAAGAGTACATGTATAGGAGGGCGGTGCTCACAAGCTATGCTCAACAACAAAGGCACCAATCCCATATAAGGGAACTGTTTGACAAATCCGGGTTGCCATGGATACAATTCGTTGTCACTATAAGCCGAAGCCGACGGGTAGTACGATCCGGCCGGACTGGTCGACCGTGATGTGTCCCGCTCAAGCTCCGACTGCTGCTCCAACCCTCTGCCTCGAGTCTCTTGGTCGTTCTCGGGGCGATCAGGTGGACGTTCCCACGAAAAACTTGTTCTTACATCTCCGTAGATGTGGTCCTGGTCATATCTCCATGTCGAGTACGCCGGTGGTTGGGCGTACTGGTGATAATGACTTGGAGATATGGCGTAATGGTCGGGTCCATTCTCTCGGGGATCCATGGCTGCTTCCAAAATCAAGTGATAGTATCTGCTGGAACCCTGGTGATGACCTAGCTGGAGAGTGCAGAGCGAAGGATGTTGGAGGCTGGACAAGGCAACAACGAAGAAGGACTTGATTCTGGAGTTGTCTAACGGAAGAGGAGAAATGAAAACCAGGGCAGCCTAAACACCTGGAAGGGCTGGGATTGCCGGTGAATGAGCCGCACAGGGCTCGTTCTTCTTATATAGGAAGGTTCTGGATTCCGGGAAGGAACCATCATCATTGGGGAAGCGGGAGGTCTTGGGAATGAAGTTGGAGGTCTTGGGAAGGCACCGCCCAGGAGCAACGAGTTTACAACCTTACAGTAACAACCAATCAGAAGCCCCAAACGCGACAAGACCAGACGATCTATCTGGGCAAGACAGCCCCATCTGTAGTCGCTCATAACAACAGTCGTGCTCCGAACTGTCAGCCCCCATCCGCTCCGCCGCCACACGAACTAGACTCCGCTAGACTGTTTACAAGAATGTAACGGCTGCCTGGCCTCGCCCAGCCAGTCCGGTAACACACAGGCAATATATATACCGTCCACGACGCAGTAAGACGGCGGTTATGGGGGTCTTGGCATGCCTCAACGCTGCCTTACCTAATGTTGCAGAGTGTAGTTGCGGACCCTGCACGGTAAGAGGGTGGTTGAGAAAAAACCTCTAACGCGGAACCAAACACGCCTTAAGACTGAGTGGACTTTCGTTGCCATTAGGAAAAGGATGGACTTTCGGTTGCCACAAGACTGTGCGGACTTTGGGGTGAAAGAAAGAAAGCCGGGTAGAGAGAAGATGACTTTTGGTTGAATTGATTGAGTGAATGAAAAAGGTGACCATCTTTAAGGGATCTTCTAATGAGATTTGGAAAAGGTGAGCATTTTAGTAAGAGAAAGGGTGACCGTTTGGCTTGGTTAAGGGTGATCTTGGTCTGGTAGAAGTATGGCAGTGCTCGTGGTGATTGACCTTTGTGGGCGTTGCGTTGGTGACGAGAAGATTGTTGATCGAAAAAACGATTGCAAAATAGTTCATGACAGGACCCTGGTCTCCAGTCCGTGATCCCACCGAAAATAACCAAACGGTGCAAGAGCTGACGACTGAGGTCGTGGATAAACATAACATAAAGAAGCAAGACATAAAAAAAGAACAAGGAAATCAGGTGCAGTCGAAATAAAAGAGTAGCCCCGAAAAAAAACATACAACACCAGGGATTCGCTGGTCGTCACCGACCCAACTACTAGTCTGGCCCTCACTGGCTTATCTATGGGAGAGCGGACGGGATCCCGAGTTTTCCAGTGGGTATGGTCGTATGTGTCTGTATGCTATTCAAATTCTGTTTATAATACAAGGCACGTGGTAGAATTGAGGGAGGGGATGTTTACAACAACTCCCCTTTCCAAGGTCGACGCACAGCAGTAGCAGCCTCCTGAGAGCCGGACACCATTGCGAAACCAAGATACTCGCCGTTACCGCTTTCAACCACACCATACTGAACTATCGGCTCTCCTTCTTCCTCTTCGTTTTCAATTCCGTCATTGGGCTTCTTCCTTTGGCTGAGCTGGCTGAAATGCTTGGCCAGTTCGTCAGCTGTAGCGTTGCCGCTGCAATCGGCGAAGACACTGGCCAAATGTTGGCCTTTTTGCTGATCGATATCACTGCCACTGACGCTGTTACAACTCATATGTGTCATTTCGGTGGCTGTCTCGTCCTGGATGGTTATATCGTCCCCGACTGATCCATCAATGTTCGCTGGGCCAAATTCATCTGCTTGTTCAGCTCTGGAATTTCCCTGCTGTTGAAGAAGTGCGTTGGCAAGTTTGAGAGGACTCATGGAGAAATCTCTTCCCAGCTTCCACCAGCCCCAGAAAAGGAACAGAATCGCCACTGGTCCGACAAGGCTGACTATGACTGCGAGGACCAGGGCTGGACGATCAGCGGCATACTGTACTTGGGTGGAGTGGAGTGTGTATGGAATGCCTTTTTGCATAAGATCGGGTAGTTGTTGTACGCTGCTACTTTTGCCTGCGAAATATTCGTTGTTGGAAGGGCCGGCAGCGGCACGGACAGACACGCGAAAGGCTATTTCGCGGTAAGTGTCGATGATATAATCCATGGGATCGTTGAAGTAGTGATAGCACGGCGAGCCGAATTCAGCGGTGGTCCCATTTGCAGCACTCAGGCTGGCAACAAGACCTTCGTAGTTCGCCGAATAACTGTGATCATAGGAATCCTGCATCCAAGAGGTGGAGTTGAAGAGTGAAGCTCCCAATTGCCAAAGTGGAAACATGGTGTTTACCGCCGTTGGATAGTCTAGGTCCTGCAGATACGTATAACTTGGAGATGTTGGTTTAGTTCGACAAAGAAGTATGGGGTAAGGCTCAAATCTAGCATTTTGACAACTTACATAGGCTTTACAAATTTGTCATCTTTCCAGCTCTCTGACTGCAAAGTCGCAATGTCTCCCTGAAGACTCAAATTGTATAGTACTGCTCCGGGGTTAAGATTGCATGTATGCGTAAGCAACATACCGGTGCATTCGGTATCAGTTTTCCGTCTTGTGGTGATTTGAATCATTATAAGATCGTCGTCATAAAATGGCCTTACGGAGGTCTCAAATATGATGTTTTTCCTCTGTTCAGGATGTAGTCTCTGGGAATCGTACGTCGGCCAATCAAGGTCATATGTATCCGAGCTGTTTCTTAGTTCTGTACAGTTAATAACGTCGAAGCCGAACGCCTGAAATAACATCAAGTTAGCCGTGGCCAGTGAATCGACAGCTCAAGATGATGCTGTGGTGATCAGAGTATTGGGCCTAGGACATATCTCACCTCAACTATCAAGGTGCAGTTCTCACAATGTACCCCTCTCATCCGAATGGGCGCTCTGTTTATAAAGTCGCGGACTATATCCAAGAATCCGGGAGCGAATTGCCCAATGGGTCCCCAAGACGCCATAGCTAAACTGCCAAACTTTCTGCCCCAAAGGCTGCTGATATTCAGTGACCGGAAGATCAATGGTACTGTTCGGCAATACAACGACAACTTGTACGAACGAGGCTCGTTGCATTAAAGAACCGCGAAGGAGTGCCGTGACTGTGATGAGGATAGATACTGTTAAAACGTCAGCTAGATGCCATAATTATCTCTGATGTGGTAATGACCGGGGCAGGGAGTATTGAAATTCTAACCTAAACTGACGCGAATCGCCTTTCCCTGGAAGATGGACTTGACTGCGCCCATGGTGCTTGAGGATCCAGCCCAGTTATGGTGGAGGCTGCTGATCAGTATGTTATGTCAGTTGATATCATACTCACTGACAGCCGAGAAATGCCGGAACTCACCTGGTAACGGCGTTGTTGCTTGGACCCAGAAGAACATCACGGCCGCTTGGGTAAAGGCAAGCGCCATTAACGCGTTTGCAAGAGTCGGTGTGTAGGCCAACAAAACGCCGGGTTGTCTGAGCCCGGACCAGATCTTTTCCGAACCTCCATCACTCTCGAGAACGACTCCTATAGCAATTCCTGTACCTAGTTCTTGCAGTTAGCATTGTCGGCAATTGGTCACAGCCTCAGTTTTATGGTAAACGTAGGAACAAGTACTCACAGCTTATACAAAAGATCAGTGGAATTATCCCAAACCAGGGAAAACGTCTGAAGCCGCCTGGTTTCCAAGAGATCTTGCCCGCGAAGTCATTTGATGAGTGTTTGATATGAGAGGACATTGGATGTTTGATCAGCGACTCCATGGCTATTATATCAAGTTCTCCTGTGATCGACTAGCAAGAAGGTCTGGACCGAATATGTGAGTGGTAGTAAAGAGCGAAGAAGCGAGCTAGATGCCCATACTTATGGGTTTAATATAGTCAACAGGAGGGTCTTGAAATTGTACATCGGTGGTTCAAGTGGGCGGTGCTGGAATAGCTTTCTTCAGTCGCCATAAGTGCTTTGAGGCATTGTATGCAAATTGGAAGCACTTTGTGTGCAGACATTCAAGTTGTGCGAACTCTGATCCCGCTGTGTACTCAATCAGGGACGTGGTACTGCATAAATATACCTAGGTAGACGGCCGGCAAGGGGCTAAACCCAGCCTGAATTCATTGCAGAATAGAAAGGCATAGGCTCAGTCATCGTGTGCCGTTGTACAACATGTTTATTGTGAACAGGAAAACCTGTGTTGCGGAAGTCTCGGTGAGGGAGTATATCCGCCTCGTATGGTGCTGCCTTTGCGGTTAACCTGACCGTGAAGGTTGAATGGTGCGAGGTATAAATGCTGTAGTTGCCGCACTTGTATAGAAAGAATTTAAATGGGAGGTTGAAGTTGGACATTGTTGGCTAGGCTGATCGCAGGCATTGCCATACATGAACAATATATTTTCATTGCAACACGAAGAATAGACGAGAATCTGGAAGAAGTCGTCCCACTTGACGCATTAATAAGCCAAGCCATATCATTTACCGACGGTAGGAGCATTGATATATCGTCGTGGTTGCCTTCTATGACCACTATGGCTCCGCTGATTGGTGATGGTTGAAAGGAGGAAGTAAACAACTGAAAGTGGAATTAAACCGCCAAGCAGTGAGTGGTGGAGTCGCAACCGGGCTTTGTTAATTGGCACTGTGCCTGCCTCTCGTCAAATGCCAAGAGCGCCTGGACCAGTGGCAGGCTTCAGTGCCCTGGAGTTCGACCTCGACTTCGACTTGCAGCCTGCCGGTGTTTTGCCGCTAACTCAAATGTTTGGAGCTACCTCTACGGCCACCACGGTCACAATCCTAGCCACCGCGTCTCTACAATACATCGCGAATACAGAAAACCGCCACCATGTCTAGACGGGATTTTCTCAGTCAACCCGCACCCGAGAACTACGTCGCCGGTCTCGGTCGTGGTGCCACGGGTTTCACTACACGATCCGATCTTGGTCCCGCGCGCGAGGGTCCTAGTGAAGACCAGATCAAGGCGGCCGTCGCGAAGAGATCTGCACAGCTAGGTCTGACCGAGGCCAAGGACGACGACAATGAAGACGACGGCCGCTATCAGGATCCCGACAACGAAGTCGGCTTGTTTGCCGGCGGCATATACGAAAAGGACGACGAGGAGGCCGATCGGATATGGAAAGAGGTAGACGACAGGATGGCGAAGCGGCGACAGAAGCAAAGGTTAGTTTAGTTATTATCTCGTATACATCACTTGACATCCTACATAAATTCACAAACCACCCATTTACCCCTTCCCCAACACTTTCAAGCAAGCATGTGGTTTATCGGTAAAGATAGATGAAAAGCAGAGTGCCGACAAGAAATCGCATTTTCACAGGGAAGCACGAGAAGAAGCCGAACGATTAGAGTACGAACGAAAGAATCCCAAAATTCAACAGCAATTCGCCGGCCTTAAACGCGCGCTCGAGACGGTCACCGACGAAGAATGGGCAAACCTACCAGATCCCAAGGACCTTACCGGCAGGACCAAGAGGGCACGCCAGGCTCGTATGGAGCGCTTCTACGCCGTTCCCGACAGTGTCCTTGCTGCCGCGAGAGATTCCGGCCAGTTCGGTACCACCGTTGCAGAAGACGGCACCGCCACCGAAGGGGTCAACAAGGATGGCACAGTTACAGATTTCGCAAAGATCGGTGCGGCTCGCGACAAGGTGTTGAGGGCGCGTTTGGAACAGCAATCACAGTCGAGTAGCGTGGCAACGGCGGGAAGCGCGACGAGTATCGACCCCAAGGGCTACCTGACATCCCTGTCGAGCATGCAGGGTGCGGAACAAAGCATTGGAGACATCGAGCAGTTCAGGAAGATGCTCAAGTCGGCTGTCGACTCGAACCCCAAACAGGCAGCCAGTTGGATTGCTGCAGCGAGATTGGAAATTGCGGCTGGAAAGCCTGGTGCTGCCCGCAGCTTGATTGCCAAGGGCTGCGAACACTGCCCGAAGAGCGAGGATATCTGGCTGGAAAACATTCATTTGAACGACAACCGGAACGCCAAGGTCATTGCGGCACAGGCTATTCAAGCCAACCCACACTCGGTCAAACTTTGGGTGGAAGCGATGAAGCTGGAAAACGACCCTAGATCAAAGAAGAAGGTTATCCGGAGAGCTCTCGATCATAACCAAGAGTCCGAGGCGCTATGGAAGGAGGCTGTCAACCTAGAGGAGGACGTCGAAGACGCCCGCATTCTACTAGCCAAGGCGACGGAGCTTATCCCGGAGTCGCTCGACCTCTGGTTGGCACTGGCCCGTCTCGAGACTCCCGAAAACGCCCGCAAGGTTCTCAACAAGGCCGTCAAGAAGCTTCCCAACTCGCACGAACTCTGGATCGCCGCCGCTCGCCTGGAAGAACAACTAGGCGAAGGCAAGAAGCGGCCCGTGATGAAGAACGCCGTCAAGTTCCTCGCCAAGCAGAATGCCATGCCCAAGCGCGAAGAATGGATCGCCGAAGCGGAAAAGTGCGAAGAAGAAGGCGCCGTCATCACTTGCAGCAACATCATCGAAGAAACGCTCGGCTGGGGTCTCGACGAGGACGATGACCGCAAGGAGCTCTGGATGGAAGACGCGCGCGCCTCCATCAACCGGGACAAGTTCGCCACAGCGCGCGCCATCTACGCCTACGCCATCCGCGTCTTCCCCAACAGCAAATCGCTCTACACGGCCGCCATCGACCTGGAGCGCAACCACGGCAGCAAGGAAGACCTCTGGCACGCGCTCGAAAAGGCCGTCGAGGCTTGCCCGCACTACGAAGTCTTCTGGCTCATGCTCGCGCGCGAGAAAGCCGCCGAGGCGGGCGTCGACGAGGCACGCCTCGTCCTTGCCCGCGCCTTCAAGCAGAACCCGGACAGCGAGGACATCTGGCTGGCGGCCGTCAAGCTCGAAGCCGACAACGGCTTCATCGACAAAGCCCGCGAACTCCTCAAGACCGCGCGCCAGAATGCGCCTACCGATCGCGTATGGATGCGCTCCGTGGCGTTTGAGCGTCAACAAGGCGACAACGAGGCCGCTATGGATCTCGTCCAACAGGCCCTACAGCTCTTCCCTTCCAAGCCCAAACTCTGGATGATGAAGGGTCAAATCTACGAAGACCTCGCCCAGCTTGGTCCTGCGCGGGAAGCCTACAGCACCGGTGTGCGCGCCGTCCCTTCGTCCATCCCGCTCTGGCTTCTGTACTCCCGTCTAGAAGAAAAGGCCGGCAACGTCGTCAAGGCGCGCTCGGTCCTCGACCGCGCCAGACAAGCCGTGCCCAAGTCCCCGGAGCTCTGGACGGAACTCATCCGCGTCGAGCGGCGCGCGGGCAACTTGAACCAGGCCAAGTCGCTCATGGCGCAAGCGTTACAGCAGATGCCCAAATCGGGCTTGCTATGGGCGGAAAGGATCCTCAATCTCGAGCCGCGCACGCAGCGGAAATCGTTGCTTGCCGAGGCGGTGAAAAAGGTGGAAGACGATCCGATCCTGCTGGTCACGGCCGCGAGAATACTGTGGGCGGAAAGGAAATTGGATCGGGCGCAGAACTGGTTCGAGAAGGCGCTGTTGCTGGATCGCGATGTGGGCGATACGTGGGCGTGGTATTACAAGTTTTTGGTGCAGCATGGGACGGAGGAGAAGAGGGCGGATTTGGTGGCCAAGTGCGTGTTGGTTGATCCTAGGCATGGAGAGGAGTGGACGAGGGTGGCCAAGGATCCAAAGAATGCAGGAAAGAAGACGGACGAGGTGTTGAAGTTGGTGGCGGAGACGTTGTCTTGAGGGGGGTCGGTTGTTTACTATGTAGACTATTTGTGATCGATGCTAATGTGGTGTTGAGGGATGATCAGCGCTGGGTTGGGTAAAAAGAAAAAAAAAAGAACATAATCAATAGAAGAGCGCAAATTTCAATTGACTCAATCACGATCGGTGCTGTTACGTTTCTTTGTTTGTTTGATGGTTCGCAATTATTCGAATTAACTTCAGTTGTTCCATAAAGCCTTTCAAATGTCCTAACAAGTCCTAGAACTCCCGAATCATCCATGGATGATGCATTAGCTTTAGCGTGCGTAGCGTAGCAAACCCTAACCCCACCCCCAAACTCATGATATCATTAACCCTTTCATCATTATGAATCATAGACAAACGTCTGGTATGCTTTCCTTCCCTTTCGCGCACTTGATGTCGTTGTTACTTTCGATCTTCATTTCAGGGTCGCCGCCAGTTTACTTGGAGTTGCCGCTACCAAACCAGCTGGAAACCCCAGCTTTGGCCTCGGCAGCCTTCTGCTCCACGGTGCGGTCGAACTGGTCAATCTTCTTGAGCGCTTCGGCCTTGGTGTCCTTGGCGAGGGCTTCGGCTTGCGACTTGGTTGAAGAGTAGGTCTTGTCTGCTTGGGAGACCTGTTTTGCAGTATCATCATCACTTGTCAGCACTTGTTTGCGTTCGCGTGTGGGAGAGGAGGAGGAGGAGGAGGAGGAGTAGTAGTGGTGGTGGTGGTGGTGGTGGTGGTGGTGGTGAAGGAAGTAAATAGAAAACTTACAGCCTCGTCAATCTTGCCACCAATCTCCTTGCCGTAGTGGGCACCCTCCTGGCGGGCGTTGGTCTGCGAAGAGTTGGGCATCTCAGACTTGATCTTGGCGGCGCCGCGGTGGAGGTCGGCTGGTTTTGATTCATAGTTAGCATCGTTGCGCGAATGTGTAGGAAATAAATTAGAGAGACGGAGCGTGAAACGGAGTGATGGGATACGCACCCTCAAACTTCTTCTCAGCAGCCGAAGGGCTGCCTCCGGACTTGTAGATGTAGTAGCCGCCGAGACCGACAACGCCGGCGCCGAGAATGGGGAGAATGCGAGACTGAGACATTTTGGATGTTGTGATTGTTGTGGTATTAAAGTTTAGTATGTGTGTTGATTATTGCGTGGTTGCGATTATCGCGAGAGTGGTTGTTTGAGTGTCGATTTGCTTGTGTTGTTGTGGTGGTGTTGATGTGTAAGTGGCTTGGGGGAGGTAGACGACAGACGATATTATATATACTTTTAACGCAGTGCTCCAGAATGCATATGTCATCCCTTCACCTTTCCATTTCCGTCCCCAAATTCTCCAATTTCCATATCACTTCCCAGTTGCAAGTGCTTGTTGCTTGCTTCCGAGTCAACGGCTGCTGTGTCAAGGCCCGTGGTGCCTTCTGTCCTGGCATTCAATCATGAATTCATGACGTAGGTCGCTCTGGGCCTGAGCGGGGCCGTTGATATAGTGGGGAACGTGTGGAGGCCAAGACTAGATCTTGACCCACATGCTTGCTCAAGGTAAGGGCCAGGGTTCCATATTTCTGGCAGGCAGTCGTTAACAGTGATTGATCAAAGAACTACTATGAACTCATGCTTTCCTACCTGGCGTAGCCATTGGGACGCTGAAGATATCAGACATTCCTCAAGAGTTTGAAGTTCTCCAAAATCTACCTACTGTTTGTTTTTGAGAATCAATCAAAGTGGCTTTGCGAGCTTCAGCATTCCACTTGTTCTTCCAAAATGTTAATGCACGATACTCAGCCCTGGAGCTCAACTAGCTAGCTGGAGCTACTGTGGACACCTGCCTAGACGAATTACATCATTAGGTTAGGTTGCGCACATGAGTCCAGAACTTACAGGGCCTTCCAGTTGCGCTTGCTAGTGTACACTAGAAGTAGAAACTCTTGGTACATACCAGCCTCCAGAGTCCAACCCAGCACCTTGGAACATGTACCATACTGCGTATCGTGGCACTTGGGTTCTCGCAGTTCTGCCAGTCGACCGTCCAACTCAACCTCGCTGCGTCACACTCCCGTCTGCAACCCAAACGCCTTGCCTGAGGTGCCTGTCTGCCTACCTGTCTGCTTGCTTGCTGCCGTCCACCCTCGAACCCCTGGATCCCGAGTTTTCCAGAGATCTACCTACCTGCTCCAATCCAGATGTCCGTGTCCATGAGCAGCAGTAGGTAAACAAGGAAATAAGAAGAAATACCTACGCGACCTTTGACCCCAGAGCGCGCGTCTCCACGGCGTTGGCTCCGACCCTTACGCCTTTAGCCAGGTCCAGCCAACGGGTCCATCAAGCAGAAGTATACTACACTACCTACTTTGATGTCTTTGTCCCTGTCTACATTGTTACATACACCACCATCTCGGCTATTGTGACCGAGTAGCCATGCCCAAAATCCGTCGTCATCACCGTTCATCTCGTCGCGTGCCTCCGCCAAAGGACAGCGACTTCGACCATGAAATCACCTTGATAGACAAGGAAGACGCTTCACCAACTAGTTCCAGAGAATCTCTTGCGCACGTCAACACAAATGGAAACACCCACAAGGCTTCGGAGCCTTCCGGTTCCCGCCCACAGAAACGTCTCTCCGTTTCCACCGAGCCCAGACCCGGAGTAGAGAACGGAGATGCTACTCCACATCGCATCGAAACAAGTCAGGGTACCGCAATCGCAGAGAATGACGCGAAGGCTACGATACCGTTGGATGGTCCATCCGTCTACGTCCAACGTGAGTTTAATCCTAGCCAACTTCACCAACTTTGTAAACTCGTATAGTCGAGCTACCATCGGGCTCCATGCAAGTACTAACATCATCAAACCAGAACCCACCCCCGAGCCCACCGAAGTTGAACGCAAACTATCCTTCCCATCTCTCAAGTCCAAACCCACCAAGGCTTCGAATGCCTCCAAAGTCCCCCGCGAAGCCAATGGCGGCCACCGCCGAAAATCCCTAACCACCCCCGAATCCGCTATCGACATCCTCTATGAAAATCAACGCGGCTGTTTCCTCTGCGGCAGCCCCCTCTTCTCTGGCAAAGCCCTCGGCCCTCTCGACCCGCCAGCATGGACCAACTTCGCACACAGTGCCTCCCCAACGGACATCACCAACGCGCAGGTTCCCGATCCATCATGGGAGTGGGCGTGGCCCGAGTGGCGCGTCAACCATGAGAAGGACTACGCCGATGAAGAAGGGTGGGAGTACAGCTTTGCGTTCAGCAAGAGATTGTCATGGCACCGCCCAAAGTGCTGGAACTCGTTCGTAAGAAGGAGGGCATGGATACGGAAACGTGTGAAAAAAGCAGCTGGGTATGAGGCTCTGCATGAGGGACAGGATGCGTCCAAGCTGAACCCAGAGTACTTTACCGTCCGGGCTTCCGCCGAGATGAACAGGGCGAGGAGCCGGAGCCGGAGTCGGAGCATGAGCAGAACGCGTACAAAGAGCCGCAGTCCCAGCCGGGCTAGCACAGGGATGAACTCGCGCCGCAGTCGGGCGAGCATGCGGAGTATTTCGGAGGCGCTGGAGGAAGAAAATGAGATGATAGAGGATATTGAGAATGTCGAGCAGTTGCTTGCGGTGCTGAGGGAGTGCAGGATTGATAGGGAGAAGATCGAGGCGGTGAATAATTATCTTGAACATGCCGATGATAACCTCGAAGGACTGGCGGGCGCTATGCACGATATCATGTCCATGTTCATCTTCCAGGCTTCGAGACGGGCAATGTTGGCGAGACTTACGGAGGTCTATGACAAGACTGTCGGAGAGCGGGAGAGGAAAGAGAAGGAGGAGAAAGAGGAAAAGGGTAAGGGCAAGTCTACCGATGATAAAGCCACTCCTCCAACAGACGGAGCGATGTCCTCACCAGCATCACCACCACCACTTAGCCCCGAAGAGCTTCAAGAGAAACAATCTCGCCGAGAAGAAAACCTCCACCAGGCTGTCAAGAGAGCCGACGAGGAAGTCAGACGCCTGGAGTACTGGAGCGATGTCAAGGAAATGGTCATAGAGGGAGAAACCAAGGACGCCGTGAGTACCAAGAAGGGCTGGGATCCTAGCTGGCAGGGTGTAGATAACTCGGGTCCGGCACAGCCGCCGGCACCGAGTCATGATGATCCTCAGACAAAGTAGGTTGGGGAATTTGGTTACTACTGGCTTATGAGGCTTCGCGGGGACGGACAAAGTAAAGAGCACCCTCAGCCATGTTAACAAGAGGGGTAACAAAGTTTGGACTGCACATAATATGGATAGGACATGGACACGGACAGAAAGATGGACAGGATTTCTTTTATTCTTCATTACTTGGGGGTTTGCGCGGTTGGGTGTTTGGGAAAACAAGAGGCATGCATGCGGTTGTTGCTGATAAGCATTATCTTCATATACTGTTCGGGTTGGGTTGTTGGATAGTTTAGCTTGCTGGTTGGGATAGGTGTTTTCGATTCTTGTTGTCCTATGGTTTTTTTTTGGCATTCGTTCATCATCATCGTCATTATCCTCATCCGCATTCTGGATTCGCATGGTTAAGAGAGCTCGAAGAGCCGTCCCGCCTAGAAGTTAGTAGTTCTTGGTGCATATTTCATTCTTTATATTGCTTAAAGTGAATGCTTACAGAATCTATTTGTTGGGTGAGTTGATCCGTTAGTTGGTTGGTAGTGAGAAAGTATCCTGGAGGCAGAAACTTCCACAACGAGTGCTACTCTTAAGCAAAGAAAGATTTTGGAGGGGAAAGAGTGGTAGACAAGAGAGAGTGTAGGCATGATGTGAGATTAGTGGGTGGATAGTGGTTTACCAACTGAATAATCGTTGTAACCACTCAAGTTTGTGATCAAGGTGGAGGACGGGAGCTCTACTGACAAGGAGTAACTTCTAAAAACACCAAAACGGTCACAATCACGATCACTACCGACGCTCCTTTTTTCGTCCAATAGTGCACTCATCACAGTGACTCGCCTTCAGATAACTTTTAAACCTCACGATCACGGATATCAAGGGCAGCCACATAACTGAAACTAAACTATCACAAACAAAAAGACAAACCACCAATAACCAAACCTCGATTATTGAAATATAGACAGACTCAAAAAGAAAATAGTTGCCCAGCTCTCAACAAGCCCCCATCCATGTTGGCAGTAATGGAACTACTAACATGGACGCCCACATAAGACAAGTAAGCACCTTCCTGGGGCTTCTCTCATCCCACGCATCTTGACAACCCTGATTGTTACAGGTGTGCACAAACCGCTTCTTTTTCAACCAGTGATGGTTCGACAAACATACATACAGAACTATCAGCGAAGGACGGAGGGGGAAAAGCAAGCACATAGTTGGCGTACCTACCTCTACCGACATGTAGTAGTGGCTCAGTGGCTCGAGTTTCGTCCATTTACCCCAGAATGACAGTGACAGTGAGTGGAAATGACAATAATATATCTTCTCACCTACTTAGATTGTTGAAAACCACGTCGAAACTTTCTCCTCTCCAAACCCAAAAAAAAAAAAAAAAAAAAAAAAAAAAAAAAAAAAAAAAAGAAAAAAAAAGAAAAACAAAGGAGGGGGAAATCACTTGTTTCCGATACCACCTGGCATTTTTCCGCATATTTTTCTGTAGAGAAAGACAAAGAGAATAACAAAAGTGACTGACACTATGGGTAAACATCAAGTACCATGTATACCACTCAATCTCCATGAAAGAAGCATTCGAACAGCCCAAAAAAAAAATTAGCACACAACGGTGCCCCGAAAGAGATCTAGATCATGGCAAGCTGCATGACGGGAATCAGGCGGGCACTGGACGCTTGAAGCACTGGAATGTAGTGTACCAGAAATCAATATTGGAGAGGTATGTACGTCAAGTCAAACACTCATATCTATCGATCCATGTACGATTATCCAGTTCGCGCAAAGAGCTGCCTGACCTCTCCTCGACCTTTTATCGAATCTGTATTAACCACGAACTACTGACCTCGCTATTCCTCAGATGAACTAGAACCACCAGTTCAGCCGCTGGTGATGGCTTCGTTCGGTCCGCGCGCGCGCGGTCTCAGCACAAGCAGTATCTCCATGTGATGACACTAACACTTTTAAGCTGCTTTCAGCAGGTCCTTCTGTTAGTGCTTAGCGCGGCGTCCCGTAGACTTTGGTGGTGGTGGTGGTGGCTTAGACGACCATATTTCCGCGGAAGCTCATTTTAACTTATTTTCTTGGCGCTATCACTGCTCAGCCACTCCGCTATATACGCGCGTAGAATGGCATTTGGACATCGTGACTGTCGGGAATACGAAGTCCAATGATGGCTTCAAAAGGAAATATACTTTTGGGATTGGTTGAAGTGCATCTCCACCAATACGAAACGCCAGAGTGAAATGTCAATTGGGGCATCCACGAAGTGTGCGAATCAATGTCACTGAATCAGCAATCGAACAATTGAACACTAGGTTTGCTTGTCAAGAGAGAGTGAATGTCTCATTTTCATTCAATCCCCCCATAAGATACTCCGCCAATGTTTTTCCGAAAAAAAGGTATCTACATCAGAAGAAGAAGAAGGTGAAACAGATAGCTTCCCTGCTGCTCAGCCCACTTATAGCTTAGTACCACCACCATGGATGGTAATTGACGTTAGTGTGTCTGAGATGGGGCCATGTACCTGGTAAAAGGGTTTGGCACAAGCCTGAAGAAGTTTTGAAGTTTTGTCATCAAATCGTTCGATAGAAAAAAAAGACCACAATCTCATTGCGGAAGAAAGTTCCAGCGCCAATCCTTTTTGTCGTTGCGCGCCCCTCGAGGGGGCTCTTGTTTTCCAATCCGTTCCCGCGCGCCAGTCGCCGTTCCGTCCCGTATCTTTGTGTGTGTGGTATCTTTTCTAAGTGATTGTCCCGCTGCCCCTTTGTTTGACGTTCTTATGTTCAATTGACAAAAGAATTGACTTTGAAAAGAAAGCATGAACAAAAGGGCTAGGGAAGAAAAGGTCATAAAAGTCATCATCGCCCTGCGAAACGCTCCGTCCTTTGTCCAAAAGAGACGTTGGAGAAGATCCGCGTGAACCAGTTTTTTTTCCAATGCGCGGTAAACAAGTCCACGCGCCTATGTGAGAAGCGAAAATGAGTAAATGGCCTTGCTGTGAAGGCAGTTGATGGTGTGTCCATTTCTTTAGTCGGAGAAAGCCCATTCGACCTTCTTGCGGCCGTCGGTAAGGGCGCCAAAGACGTCAAGGAAGGCCTTCTTGGAAACATCAATGTCGTTAAAGGCACATCCCATGCACTTGTCACGAACAGTGGCGGTAACGGTCTTGCCGTTGGCCTTGATGATAACCTTCCTGTTGCAGTAGGGGTTGCCGTTGGACTGAGTACCCATCATCTCGTGGGAAAGGGCCACAATGTTATCGGACATGTCCAAGCCGTTGTCATCAAAGCCGCAGGCACCCAAACCGACATCGTAGTAGGTGAGGTCGCCATTGTGGGAGCTACTTGTGCTGGAAGTAGACTCCGTCGTAGAAGACTCGACGGCCTGAGGAGAGGCAACCGAGGCGGTGGTGGGCTGAACAACTGGGGCCGGAGCAGACGAGCTCTCCACGGAAAGAGGGGCAGGAGCGACTGTCTGAACCGGAGGGGCGGCCTGGCTAGAGCTGGTGGTCTCAGGAGCAGGAGCAGGAGCCTCAACCTTGGCAGAAGAGGCGGGAACCACGGGGACCACGGGCGCAGCGCTGGAGTGGGCCTGCGAGACGGAAGTGATGAGGGTTGAAGTGGCCTTTGGAGGAACAATCACCTCGGTGGCGGTCACGTCAATGTACTTGGTGACGGTCTCATAGACGGTCTCAGTCACCCACTCCGTGACAAGAGAACGCTTGTGGTGGTGGCCGTGGTCCTTCTTCTGGTGGTTAAGGCCGTGGCGAGGCTGGGCAACAGCAAACGAAGCCAAGAGGCTGATGATGATAGTGGTCGACTTCATGTTGACGGCGGATGAAGTTCGAAAAGGATTGTGATATGTCTCTCGTCAACGAGAGACTGATGATGGTTGATTCTTGGTGGTCTTGGCTACCGTAAAGGAAGGATGTAGGTAGGTGGAGGGATCCTTGGTGTTGTCCGTGCTGTGTAAGCTGTTGGAATGTGACGGATCGTCAATGTTGAGGTTGAAAGAAGGTGATTCTCGTAGCCGGCTCGAGGAAGGAATGTACAGCTGATGTTCCAAATGGTTCGATCAGCAAAGAGCAGGGGAGCTTGTGAGAAGTGGGAATATGAGATTGACGAGAGACGAGACGGACATGAACCTTTATAAAAGAAAGGACCCGTCCGATCTTAGGGCTCGGGAATCTGAAATGAAGGGGAGACGGGTGGTCCGGGCGAGCTAGACAATGCCTGGGATGGCCCAAAAAGGCTGATGACCCGGCTGGAGGCAAGCCATGCTCAGCCATTTCCCTTGTGTTTTTTCCTTACCCCTGCCCCTGCCCGAATGTGTGAACACCCCCATGCGAGTGGGCCGTTCACACTTGTTGGGCCCCATTCTACCGAAGATGCCTAGCCAGGCCCGACTCGATCGTCCTAACCGAGTTGTCAAACGACCCCAGCACCACGTGTTTGATACCATCCAAAGCTCGATCAGTTGTTAGTGCGGTTCTTGTTCTGGCAACGATGAGGGGCAGATGCTGGCTTGTCAAGTGCCAAACAGCATTGTGACAGTGCGGAGGAAGGAGCAAATCATCGTGAGCACCGCCTTGGACAAAGAAATTGACGGTTGCTTTCGACGTGCCCCTTAAGCCCAACCAGAGGCCTTAACCCTTGCTTTCACCCGATGTTTGCAGGTGTCCTGCATTCGTCCCACAAAGCTTCTTTGACGTGCCGTAAATTCGTAGGGCTGCGAAGAGTTACCGCTGAGATTACCGCTGAGGAGGGAAAACAACATCCAAGCTCAGCTCCTTCGACCCGAGCCATGTAGCGACCTAACAAATCTCGCAATGTGGCGGCGTAGAGTTGCATCGTACCAACGAAGTGCAATGACGACGCTGAGATTGAAAACTTTTGACCAGAAGCGACGCGGGAGACCTGGCCCTTGCAGCTGACCTGCAAGGCACTGACGCGGAACAAAAGCCGGACCCCTGTTTTTCTTGGGTCAGGAACGGCCAGGAACCAACTGAACCGGGATTGTTCTAACCAATCATCATCCATGGCGACCCCGAGGCCTGGCTGGGCTCCTGCGCGCCGATGAGCAACTGGCGATCCGCCCCGCTCTTCGAAAATTCTTTATTCTGCCATGCTTCGCGTACCTGGATGTCCTTGTCGCCCACAGGCCCGACAGCTTGTCAGACTGGGGCCGTCCGTCCCGTACGTTGTTCCACAGCGCATCGCTGAATGAGGGGAACCTCGAAAGCATTTGTAATGCCAAATACCGTGGCGCCCTACGAGGAGTCGGCTGAGAACCGACGTGTGGTGGGACGATATGCCTTTTGGTGTTTCACTGCTAGTTGAGAGGAAAAGTGTAAAAACGGAGATATAGGATTCAGGATGAAGAACCTGCTCGTCCGGAATACCACGAACTGAGAGAAGGTCCAGGGCATGGATGTACGCGTCTGCCATCGTCGATGTATTGCATACCGGCAGAGAAATGGTCCATTTGCCGATTGCCACAGTGGGACTTGAGTGAAGAAAAAAAACAGGTCAAAAGCTATTTCGTAGTGTAAAAGTAATGGCCACTCACCAATATGATGGCGCAGACCTGCGGTTCTGAATGGAGATGCGTCCTTTTCCCTTCCTTTTGACCGGCCTCGGACGTCAGGCCTGGTTCCGCAACCTCTCAACGAACCAACACGACTGGACGACCAGAATGATGTGATCAAGGTTCAGCAACTTATCCTTTATTCGATTTCCACAGGTGTTCGTCATGCATGCGAATAAGTGATAAGATGTGGGGCACGTTGTTGTCGCAGTCGAGATGCGGGCTCAGCAGGCTCGTGTTACGTGGCGGGGCGTCTCCAGAGGCCGACCAAACGCACATTCGCCTTGTAATATGTGCGGTGTCCTTGGATATGCGATGTTGCCTGTCATGGCCAGATTCTGGCGAGAACGTCAATTCCGCGTCCCACTTTGCTTGCCATCGTCGGTTGATTTGAGGCTTCTTGATAAAATGCCTCTTTTGAATCCTTTTGGGCGCGGAGACGACCTGTCGAAGATCCTTTGGCGATGCTGGCTGAACTTTGAAGTGCTGAAATCTTTTTCATTTCTTATTTGCGGGTAAACGCGTACAGGAACAAGCCTTCTCTAGAGAACACGGGCCGGTCTTGGTCCTCAAGCTCGGTAATCTTGAAAGTCTTTCTGGCAGCCTTGAGAAACTGCATGTCTGCACGGCGTCTCTTCTTGAAACAGAAGTAAACGGTGGCGTTGGGTTCAAGGGCCAATAGATCCTTCAGGGTCTGAAGGAGGAGCGGGAAGGCGGGTTCGAAGTAGACGCAATCAGCGGCTAGAATAGTATCAGGCTTGAGAGCAACAATTTCCTCTGGCAGTGGCTCGCCCCTATTTGCATCACGAGAGGTTGTCAGAATAAGCATGAGCGTGAACCCGAGCCCGGGTGGCCCGATCCTGGTCGGGACCGTGGAAGAACAAGAGTCCGATGCTGTGGGAAAGGCACAGCAGGAGGAGGAGAGCGGGGAAAGCCGTCACACAGGACTGTGTGTATCGCTTACCAGTTGAGGATCATGGATTTGACCTTGTCATTGAGGCCATTCAAGGTGGTGTTGTATGCCATGAGCTCTTCCATCTCCAGTTGGTCTGTGATGTACATGGGAGTTTCAAAGCTGCAGCCTTTGGCAACTGCAAGTCCGACAAGGCCACCGCCGGCGCCAATCTCGAGTCTGGGGGAGCGAGATATGTCAGTGCCATGCCATGTGGTTGGTGGTTATCGTGGCTTCATGTGGGATGAAGAGCCGGCATGAAAGGCACCTACATCCGAGCCTTTTGCAGCTTATCGCCATGGTAGCGCAGCATATGCTTGGCGAGAGTCATTCCGGCCGGCCAAAGCTGGCCTCCGCATCCCGTCTTTAAATCTTCGTGTAGCTTCAAAGGCTCGGGCAGGAGACCACCAAAGTCGAGAGCCGTGTCGGTCGGGGCCTTGTACTCCGGCAGAGGAGTGAAATCCTGGTCGAAGGCCAAAGGATCAAACTCCGGTGACGATGATCGTGATCGGGCGCTCATGGTTGGTGGTATGACCTTTTCTTTCCAGGATGAAGCTAATGGGGTGAACCCAGATGATTCAAGAGTTAAACGATATAATGTCAAATGTTGTGCTCTGGGATCCTTTCCGATAAAGAGAAATTGGTCAGAAACTGTTATCTGGCATCACCATCGTCGTTGTCCTGTGGTGGTAGTCTACATAGTAGGTAGTCTAGACGCTCAGGTCGGGCAAGCGCCGAAAAAAAGTCCCCACCAAAAAATCCCCTCCCTTCCGACTTTGCGGGGTTGTGAAGACACCCAGACCAGGGCACTGCATCGACAACCTTCCGATATCACACTTTGGGAAGGCACGACCATTGAGCAACACGACTCCGTCGTCTGACATTGACCGCCAATATCATGATCGCTCTTGCCATACTTGTGACAAGAGCAGAGGCTCGATTTATTTTCTTGGCTGGAATATTGTTGAGCCGAGCGTGACAGAGTGTCCCGCCCGAGTTGCGGTCCCTCTCCGCTGCAGCCCAGGCGACTGTCATTTGATCGGCGATATCTTCCACATCAACAAGAGGCCTTTCAACCCAGACGCTCGAGTTCATAGCGATCATGACATGTTCGTCTTTACAAAATCCCCTCCCTCCGAAATGTGTCACGATGGAAGCGCCTCCCTGAAGCACGCGTCTCATGGACACTTCATCCGGCGGGCTGGTGTTCACCTTGAAGCTCGACTGGAATGCTTCAACCACATTTAAGAGGTTTCAATGCCAATCTCGCATTGCTCAAGTGGGCTCACGACACCACTACAGAGATCCGGCCATTACATACGGATCCCCTCCAGCTATGTATGTCGCGTCCAAAGCCCAAGGGGCGGCTGGTGAGTCGCGACTTGCCCCCTTCAGCAATTTATGAAGAGCGTGACGCAAGGGAACATGCCTCGTGAAGAAACTTGGGGTCAGCCTCCCTCTTTGAAGATTCGCGTCTTGCTGTCTCTTATGTCTACAGTTTGATACCCTCAGAACTGTCCGCTCTGGTGTTCATGATGAGTTTCCTCTTCCTTCTAGGCTTTGTGAATATTGCAGTCGTCGCTTCTGTTATCTACAATTTGATACCCTAGGCAGCGTTTTGCTCGCCGTCATCATCATCATGGCATCACTTTTGCGTCTCCTCGCCTCGTTACTTTTCCTTTCCGTTGCAGTTTCCAATGCTTCCCCAGGGGTCTATTTTCCCATCAGCTCTCAAATCCCACCTGTCGCCAGAATCGGAGAACCGTTCTCGTTTATATTTTCAAAGTCAACATTCACCTCGACATCAAGCATCACCTACTCCCTTGCCAACTCTCCAAATTGGCTTTCAATCGACAGCGATGCACGGAAGCTCTATGGAACACCAAAAGAGGCTGATGTCGGATTGGGAGATAGGGTGAATGTTCCATTTGGATTGGTGGCAACCGACGAGACCGGCTCAACAACACTCGACATCTCACTGATCGTTTCAAGGAAGGCCGGGCCCAAGCTTGATATTCCTCTCAACCAACAGATACCGGGATTTGGCTTCTTCTCCAACCCCTACACCATTCTATCACCGCCGATGAACCAGTTCTCTTTCGTGCTGGACCCAAAGACCTTCTCAGTACCTTCAGACAAGCCTTTGACATACTATGCAATCATGTCGGACAACACTCCCCTTCCGGCCTGGATATCGTTTGACGCCGGAAAACTTGCCTTCTCAGGACAGACTCCAGCTTTCGGGGCTCTCGTCAACCCACCCCAGACCTTCGAGTTCCAACTTCTAGCCACTGACACACCTGGGTTCGCCGATGCCTCTCTGAGATTCAACATTGTGGTTGGGAACCACAGAGTTACGGCCGATCAGACGACAGTTGTCATCAATGCAACTGCCGGGAAGCCCTTTTCATATGACGGGCTGCGGGGCAGCATCGACGTCGATGGTCAAACCATGCCTTCTGGCGATGGTATAATCGTGGCCTCTACTTTCAATACCCCGTCATGGCTCACCCTGGATATGGACAGTCTACATATCACAGGCACTCCTCCCTTGACAGCAAAGTCAACAAACTTTACCCTCACGCTCGAGGATAGCTTTGCGGACAGATTCAATCTGACTGTCATGGTTCAGGTCAGCGGCACTCAAGCTCAAAACTTGGGCATGTTGAAGGAAGAGCTGCCTGTCATACAGGCACACGCGGGCGAGCACATAAATTTTGACCTTGACCCCTTCCTAAAGGACCCTGATGGCACAGAAGTAGTTGTAGATGACGATGCATCGCCCTCATGGATACATGTCAGCGAAGGAACCATTTTCTGCGACGTACCTAAATCGTCAAAAGACTCCATCGTGAGTGCTACGATAAGATTGACTTCAAAAGCTTCAGGAGCATCAGAGTCAGTCTTGCTGAGCGTGCACATGCTAGCGGATTCAGGGGACGCGGCAGACACGACAGATGCAGATTCGAATCCGGGCTCGACATCAACTGGGGACTTGGGCGATACTAAACCTACTCAGAAACATGCACCTACTCCCATCGGACTCATTTTGCTGGTCACTATCCTTCCCGGACTGTTGCTCCTTGGCGCTCTCATGGGCATGCTTATCTGTTGCCTTAGGCGACGAAGAGAAGCCAAACGGCCGAAGCTCAGCACCCGTGATATATCGGGCCCTCTCCCGGGAACTTTCACCATCAATGTCACAGGTCCAGATGGGCAGAGTTCCATGGAGCACATAACAGGACCACACAACACGCAAAGCACGATAAGTCACATGTCACTTGCTGAACAGGACCGGAAGAGTGACCCTGAATCGGGCATCAGCCGCCACCAAAGCTTCGATGCTGACGTGCCACGCCCGCTCAGCACGGTTCGGATGCTGCCTACCAATGAAGAACTCCTGCCGGCGAGCAGTAGTCTTCTGGATATCACAGGTTCGCCTCTGATGTCCGGTGCTATCACTGGAACTCCGCGAAATCGGCGGCACGAGAGAACCCAGACGCTCCTCAGCCACATTTCGGAGACTAGCTACTATGAGGAGCACTCCTCAGGAATCACCATCGAAAATACTCTGGAATTCCTCGGCAACAGCAACACACGAGGCTCGTTTCGGGATGGTGTTGAAGTCGACATTCCGTGCCTTGGTGACCTGTCTAGCATCCAACCCACCCCGAACTCTGCATACACGGGCGAATCATACTGGAGCAAGCTAGGTTCCGGCCCGTCCGTTCATAACAGATCTCCTGCGATAGGCTCAGTCCACAATGACCCTACAGGCGCTGCCCGGACTCAGCCAGCCATGCTAGTGAGAAAACTCGTGTGGCCTTGGTTCAAGGGCCGTGTCATCAGTATCAAAGGTGTTGCTGAGAAGTTCGGGGAGGCAGCGAAGACAACACTGGCAGGCTTGCCCAGTCTGTCCAGTGTCCGGGCATCTTTACACGACAAGACGCCAGACATATCACTCTTATCAAACAAGCAGTCTGAAAGCTCGGACATCCCCGACTTCCCATCACCGCCACAAGGGACAAAGCGACCCATAATGACCAAGTATGCAAGACCAGTGACGCGAAGAGCAGTCGGCACAGGGCGTATCGTCATCCCACGACAAAGGCTAGTGTCGACAAAGGTCGAGGTAGTGGGAGGTCCGACTGAAGACCTCTACAAACCAGCAGAGGATAAAAAGCAAGCTTCACCCACGTCTAGCTTCGACCGCCCCAGCAGGAACTCACTTGGCATCTCGTACGCAGACATGGCATCCAACTCACCTTTCCACCAGTCTAGTACATGGTCAACAATACCTTCTAGTCACGAGTGGCACGACGAGACACTACAGAGCCTCGAAAATGCCGACAGCGTCTTGCCAAGCTCAAGTCTCAGAAGATCGCGGTCGGCATCGCAACCTAACTGGGCACCATATAAGGACTCGCTATCTAACATCAACGATGGTGCAAGTTCCAAATATCCGCAGAGTCAATGGTCGTTTGCCCCTATCCCGCGACCTCAGCCTCTTGGTGATGCATCTTCTATCGCCTCGCAGGGTTTGTCGAACTCTGTGAGCGGGCATGCCCGCGCTCCTACGCTTAGTTCTGTCGGGTTTTCAAAGGCACCTTCGTCGCTCCGGCTTGATGGCAATGAGAACACGCATAATGACGACGCGGAAAAGGAGAACAAATGGGCAGGCGGGACGAGTGATTTCCTCAATGGTAGGTTTCGCTCACCGCAGCCGATAGCATTGGTGACTTCGCAAAGCAAGACGAGTTCGGAATTTGCTGTTTACATTTGAGTTTAATACCCCATTTTGTTTTGTTTTATTTTATTTTTTTTAAAAGTGCTCCTGAATAATCGGCTTTTGTATGGGTACGGACATCAAGGAGTTCAAGATTCCAGGGCGTCACTGGCGCTTCTCACTTCGAAACGTACAAGCTACATGTGATAGTCCGGATTTTAGTGTAGTGTAGAGTAGTGTAGTCCGGAAATGTGCCGTCATCACGAACCAGTGGCGGCGAAAATGGGTCTGATATCAGTGGTGCCGTCCAATCTCTCATGCTTCATGTTGTGTTCCTTCCCCTCAGTTTCAGATCAAAACCCAAACTAAAGAAAAAGAGGCTTTGGCTGAGTAGCACAAGCCCGTACATAGAGGTCACGAGAGAGATTGGATCTTGCTTCCCAATGTCTCATCGCGATGTTGCAACCCAACAAGCAAAATAGGTCACACGAAAGAGAAAAAATTTGAGGGCTAAAACAGAAAAGCTTGAATCTAAAATGCCGGGTGGGTGGGTGTCGTCATCGGTCGACTGCGCAGTCCGTTTCGGTTTACCTATTCCCGGCTGTCTGGGCTTCAATTTTTCGTCCTAAGTACATACTGTGATAATCCCGCTCGCAAGCGCTCCTGACGCCAGCCCCCCTTCCGTCTTCTGTGTGGATTTGCGTTCTAATTGACTTCTTTCCTTTCGCGTCGTTAGATGGGTGCAACAGTAAAACGGAATGCACGGAAAATAAACAATGACAATCACATCTTGTCGTACCGTCGCCAAATCTGATTTTCTTGTTGTTTTGTCCTAAGGAAGGATTGAAAACGATGACGAAATTGGGGTTCAATTCCATCCCAAACCGGAAGTGTGGATATTGGATTTGGACGGATGCTAGTGTACCTATTGAGTTTTGGCTCGATGACGCTCCAGTTCTGGGCGGGGTTTTTTTTTTTTTTTTTTTCGAGTTACTAGGGCATTTTCGCTCATCCCTTCTGGCTTTTCTCGCCTCCCTTTTCGGGGAAGAGCCTTAATAAGGACACCGCTATCCTCAATGACGCTCTTTCACACTGGCTCCTGTTTGAAGTTTAGCAAGGGCTCCTGGCGCCCTCCTGGTCTCTTCACGACATGTGAGTCGAGCGGTGTCTGTGAATAACCTTGGTGATCCGCGGGGGTGAATTGCCATCTTGTGGCGGAGTCACAGTGTGTTTTGGAGCAGTCGATAAGTTCAAGACTTGGGTCGACATGATAACTTGCGCGTGTGTCCAAGTACCTTTCTCCGTGCTACAAGCGCAAAGTCAGGCACTGTCTTGGGTGCTTGTTCCGTCCTCCACAGAGGAGAAACATCGCCTTCGCGGTAGCTCGCTCAAGAGGCCCTGGTAAAAGGAGATTTGAATGTAGCGTACAATAAACTGGCCTGACGAAGACGAAGCGCCGGGCGCCTTGAGCATTATACATACTCATTTTTCGACTGACTCAGAGTCGCACAATTCCTCCAACAGCTACATACCTAGCTACCCGCGCGCGTTTTTCTCTCTCTCAATTCAGGACGGAAGTGCTCCGGACCAAATTGGTTAAGTCATCGCGTGACCAACCATGACAGGAAAAAAAGAAAAGAGAAAAGAAAGAAAAGACCACGAAGCTGCGCACAAATTCGCCTCATTTTTTTTTTTTTTTGTCCTCAACCCTCGTCCGAGTTGGAAATGCCCTTCTTACTACTTTCAGCTGAAGTCTGCAATATGTCTCCGGGTCCGGTCTCCTAGTGTAGTGTACACTACAATCCATACGCGGAGGCAATCCACTCATCCCCGGCCCCGGCTCATTACCCCACATTGGGTTTGTCGGCGAGCTCGGGGTTGGTGAATTTTTGTGCAGATTCGGGGTTTAGAGGTCCCGCTGTTAGTACAAGCAACTAGGGTGGGGAGCTTCAAAGGGTTCGTGACGATGAAAGGGTATTGGATGCAAGAACAACAAAACGCATATTCAGAGTTGTAGATCGTTTGATCTGGAACTCGGTGCACGGAAAAAAAGAAAATTAATTCTACACTATAACAATTGTGCCGTGGCAACTGCGGGACAAGAACCACTGAAAGGTACCTCTCGCTAGCAGCTTGGGGCATCGTATGTCCACCCGCAGTGAGTGAGCCGAGGCGCGGTGCCTAGTGTACTTGTGTACAGAACAGTGCAGGTTCTTAAGAGCTCAGCTGGGCTTAGGTTTTGCGGGACGAAACGGCCGGAGAACACCGGCCAGCGGCGGCGGTTTCTTCTCTTGTGCCCGGGCAGGAGCGGCCTCGACAGTGGCGGAGGTAGGTAGAGGTTGTTTATCTGTAGGGCTCAGGTGGGGTGGTGACGACTTTGGTTCCGTCTTTAGCTGCTCAGGGCACCGGCCGGCCTCACCGGGGCTCGGGCGCAAGGCTGACTAGAGGGTCCTATCAGCAGACGGGCGGGTATCTCGAAACAGATGAAATCAGATTGAATTGTGAAGCCAAACCGTGATCCGCGCGAGCTACCTACACCTACCTCTAAAGCCTAGTATCGCACCTTTTATCTCTGATCAAAGCTCTTGCGCTTCTACATCTGATTATCTCGCTGGAATTGGCGACACATTCTCAAAATCCCATACCGGGAAACTCATCATCGCCGTACCGAGCACCATAGCCTGATTCGACGGTCACGTCCAAGGGTATTTTTGGTTACTTTGTGGAGTGACCTAGACTCTGTTGACTCCTGGCACCAAGCCGGGCCAAGGAAAAATCGGATCCAACCAAAAGAGCCAAGAGTCACCACCACAGGCTGCCGCTCAAAAGGGCAGGACATCATCAGAAGGGACAGTCGCCGCCAACTTGAGCTACCTACCCTACCTACATAGGTACGTAAGGTAGGCAAGTAGTGTGGTCCCGTCATCCAGCAAGCAGACTCATCCAGACCTGCCCATGAACCCTAGAGGTACCTACCTTGGACAGAAAGAGCTATCTAAGCTAGCGTGGAGTAACAGCTCCCAACCCGGCAGCTACTACTCAGCAGTTAGTCTCCGTTATCGATTGCTCGTAGCACTCCAATCCACAATCCACCAGCCCACCTACACCTGTCAACCCGGACGGGCACACTGCCTCTGCCTGGGAGAGCGAGACGTGGGTGCACATCCATCCTCCCTCCGGCCAAAGAACCCAACCTTGCCAACAATCTGCTGCAATCCACTCCCGAACAGCAAACCACCACTTGCACCTCCACCGTCCCCTTTCTCGACTCGAAAGCACGATCAAAGTTCCCTCTGTCTGTCACGAGTAGAGCCTCGTCGCCGACTATTCCACTACCACACCCACTCCCACACTACCACCACCACCAACAACCCACACAGACATCATCATGGGCCAGACGCTTTCTGAGCCCGTCGTCGAAAAGGTGCGTGGCAATCATCCTGACCACTCGCTCCTTGTGTAAATACCGTCCTCGCGCCCGGCCTACCTATTCGTGGCGAGGACGGCCTCCATCACCTCCCTCCCTGCTGCAAGCAAAAGCATAAACACACGTCGAACCACTTTTCACCACATCGCAGTCGCGCTACCGAGCTGTCTCCCTGTTTGTCGTGCTCATGGCCCCCTTCGGGTCGCCCAACCGTCGGGTCCTCGCCAAAAGACGCCGTGGGCTTTTGTCCTGCTCTCTTCTCCCCCATCACACATCCATGCTGGCTCCTCGCGCGCCGCTGGCCCCCCATCGGCTGCCCCGAAATCCTACCCACGCCACACCCCGCCTTTGCCCCGCGCACTGAGCTGACCAAGCCGGAATCAACCATGTGAAGCACAAACGGACTTGCCTACAGAACCAGTGCGCTAACTCAAATAATTGTGTTTCTCTGAATATAGGCGTCGGCAACTGGCGGGGATGAGCGGCTCATCTACGGCGTGTCGGCCATGCAGGGCTGGCGTATCAGCATGGAGGATGCGCACACGACAGTCCTCGACCTACTAGCCAACAACCCCAAGGAGGCCAAGGACCACAGCCAAAAGCTCTCCTTTTTCGGCGTTTTTGACGGCCACGGCGGCGACAAGGTGGCATTATTCGCGGGCGCCAACATCCACGACATCATTGCGAAGCAGGACACATTTAAGACCGGCAACTACGAGCAGGCTCTCAAGGACGGCTTTTTGGCAACTGATCGGGCAATTCTAAACGGTACGATATTGAAAACCCCAGATTGTGTTTTCTTGGCAGCTTGTGTGCTGTGCGGTGCGGCGCGGTGCGATGCTGTGCCGCATACGGTGCGAAACGGGAACGAAGGAAACTAATATTCGCCCCCCTTATGTTGCAGATCCCAAATACGAGGAGGAGGTTTCTGGGTGCACCGCATGCGTCGGTCTTATTACCGATGATAGAATCTTTGTGGTGAGTTATAATCGAACGAAAAAAAAAACAACCCCCGCTCGTGAACTGCTCGCCCTAACCTCAAGTGTCTATAGGCCAACGCTGGCGATTCGAGATCCGTACTGGGCGTAAAGGGCCGCGCGAAACCTTTGTCTTTCGACCACAAGCCCCAGAATGAAGGTATGCAGTTATGCGCTTGCTGGCCCTTCGGATGACAAGGTTCCGAGCTAACCGGTGCTTGTTTGTGGTTCTCTAGGCGAGAAGGCTCGTATCACTGCCGCTGGCGGTTTCGTCGACTTTGGTCGCGTGAATGGAAACTTGGCTCTCTCGAGAGCTATTGGCGATTTTGAGTTCAAGAAGAGCGCCGAGCTGGCACCCGAGCAGCAGATCGTTACCGCATACCCCGATGTTATGGTCCACGACTTGGCCGACGATGACGAGTTCCTCGTACTTGCTTGCGACGGTAAGAGAAGCCTTGAACCTGTATAGAAACGCGCGGTCAGCTAACACGTTTTCTGCTAGGTATCTGGGATTGCCAGTCTTCCCAAGCGGTTGTCGAGTTCGTCAGGCGAGGCATTGCCGCCAAGCAGGATTTGGACAAGATCTGTGAAAACATGATGGACAACTGCCTGGCCTCCAACTCGGAGACGGGCGGCGTTGGTTGCGACAACATGACCATGATCATTGTTGGTTTCCTCAGGGGACGGACTAAGGAGGAGTGGTATGAGGAAATTGCCAAGCGCGTCGCCAACGGTGACGGCCCTTGCGCTCCTCCCGAATATGGTAGGGAAACAACATCCCCCTGACCGCTCTTCATCACTACACAAACTTCACCATATCATACCTTCCCCCCGTATTTCCCTATATATCCCTCTTCAACCACACGTGTACTTCATATAACCCAGCTCGTTCTCGTTGGCACTTACGCTCTACTTCTTGGCTACTCTTATGAGCTTGACACTAATTCCATATCTGTTTTTTTCCGCACATTATAGCTGAGTTCCGCGGTCCTGGTGTGCATCACAACTTTGATGATAGTGACAGCGGGTATGATCTCGAGGACAACGGAAACAAGGGCAAGCCCTTTGGCATGGGCGGCTACAAGGGCCGCATCATCTTCCTCGGCGACGGAACCGAGGTGCTGACCGACGCCGACGACACTGAAATGTTTGATAACGTGGAGGAGGACAAGGATCTCGCCAGCCAAGTCTCCAAATCACCCTCAAGCATAACAACGAACGACCAGGACCAGAAGGAGCAGGCCGCCGTTGCTGCGGCGGCGGCGGATAACAGCACACAAAACGCCAAGAAGGAGGAGACAAGCTCGCCGGCTAAGGCTTAGTTGGGATCAACAGCGAGCAGCAGCGGCAGTGAAGGGGTGATCAATCATTTGCAGGAGCCGTCCGCTCGGGGATGTATTCCCAGCTGATTGATGGCATCTTTGATGAAGTTTGATATAGCAGGCGCACTTGCACTGCGCTGCACGGGAGCGGATCGGAATCGGGACTTTGGGATGAACAAACGTGTTATGATGAAGTTGGTGTTGTTGCTGTTGTTGAAGTTTTGTTGTCAAGAGATTCTCATGAATGAAAGTTAGTAGTATACTGTTTATGGAAGTATGGGCTTTTTTTTTTTTTTTTTTTTTTTTCTTGCACGAAGGACGGTGGTGAACAGGGTCAGTCAAGAGGGGGGAGGGGGAGTACAAGAGAGGAAAGAAAGATGTATTCGTCGGTTGGTTGTTTGGTTGTTGTTGCTTCACTAAGGGAACGATGGAGATACCAAAGTCAAGCAAGTCAAGTTAAGCAAAGGTGAAGATGATTGTTTTTTTCTATATCGCGATTACGCACCTAACCAACACCGTGTAGGCTTTGTACCCTGTGTCTTGTCTGTACCATCTGCATTGTCTGGACCGGTTGTGATCGTCTAATACGCGCGCGAAGCAAGCATGTCATGCCATAGACATCTTTCAGGTACTGTACGCTTGTATGGGTGATGAACATTGTTGCTGTTGTGTAGACCCAAGTCCTTTCTATTCAGAGATTCAAAGAATTAGAAGAAGATGGACATAGTTACTACAAACTAGTAGTACTGTTTGATGTATGCAGGTTATCTTAATTTCTGATGAGAATCGTGTAAGAAGATATTTTAAAGGATAAAGTAGGGTCAACCGAAACTGACCAAGTGAAGAGAAAGCTATTGAAGATCAACTAAATTACTGTTTTTCTCTCTTTCGCCTTTCACCTCACATCCAGGAGCAACAGTCTTTAATTGATTCACTTCACTTGGACTTTGTTCTCCTTTGTTCTCCTCCCTGTTTTATTTTTTATTTTTATTTTTCTTCTTCCTTTCTTCGTCTTTCTTCATCACCAGAACAAGACAGAACAAGGCAAAACAGAGATAAAGCAAGCGAGACCGTTGCTTCCTTCCTTCCCTCCTTTTTTTTTTTTTTTTTTTTTTTTTTCCTTTCCGTCAGCCCGTCCCGTTTATTCGTCCATCCGTCCGTCACCCGTGCTGGCTGGGTTGGCTAGCCGTGCCGTTATCGTGCCGTCGTCATGCCGTGCACAACAAAATAAATACCCAAAATAATAACCCAAGATAACTACCCAACCCAACCAACCTCGCTCCCTCTAAGCGCAACCAGCCGACTGACTGACTGACTGACTGACTAACTGACTGACTGATTAATTCAACCTAATACAACCCCACGACCATCGTCATCCTCCTCCTGCTCACCCACTGAATACTACTTGTGTGTAGTAGTAGAGAATGTCTATCTCTATATATGTATCCAGACGTTTCGTCACTCGATACTCTCGATACTAGAGCATTTAGGCAGTCATTATTGATTGATCTTGATCTTGATGCCTTATTGAGTCGGTAGGGATTTGTGTCATGCTATAGAAAACCTCCCCATCCCCCCCCCCCCCCCCCCCCCCCCCCTCCCCAACAAAAAAAAAAAGAAAAAAAAAAAAAAAAAAAAAAAAAGAAAAGAATCAGAATATAAACGTTGCAAAGTATGGATAGGCCCATCATCTTCTTTATTCTTGGGCGAGATGACTATACTACCTGTGTACATCATCCTTGCGACTTTCTACATATACATCTACATATACTTCCTTGTATGTGTATATGGGCGCAACCTCGTCTTATCCTAGGTGGGTGTGCAGTGTAAGTGTACAGTTGTACGTTATTCGATCTTTCCTTCCCTCCTCAAGAGGTACCTCCGGCTACCTACTTACCTGGACTTAGTAGTCAGTTAGTCAGTGTGGGTTGTGGTTGATGGAAGTGAGTGGCTGGCGCGCGGTGGAATAAGTGATGACATATAAGTGTACTTTGAAATGAAAGAACTGACTGAACTGTTGAGGACATCTTGGGGATTCCTTCAAGGTCATATGGAGGGTGGGTTTCACGCCGCAGTTACGGGAGCGGGAGCAGGACCTACCTAGACTTGTATGAGAAGTGAACAGTGCCCGGCCGGTTGGACTCTCCAAGCATACCCGTTTATTTTTCATTACCGCTATGTGAAGCCATCAACTTATTGTTTACTGTTGATGTAGTAGTTTATTTTTTTTTGTCCTCCCGTGTCCCCGTGTCCCTGAATCTTCATTGCTTTATCTCTCTCTCTTGTCATTACCACCACGGTTCACTTACCTTGTGTCCTTTTTTTTGTACCACCTAGAACTAGTTGTCCACCAGCTCGACATGGGTATTTCTTCCCCTTCTTGCAAATCAACGATTCAAAGTCAACAGCCCCTCGATATACCTCTTGGTATCCACACCAATTCCCTGCGCCAACTTGGTAGCTCCATCCGCCCATCCTCCCCCTCCTCCACCTGCTGGTGCTGCTGCTGCTGCTGCTTGACCCGTTCCGGCAGCAGCACTGCTTTCGCCTTTTTCGTTATTAGCGGTACCACCACCACCGCCGCCGCCGCCCACAGCAGCAGATGCCGCATTCACGATACTCCCAACACTGCTCACACCCCTCGTATGCCCATGGTGTCTCTCAGCTATAGGAAGTCCAGTCCCGCTCTCCCCCGCCGTCGCTTTGCGAATAAGGAAGATCTCCTTGGAAACTTCCACCATGTCATTTCCCCTTCTTCTCCTCGCCGCCGACGAGGAGGAGGAGGAAGAATCACTACCGACACCGCTAGCGGTAGCAGAGCGAGGGATAGCTGTTTCACTTGAGGTATGCTCTTCGTCGTACTCTTCCTCTTCCTCTTCTTCTTGCTCGTTATCGGCGTCGTCACCTGGTGACTGTGATTGGTCTGCAGGAATGCTGGAGAGGGAGTCGTCGGATGCGGATGCAGCAGTGCCAGAGGGGTCCGTCGAGTTAGAAGGATCAGTGGAAGAAGTAGCCCCTGCATTAGGCGAAGAAGAAGAAGAAGACGACGAAGAAGAACCAGATGTCCGCCGCTTCCGAAGAGTTTTGTCACTTGCCGCCCTTGCACGTCGGGGTTTATTGACGTTGGCGAAGAGATCTTGATTGGTGCCGGCGAAGGAGGCGACTACAGGCGATGTCGATGCTGCGGGAGAGGCTGTTCTGGTGGAAGACACAGAAAGCAGATGTTGACATGGTTGAGACTCCGCGACAGCGGTCCGTTCGAGGATACGATTCCAGACAATCCACCACCCTCTACTTGTCTTGCAAGTGCGCTCATACCCGGTGAGATTATCATCGCGGGTGTTGATGAACATATTGAGAATCTGGTTATGGGTGTTAAGCGCTTCGATACGGCTCCAGGGCGCCTTGGCCGCCTTGGCCGATGCTGTCTCTGAACCACCGACTACACCCGCAGCCACAGGAACGGGAGGCTCAGGGATATTAGGAATCGTCGAGTGCACAGTCAACTCCTTAGGATCCCAGACTAAATCGTAAATCTGCCCGCGCCCTCCAGCTACCGAGTCTGAAGGACGCTCAGGCCTGTAAGCCGTAGCCCGCAACAGCGACTTTCGGAGGGGAGCCATCTGCTGGTGCAAACTCCTGTAGAAGCCTTCCCAGGCGAGGGAGTCGGTGCGCAGCTGGAAGAGAAACACAAAGATGAAGGGGCGCATGACGTAGACGACCACGCGCAGCTTCTTGGTCTTGTTGCGGTCTTGGGAGTCGAATGTAGTGGCAGCGGAGGTGATACCCGTAGTACCGGCCTGTCCTGTGCCACCCATCGACGATGTATGTCCTGGGCCTGAGTAAGGATGGTTCACAGAACAAGAGGCTGCCGAGCCAGATTTCGTGGTCGGGTTGGAGCTGTTGGCTGTGGTGACAGCGGTGACGCGGCGGAGGCCATCCTCGTCAGTGACGGTTACTGTGCCGGTGCTGGTACCCTGGGGTTCACTTTCAGCAAGCTCGGTATCGTGGCTGCCGAAATCTTTTTGGACTTGCGAAGGGCGACGGTTTTCACCTTCGCTTTCGATTTCGACTGTTAGGGTGCGCAACAACAGACGTGAATTGGAGTCTTCAGCCTCAAACGGGTCGATGGGCTCGCCGTCGGGACTAGTTGCTGGCGTACCCTCCAAGTCGCCCATGAGACCAATCAAGAACTGGCAGTCCTTAGGCGGCTTCTTGGGCTTCTGATTCTCGACCTTGTCCTGCTGCTTCTCAATACTTTGAGAGCTACCGCCCATCCCCAAACTCCAGTGGGTTCCATAGCCCATTTTCAGGTAACTAAACAGATTGCCGACGCCTCCTTGCTCATCCGTCGTCGAGCTGGCCGGTGTCCCCGTACCTGTACCCGCGGGACTCGCAGTACTTCTACTCTTAGCCGGAGGATGCAGAGAAGTAACGGGTCTTGGCGGTCCGGATGGTCTGCCGTCTGAATCCGAAGTTGTCTTGCCCTGCTCCGTCTCCGACTGCGGTGTCGTTGTCGGCTTCGGCTTCGGCGGCGGCAATCGCAAGTCCGATATCTTCAGCCTGGGCGACATCACCTCTCCAAGCGGGGCAATCTTGGCCCTACTGCCCGTCTGTCTCTGCTGCCTCCTGGGCGTTACTCTCGTGGCCGTCGGACTCTCAATGACCCCATACGCGTTCTCTCCCCACGTATACATATCCTCCATCCACCACACCACCGATCGCAATGACTGCCTTGACAGCGCGCCGGTGCCCAAGAAAATCGCACCGTCGTCCGCACCCGGTTCCGCTCCGGTACCAAGCCAATCCGTTGGCTCCTTCCCTTCCTCTCCAGGCTCTCCAAACCTGCCCACTACCAAATCCACAAGTCCCTCCACTCTGTCCACCATCCCTTCCAATACCTCCCTCTCCCCCGAACCCCTATCCTCTTCTCCCACACCCACGCCAAGTTCCCCGCTAGCAGTGATCTTGATCCCGCCATAGATGTTACATGCCGGGTTACCGTGCAGCAACACGTTCCACGTAGAAAGGAACAGATCCCAATAGCGGCTGAGCAAGCCCACAAACTTGGGTCGCTGGGCACGCACGAACAAAGACGAGAGCGAGCTGTCGTGGTGAAGGAGGAAACAAGCGTGGGCACGTAGGAGGTCCCGCAACAAGAGGGCGGCGGGCTTGAGTTCGCGGGAGGAGTATTCGGCTTTTTGGTCTTCTTCAGCTACTCCTTTACGTGGGCTGCTGGGGATGGGAGACCGGGGAGGGGAGGCGGAGGTTTTGCTGTTGTTGCTGGTGCCGCCTTGGTTGGGAAGGGGAAGGCGGGTGAGGTCTATGGACTAATTTTGGGTGTTAGTTGGTTTATGCAACCTCTGATAGTGGTGGTGGTGGTGGTGGGGTGAAAACCTACAGCCAAAATCCACCACCCGGGCTCCAACTCATGAAGCACCACTCTGCTCTTCTCCGTATCAATCGTATTGACCGCCTTACCACCCGAGAAACTCTTGCCAAACTCGACCATGCCCTGGGCCAGTCCTATCTGCCTGAGGCGCTCATTCTTCTCCTCTTTCGAAACAGCTTCCGTGCCGGGGGCAGCTGCTGCTCCAGATGATGCCGACACAGAATTGGTTGGCGCATGATGACGACGGCGTGATGATCTGTCCGACCGATGTCTTCGGCGCTGCTGGTCCTTCAATGTCGTGACCGAGGCGTAGTAGACAATCTGGTCTTCGAGCGTGTCGTCGGTCGTGCCAAGACTGGGGTTGTAGATGGCCAGGAAGCCCAGCTGAGCGGGGACGATATTGTTGCTGTTGTTGGGTTTTCCTCCAGCGCCTGCGCCAAATGACCCCGTGGGTCCGGCTGACGCCATGATGCCGGCAACCTAGGTACTGCTAGCTATGCACCGGGCTCGGAACGGACTAAAGTGGGGTATCGATCGGTATGCCCTGTGTGGGACCGGAATACCCGTCTGTCAGCCGAAGTGCGGGCGTGTGGCGGCAAGCGGCGGAGGCGGGGGTACGAGGTACGAATACGGTAGATAGTCGGTACCGGGTACCGATGACTCGGTTGATGGGAAGTACGGGTCCCGTACCGTAACGGAGCGGAGCGGAGCGGAGCGGAGAGGACCCTTGGGGCAGATGTGGTGGTGGGTTTTGACCGGGAAGCGGTGAGTTTGAGCTGTCGAGAGGGGTCAAGAGTCAGACTCGTAAGGAGAGAGCGTACTTGTATGTAATGATGTCGCAACAATGCAAGCCCTCGCTTAAAATACCCCCCGCTCTTCTTGCAGAGAAAGTGTGAATGTTTCAGTCGTCACTGCCCAACCCACGTGCCAACCCAGATCATGACCAAGAAAAAGACACCATCAAAGTGTTGCTTTGTCTTGCCTTTGATTTTTGTGAACAACTTGAGATCAGACGGTTTCTTCCACTTGTCTCACAATCGATAGCGATCGAGATGACCTGGCTCGGACACTTTTGGTGGTGGATAGTGAGATCCCAGATCCCGACCTCGTTAGCGACGGAGCCTGCGGAGCTGGGCAATGGAGTCGAGTCTGGCTGTTGTGGAGGGAAAAGGGCGGAAAGGACAGCCGGAATACCGGGACGAGTCCGATGGAGGAGGCACTGTCGTCATCGCTCCTCTCTCTGACTGGGGACAAGGGCTGCTTCTTCAGTGGCACCTCAATGCTGTGAGATAGTGGGGTATACCATACTGGAATCACCACCACCCCCTTTTGTTCTCCGTCTTGATGTTTCACCACAAGCATATTCGAAACGTTTACTGAGAAGCTGTTCATGCTTGTGTTTCCGTTGCGAGGTGCTGAGAATACTGTACAGCAACTCAATTTGTAAATCAAAAGCTATTAAGACTACGTAATTCAGTAGAGTAGTCATTCCGTCGTATTGCCCTGCCCTGCCATGCCATGTCAAGCGTCGTTTTCATCGTTACCCTTTTGTCAGGCTTGTCCTCATCTATTCTCGTAGACGCTTCCCGTCTGTAGCAATCTGAAAGGCGCAAAAACCCCATATCAGTAGCCATTACACAGACTGTTTGTTTGTTTGATTGTTTGTGTTGAACCATTTCCGTTCGTCACAAAAGACATCGTTTGTGGAAACCCGCATTACTCTCAGTAGTAAGAGTAGAATAGAGTAGTTGGGAAATACTCCGCGCAAAGTCACTAAGTATAGCAGCAAAAGAGCAACGTAGCCGCAAACATAACCATACCCCTATCCACCCGAACGGTATCCAGAATTGTAGTCTCTCTCACCGACCTTCTGAAAACCCAGGACAACTGATCCAATTCCCACGACTATGGTATTTCCTTGGAGCCATAGATACTCGAACAAGGAAAACAAACCCCACAAAAAAGCAAAAGACGTGTTATTGCGAAATTCCCACAGTTATCCCCAAAGAGCACACGAATACGCCGTCGTTAACTCTCTCCAATGCATTGCTGGCCAACTTTCGTAGGCGGGTGCTTTGAGTCAATTCATGCCTCCCACCCATGTCCTAACTCAAACCCCATTGAGGGAGAAACATTCTACCGTTTCCCGTGTTGATGTATAAGCTAGCCAGCCAGATTATACCCATTGTGATGTGATGTTATGCGTTGAAGCAGTGATACAGCACGGATGCTGCTAGAAAAGTGGAAGGGGAAATAAATAGCGAAAGGCAGATCAATGACGAAAACGAACCATGTACACGCAAACAAAAGTGAGAAAAGAGAAAAGGGAAAAACACCAACAAGAAAAGAAAATGCGAGCGCGAACCAACACCATGGTATCTCGAAAATCAGGAGCCTCTCACGCTCCCGTAGGCTCGCGCGCAATGAGGCTGTCGTCAAAAACAAAAAGAGCAAAAACGTAGCAGATTAGCATGAATAACATGACAGCCACCTCGACGACTGTCATTAGTGTCCTAGGTCTTCAAGGACTAGCGGAGTGGGATTGACATCGTCTAAACATCAATCTCCATCCTCGACGCAATATCCTCACTGACTCCCCGGTACGGAACATTCTCAGAGCGCCAGCCCCCCTTGGCGGCCGAAGCTTGACTCCGACCACCATTAGTGTTTTTGTTGTCATGGTCATCTTCTTCCGCGTCTTCGAGGTCTTCGTCCTCTTCGTAATCCCCCAGGCTCTCAATATCATAGTCGTCGTAATCGTCATCATGATAGTTGCAGTTGACGTCACCGTCAGCATCGCGATTCCATATTAGACCATCATCGGCCTCCATGTCGTCGTCATCCGCCATGACGCGCTCGGCAAACTGGTCTCCGAGCCAGTACCTTGCGCGCTTGTTGGCTCCGGCGTCGTCGAGCTCCTCATCGATCCCATAGAGGGCCCTGCGCGGCCGCACAAGCCCGCCTTTGGCCGAGATGATGGCGTGGTGACCCGGTATTCTCGGACTATGGGACATGACCGGCATCCCGCGCACATAGAGGTAGCAGACGCGCTTGAGAGTCTTGTTGAAGAAGAAGTAGTGGAGGGCCCAAATGGCGCCTTCTTCCTCGTCAAATGGGGCGTCGACGGGCTGGTACGAGAAGATGGAGCAGTCCTTGAGGTCCATCTCTTTATCGATGGATGCCCACATGCCAGGGCCCCAGACGGGTGACATGGCGAGGCCTGAGGAGCCGAAACTCGAGGCGGCGGCGGGCGAGGTGCCCATGCAAGGTATTGTGACGTCTAGGAAAGATGAATTGGGCCGCACGCTTTGCAGGGTGCTATCTATGTGGGCCATGACGCGGCGCAATTCTTTCTCGCGCTTAAAGTCGTCGGGTCGCAGGACATTGGAGAAGTCGTAGTCGGGATGCGACGCATTGAGAGTGGCTATTAGATATGCGTATGTGTTTCGGTTGGCCTTTTCGTTGAGCGAGCCGAATGGTGAAGACCGCTCAAAGTTGACGGTATCGGCGATTGATTCGCGCTGTGGTGGTGACAGGGACTTGCCAAACTTGATGAGGTTGTCGTGCTGAGTTTGGAGGGACTGTTGGATGTTCTTGTAAAGGCGCTTGTCGGAACCCGCAGCCTTGGTGGTGTATAGATCGCAGCTGCCGGTGATGTGACAGTCTGGTGTGTCGAAGTTCAGAGCGCTCGTCACAACATCTATCGCAGGAAGAGATAGAAACTGTGAAAGGGTCAATATTGCTTTCGACGATCAACCACTCCTGGTATTTGGAGGGTAGCGGTGCCCGGTTCGACCGGTGCGACGTATACTTGCCTTCATTTTGCCGGTGGTTGCGATGGCATGCGACTTGTGAAGGTGATGTGACAATCAGGCAGTGGTAAAAGCCGGGAGGCGTTTGGCCGTTGGGGTAGTGATAAATATGATAGGTATTCGCAATGTGGTGCGACGAATAAATCGGAGACGGTGAGAGTTGCAACAAAGGCGATGAACAAGTGGCAGGCCCAGCTCCGCAATCGTTGTGGTCGTTGGTTGGAAGCGGGAGGGGTCGAGCGATCGCCAGATGGGAATTGTTTGAATATGAAGTGAGTTACCACAAGGATATTATTAGTGTTTGTAGAGAGTCAACCAGTAATTCTTGATCCCGGGTCGATCCGTGATGGCGCAACAGATTGATGCGAAACGTTGATGTTATGGTTGTTGTTATTGTTGTTCGTCGGAAAAGGCGGTGCGGAGGAAGTGGGAACAGGGTGTGGTGAACGGGGGATGATGTGACCAATCTAGGTCCTCCGACGAGTCCGTGAGTTTGGGGGAAAGCGGTTATGGAAATCCTGCCTATCAACTCCCAGATTAAGTCTTAGATATGAACAAAGACAGGGACACGGGATGTTGTAATGTCTAGCGCGATGTCGAGTACAGATAGTGAAAAGGTGTAGGTGGTTGTAGATAGTTAGAAGTGGGGTTTTTGTTGATGTTGATGTTGATGTAAGTTTAGCGTGAGGAGAAATAGGGGTGACGATATCGTCATATATCGAGTGATGTCCTGCTGTTTAGTTGAAGTGAGGTTGAGATCAGTTTGGCAAACAAAAAGTGGGAAAAGTGGGAGGAGGGACACCTTGGATAAATCCCATACATGTATGATGTTCTTTCCAATCCATCCGAATTGAATCCAAGGGGACCGCCGGTTATCGGGTCGGTATAGTGAGAGTACAGCCATCATGCTTCTTCCGTGTTCAGCTTGGCTCCAGTCAGTCCTCTTGTTGGTCATTGATATGTTGGTGCCCCGGTTGCGGTCTCGCTTTCCATCGATGGCTCGTTACCTGGTATCTGACGTTCCAAGGGAAGCCGTGCCATCAGGGCCAGAGCCGGTTCGCTGACGCTGACAGTAACAGGTGGGTGGCCTTTCGGGTGAGTGGCCTGCTTGCGCCAGCCCACGTTGGCCTTGGCTCGCTGGGGATTGCTGGGGTCGACCCGCCTAAACCCTGGTCATGCGCTGCTGGCTCCTCGAGTCGGGTGGAGTCGCACCCCCTAAGTGATCGGCGTTCCCTTGTCACCACCAAGTCTCCATTCCCACTCACTCCCCTCCGCCGTTCCGCCTGGAAGCCTCCAGTCATCGCAGTGCGTTCCACTTCCTGTGTGTCAATGTTTGTCCCGGCCTGAATGCTGCTCATGTTGATTGTCAACCACAACCACCTGACGAATAGAGTCGTCTCAACCCTCCACGAGCGTTGCTTCCAACGTCGATGTGGACAAACCTTTCCTTGGTGGGCATCAAGGTAATGCCACCCCAAACGTCTCCCGAGCGAATCGATCTGTTTCTGCGCATACACCCAATGTGTGAGGTCATGAACAGATGGATCGGTGTTGGCAACGCGTCGTTGAATCGTTGTTATCATTAAGCACATCGCCGAGGCCATGCCCAGTGTACCGAATACGCATTCCACTTGATTTCCTCCCATCATCGTCCATGATTAGGACACCAGTGGTGTATCCGGTCCCCGAGTGGCTCAGTTTTGGCAGCTCATTAATCTACAATGCCCATATCTATATGATCAAGGAAAGGGAGTTTGCTCCCTCCTAATGGGTGACTGTAGCCCCGACTTCCTGCCACCACACCACACTCTGCTTCCCCTTCTCTCGGCGCGATTATTATTGTCCTCCCTGGTTGCATATGCTGTACTCTCGTGCTTCGGGTCGCCCCTCTCGTCTGTCCATCCGGTGCCGTCACCTATCGGAGGGACTGTGGTTGCTGCCACTGCTTCAGAGAATTCCGGCCTGCTTGAGTGCGTTGTTTATTTCTTCCAAGTCCTGCATCAGGAGGTCAGGGTATGCATTAGCGTGTGCTGTTGGGGTAAATAAATGTCGACCATTGGCACTCGCAAGTGTTTGAGGGGACCCGGTCCGGTCGGTCGTGATGATGGGGAAAAAGACACCACAAAGCTTGATCAGCCTTTACATGATCTTTGTGACTTCATCCTCGACCTGAGGAAGTGCAATAAACGTGTCAGTGAGCGCAGTGGTTTACGGATAGGGATTGCAACAAGGGGGGAGCGTGTAGGCGTAGCAACACGGGAAGATGGCAAATTCTGTCCGGGCAAGCGGTCACGGCTCCAAGTCAAATGCTTGTACGCACCTCCATGTCCTCTAACGCGTCTTGTTGCGATATGCATCGTAGGACATTCTTCTTGCTGCTTTCCTGTAACTCTCCCGCCAGCAGGAGCTCGTCGAGGATGTAGTAGGCTTTGGTAAAGGAGAAAATGATGTCAAGCTCGCAGACGTTGCCGTAGTACTTGTCCATCTGCTCGACATAGCGATGGATGATCTCGAGGGTGATCAGCTCGTTGTCCTCGGAGGAGCATCCGGCGATGAAGAAAAGCGAGGCATATCGGCGGTAGACAATCTTGGTATCTGCAGACGAGCAAAAAGACAGTTAGCCCCATGTTGTGTTGCGATCCAGGAGAGTTGGCGGAGCTTGCCTTTGTATTCGAGAAAGTTGCACATGCGAGTCCTCCTAGCCAGGACAAGCTGGGAAACGTCCTTGACGATCTTGGCCTTGTCCTTGGGAGACAGAGTGGTGAACCATTTGGCCAGGCGCTGGATATTTGACGTGCGGTTAGTCGGGAGAAGGACAGCGTGGTTGGGGACGAGAGCAACGCCCGCGGCGGGCAAGACGCACCACTTTGCCCTGGCGCGAGAGGAGGATTAGATAGCTGCAGAGCTCCGGGTCAGCTTGACTTCATTGTGAATAGCAAGATGGCGGCTGTCGGGCGCATACTGAATAGCCATGATGACGATGATTCCATCAACCACCCAGGATCACGTTGAGCGGAAGTCGACAATGTGATCATGGAGGTGTTGTCACGGGCGGGAAATTTGACAAGGACACCACGCCGACAGCCTGGACTCCTCCCGCCTGGAGCTGTCCAAAGGGGCGGGACGACGGCCGTCCAATGTGCCCCAAGAACCAGACCCAAGGCAAGTGGGGCTCTGCTCGGTCCTAAAGACTGTTAGTGCATCTGGCACTACTCGGTCTTCAGAGGTTTCTTTAGTGGTCTTATAGCATGTGATGTGCTCCTGGGTTGATCAAGGCTTAACTGCCCGATTAAGATAGTAGTTCGTTGATCGTCTAACTGTACCTACCTAACGACAATTGAGTTGACTTTTTACCTATCTTCTGCTGATGTTGCTGGGCAAACCACTCAACGCACACAAAATCTCAAGAATGGATCAAAAGGGAAGCCCTTTTCTCATTAAACCCCCTCAGTCGTAGCGGGCGTCTGGTTCATTTTTCTATCATCTTCTGCCAGCATGACTCAACTAGTTCTCTTCCTTAGTGTTGGTAGTGGCTGTAACAAGCGAACATGACTGAGCGTGGGAGAAGTACAAGGCTTCCCACGTTCACCAGTTCCTCACCCAACAAGACATCCCGTTCCTGTCAGACCTTCTGGTTGGCTGTCGCTTTCTTCTCCTTCTACGGCATCCCGCGCATATCTACACCGAAGTGTGGTTGAGAACGCAACCGACAGTCATTAGATGCCGAAGCTGGCATGGCTGCCGATGATACTCTAGGCAATGTCCGCGACATGCATCTCCGACTCTGACAAACTTGCTTGAGAGTCCGCACTTGTTCTTGCTCATGGCATCCTTCCCCGGGAGTTGCGTATAGAGGCATGCTTCACCTAGCGCAAAGTCAAATCCGAGAGTCGGATGAAGACCGACCTCTCCGATTCTAACCTGTGTCCTGGGTTATGTTCTTGGTCGACGACGGATATTCATACCGGACTTTTCCAAAACAGTATTCCCATGTGTCGTTACAACTGCCTATCTCTGGCAACACCACCCTACCATCGGCGTTTGTGGTGATACATATCATCACAAGCTTACAAAAGGTACCTTCATACTCCCGAATCGAACCACCCCCGGACCCATGCCAGTAAATCATTAATAATCGGTTCTAGGCTCCATTGAACCAAACAAGTCGAACCCCACTATCCAGTCTAAAGTTCAAGAGGTAGAGAGATTCGTCTTGCGCCAGGCCAACGATTTAACTTTTTTTTACCCATTTCCAGAAGAAAAGAAAAAAAAAGGTCGTCAACATCCTCAGCAGTCATGGCCAAGTTAATACTTTCTACCGGGTATGTCTGTCCTTCTCTTCATTGTGTGGCTTCGGTCTCAAGCATGATGGCGCAGGGCAGGGCAGGCCATGTGGTTTGTCTCTTGTCTTTACGTGTGCGACCTCGCTTGAAAATAGGCAAGATAGTCATCTCTTCGACCCAATCACTAATTGCGTGCTCGAACTTTTTTTCCCCTCCAGAAACATCATTTCCGGCGGGCCCTCCATTGTTCGCAAGCCCGGCGCATCCAACCTCGAACTCGTAAACTCTCTAAAAGTCAGCTTCCAAGATGCGCAACTAGACTACGCCGACGAGATTGAGAACCTGAATGCGAATGGAACGACGAAGACAACGACTACGACCAATGGCGCCAGCAATGGCGTCCACGAAGCCACAAATGGCGATAGCAACACCACCAACCCCGTAGCAGGCCCGCTCTATTGGACGGCGCAAGACCAGAAAAACAACACAATCTTCGTGCCCCGCATCGACTGGGAAACCGCTGGACTCTCTGAAGAGCGGTCGCAGTACGACATTACCGTCAAGATCTTCTTCCTGCCCACCACAACGCCCGACGTTTCGAGGCGGGCGCAATACACAACCGAAGCAATGGAGCTAGTGCTCAAAGAGCTCGGAGGGATCCCAGACGTCGACCTGCTCGTCGTTTCCTTCCCGGGCATGTCCTTCGACGGCGACTGCGAGTGGGAGGCCGACAAGCTGAACGCTTCGCAGGGTGACGACGAGTCAGAGATTGCGACTTGGCAGGCGGCCGTCGAGGAGCTGCACCGCCACGGATTGGTGAAAAGGCTGGGCATCTCCGAGTTTGGCACCGAGAAGCTGGCGCGGTTCATCAAGCGCGTGGCAATCCCGCCGGCGGTGGACCAGATCAACCTCAAGAACTGCTGCAACGTGCCGCCGCCGCTGGCGACGCTGGCTAAGGAACAAAATGTGGAGTTGTTGGTGCATAGCGATTGCACGGATATCTTGCCCGAGGGGACGCTGAGGGAACTCCTGGGCCCGCAGGGTGCTGGGCTTCTGGCTGACCCAGCGACGGGTAGCGGCGGCTTGACAGGAAACCTCACGCCACAATGGGTGATTAAGTACACGGCTGTGGTGAAGAATAGGGGCGTGATTGAGAATAAAGGATACTTTGCCGGTGCCGAGTTGAACTGAGGCACTCACTCTAAAATACTTGGGGGGTTAGTAGAACCGCATACAAAACCGACCTATATAGTTGCTGCATATTGTGTAGCTAGGTCGAAGGGAGTTCTTTTTTGGATGGGACGGGTGGCCAGGCAGGCAAGCAGGCATTCTGATTCTATTGATATTAATACCAATTGCGTTGTCTTACTTGCTTATGAAAATGGATTTTTGATTTGCATGAATGTATTGCAACTTCACTTTCCTTTCCAGCGCGCGAGCTCCGCTGTTCGGACTCATCATCATGGCAAAAATGTTCTTGTATGTGTATAAATCCATGGGTATCTTTTCTCGCCTTGTTGTCGCCAAAAAAAGGTTTTGACCATTACCCAATCATGCTCCTCTTCCTCCCACGCATCCTCACATCCTCCAACTTATGTAACACGGACGCTCCCTTCTTGAAGCTCTGCTTGTACGACTCCAGCAAGTGCTCAAACAGGTTCTCCGCCCGGGGGTGTGTGCTCGCGAACGCCCTCTCGAGGACATACAGATCCGTCGCCCGGTCTTCGTCCGACTGGCTCTGGTTCGCCAAGCCAAAGTCGATAATCACCACGTCTCCCTCCAGCAACTTGGCGTTTTCCTCTTCTTTGCTCACTCCATTCGTCTGCTCGCTCGTCGTCGTCGTCGTCGTCTTCTTCGTGTGTGGCCTCAACATCATATTACTAGTCGTCAGATCCCCATGCACCACACCCGTCCTATGCAGCCCCGCTATCGCGGCCCCGATCCTCTTCATCAACTCAATCAACGGCCCCTGATCCTGCTCCGCGGCCGACCTTTCCTCCTCCTCATTCTTCGGCCTCTGCCCCAACCACTCGTTGATCTTCACCCGCACCGGCGCACCCTCAATCCACTCCACCGCGATCCAGCCCGCTGCCGCGTTCTGAGCGTACACGGCAGGCACGGGAACGCCCTCGCGCCGGCACCGCTCGAGGACTTTGGCCTCGAAGGCGAGGCGGGCTTTGGTCAGGCGGGCGTCGAGAACCGGGTGCCGGTAGGGCTTGGGAGGTCGGTACTTGAGTGCGCAGGGAATGTCGGGAGAGAAGAAGGTTGTTTTGTAGAGACGACCTTCGGCGCCTTGTGTGATGAGGGTGGGAGGGGCGGCGGAGGGGTGGGTGAGGATCGGGGGGAGGGGGAATTGGTGTTCTTCGACAACCGCGGGGGCGGCGGTAGAGGTTGAGGTTGAGGTCGCCATTTTGCGCTTTTTGGTGGGGGGGGATTGAGGAGAGGGGTCCATCAATCTGGCAGACTTGTTGTTGTTGAGAATGTCGTAAAGGACTGGGTGTGCGATTGAGTGGTATCTGGTGAGGTCTGTTGCGCTTCGGTTGTGTCGTTGTGCCCTGTGTTGATTATCGCGAACTTTTGTTTTGGCGGCAGTGGGCTTGTCTGCCAAACATTGCGCTGGAGGGGCAGAGGGGCACATTGTTCAAGTTGCTGGGAAAGGAAAAGTGCCAAGCTTTCACAAGAGCCCCACACAGGGTAGTAAGCACAGGGCAATCAATATTGTTAACACTGTGCCGCTGAATCAACAACACATGAGCGGCCGATTGGTGAGTGATCTCGACTCTGACCAACATCTCGAGATCAACGTTGATCAACCACTCGCCTTTGCACAAATGTCACATCGTTACCGTCTCCTGAAACTTCACTGTTCTTCATATGTCGACAACAACAAAAAATCACTTTGGGGAGATACTCACTCCGAAACAGGCGCCAGATTTTCTGCGCAAGGTCGTTCTTTGTCCCTCTGTGAGGTTGCATTCACCTGTCCACTATCTGGAGGATCTGCGGCTTCGGACTGCGATATTATCTCCCATTGTATTTGTCGAATCTGTCTCAGAGCATCAAATGAGACCAAATGTTCCTCAACGGCCAAGCGGCTAGATAATCATAGCGTTCACGGCCAGAACGAGTGATGAGATTTGAAGTCAAAGACATACACCTCGATGCTCGAACATCCAACCGCATATTTTTGATGATTAGGTTGTGATATTCAGGCCGGTGCCTCGCATAAGCTGGTTGTTGACGTTGATGCTCCTGGCTCACGTCCACTTGCCGACCCCTCCTTCCGGGCGGCAGACAGGCGGGCAAGAGATTCCCCGCAACCCCCGCTGCCGACCGCCGGCCCCCAGGTACAGACCTGCGTCACCGGCTTCAACAAGCCGATGATACTACCACAGTACTCGTGCATTGCAGCTGTCGAGTCACCAAGCTTGCAGTATTCCACTTCATCCGTTTTCTTCTTTCTGTACTTCCTTCCCACATCTTACACCCAATGTCCATCTCCCTCAAACATCTCCTCCGCAGTTCACTACAACACCGGCTATCATCCTCTTACACACGACTTACACGACTTCCGTCGTCACCACTCACCAACACCACCAGATCACTCACCACAACCCCACCCACCAAAATGCGTCTCCCCTACATCCCCAACCCCCCACCCACCTCTTCGGAAGCCGAACAAGCCATCGTCGACCGCATCACCGCCCGCCGCGCACCCCGTCCCCTCCAACCCTTGGACCTAACCCTGCTCCACTCCCCGCCCGTCGCCGACGGCTGGAACTCCTTCCTGGGCGCCATCCGCACGAAAACCCTTCTTCCCGCCGACGAGCGCGAGCTGGCCATTTCCCGCGTGGCCGTCTGCAACGGCGCCTGGTACGAGTGGCACCACCATGCGCCCCTGGCCGTTCAGGCGGGCGTCAGCGAGGGCGAGGATGGTCTGGGCGTGGTCAAGAGGCAGGAACCGCTGCTGATTGAGGAAGGAGACCAGAAGAAGGGAGGCTTGAATGAGAGGCAGTGGGTGGCGGTGTGCTTGGCGGATGAGATGACGAGGAATGTAAAGGTGCGGGATGAGACGTTTGAGAAGGTTAGAGGGTTGTTTAGCGAGAGGGAGGTGGTGGAGTTGACTGCGATTGTGAGTACTGTTTTTTTGGGTTGTGTTTTCATGCTGTGAAGGGTGAAGTTCGTGAGGACGGGAGCAGGGAAAGAGGGGAAAGGGTGATGGAGAAATGGGTGAGAGTGAGATATGAGAGACCGTCAAAGGTCGAGGAGTCCGGGAGGATGGCGAGCAAAAGGCCGTGTCGAGAGCAAAGTTCTTGGGGCTAACACCGACTCACTAGATCGCTTGCTACAACTGCGTGAGCCGTTTCCTTGTTGCGCTGGATGGTAAGTCTTCATCTTGTGGCTTTCTGGGATCTTAATACTGATCATGTTGTGCAGTTGGAGAGATGAACGGCACTGGTCCGGACGATGCTGCTCACTAGGGGTGATATATCCTGGTGATAACGGTGCTTCCAGAAGAATGCAAATTGAAACATTGTGTTGAGCGTCAACCTCAATTAACATTACATACGGTTTTCTTCTCGCAAACTGATATATGGTGCATCTAAACTTTCTCTCTTAGTCACTCACTCTTTATGTAACTAATCTATCGACTCTAACCTTCTTATGTTGACGAATGGGTTGGACAATATGTGAGCCTTCAAGTTTGAAACGAACATTTTCCCTTTCTATCGAACGTCGTCTCCTTTCGGACTGAGCTCATCGGTGCGGATCACCTTGGAATGCCATCATGGGTGCAATTTCTTGCGTGAAAATTCCTCGGGACTCGGGGTTCATCTTGATCTACCGGGCTTACCAAAATCAACAATCCTGCGGAAGAGTCAAGGAATACGGTGTACAGTCATAAGAAAACGCCCATACACTAGTCCCGACTATGGAATACGGGACGACTCAAAGACAATTGGACGGTATCATACTTGGTATTTCAGCCCAGTCTCCAGTCATCGACCAAAATAAACGTCCGAACCGAACACAGGAGAAAGCCAGTTTCATGTTTCTGCTTCCCTCCAAGCCTCCTGCTGTATCGGACAAAGCGTGATAATTTTGTGGGGGAGTGTCTTACTTGAATCCATCAGCGCAGCTCAGCTCTGCTCTCATAACGCGCCGGGAGCAATAGGGATGCCACGAAGAGGAAAAGAGGAATGTGTTTGAGCACTGCCAGAATACGGAAGCGAGAGAGAGAAGTTGCCATGGCAGTATTTGAGGGACATTGGTGAAGACGCGATGAAGACCTTTTTTTTTTTTTTTTTTTTTTTTTTTTTTTTTTTCATTGAGGATCTATGGGCGGCTCAGCCGGCTGAATATGAGTACTATGACCTGCTGGTTGGTCAGTATGTCGGTTGTTTGGCTGCATAGGAAGGGGGCGGTTTGTGCTGGTACAAGATGAAGTTGATGGGGTGAAAGGCAAAGTATTGGGGACCTAGGTATTGGATAGAGGTACAATGACGCTGGATGAGTGGGAGGCAGAGTTCCTCGTGGTTCAGTTGTGTCTTAAGAAGACAAACAAAGAATGACTGGCAAAGGGATGGAACATGAGGGGTGATGAGTGAAGCCAGCCTAGCTCAATATAATCTGTGATTCAGCCATCTAATGACGATGATCGAGGGAGAGAAATGTCTTCGTCAACGTGGTTGACGAGAGCTTTTGTGGACTGCACCCGTCAATCCGGGTGCCACCTTCCCTGACACGAAATCCCACATCAAGGGGGGGGGCCAAGGGTTTGTGACTGTATGATCGATATTTTGTCATGACAAGTACGAACGATATGGCCACATGCACAGTGAAATGTGGTACGTTGGTGAATACGAAAGAGTCAGTGAGTGAACCATCACAGCTGGGTCCCACTGACGGGTTGCTAGGAGTTTCACTACGGCCGGATCTGTGTGCCATATACGAGAGGAAGAAAAGGAGAAAGACGAGGGAGTAAAGAAGATGGACAGAAAGATCTAAGACCGAATAAGTAGAGTGATGAAAAAAAAGTAGAAAAAAAAACATACAACACCAGGGATTCGCTGGTCGTCACCGACCCAACTACTAGTCTGGCCCTCACTGGCTTATCTATGGGAGAGCGGACGGGATCCCGAGTTTTCCAGTGGGTATGGTCGTATGTGCTCGTTATGCTTGGTTCTCACTCTTATAAAGCTGACGTAAAGTGTGTGGGATACAGTTTGAGGTACTGACATCATCTTGGGTCTGATAATTTTTGAATTTATAGCTTCTTGAACTTGCGAAATGCCCTTGTTCTGATATTCCTCGATGAGAATGTGTGGATCCTATGGCATTTGCTTCTTGAAATGTTAGCTTAGCGTGGGACAGCACTTCTATAGTCGGGTTAAAGACCTGAAACATATGGGGTTGACAGTTTCCGATGGTTGCTGACGATATTGAACTGAATCCTGGCGCAACATATTTCCTTACCTTTTCTCCTCCTTATTGTATGTCTAAGCCCTGTGATAAGCAGGGTAGCAGGAGTGGCGTGACAGAGTACAGCCGCAACTATTATCAGCTTGCTGTGTGTTGGTGGAATCTCTTTTGGGTTATTTACCCTTAGAGATTGGTGCTATATTTGGAGTTTACATATTCGTTAACATTGAAGGGTCTCCGCTACTTAGTACGTGGCGTTCCCTATTGATGTATGAGACGTTTCATAAACCAGGCGCTTCTAGCCATGATATGTAGCTACGGCTGTGAGCATATGGCTGAAGATTTGACACTCTGTATGCCTAGACAGCACATTTGGATATACCCTCCTTTCTTGGGAAGACTTCTCTCCCGTTGATCCCGATGTTCGGAATTTGGATATGCAAAGAAAATGGGTACCTGCGTGCAACGGATGTTGTGGCTTAAAAGGAATGTTTACCCCAACTGCTTGGGCTACGAAAGAGAGAGGGCAAGACGGGTTTAGTGAAGTGATTTCAATGGCATAGACTTAACTGCCACCTTCGACAGCTCTGAAAGTCTGGAAGGTCTAATTTATTCACGTGAGACATTGAAGACTTGCAGTCACCCGTGTCGGGATAGCTACGCGCTGCTGTCTCCATTTCCTTCATTTCCTTTATTCCTTTCATCCTCAGTCCTTCGTCCACGCCTCGTTGAGCTGTAGAAAATATCCGCACCCGTAGCTAGACGATAGGCATTGTAAGTAGACGTAGTGTAACATATTGAATTCCGGTTTCTGTCAGTGTCGGGCACAGCTAGGCTGAACTGCAGTAGCTGAATGCGTCGCCGGTAGTATGCAACAGTTGGGTAGTCTTTGGCCTAGGTAGTGGAGTTTCACCACCTCTCGGGAGCTAATGTAAGGTACTGGAGGATTTGGCGCAACCTCAAGATGCATTAACGTTGGCGTTGAGGCTGATTGTGTTTACGGGGTATGCATGTGAGGTGCTCACGCGGTAACGATAGCCTCGGGTTTCGGTCTCTTTGGAAAATATGTATCAAAGGCCCGTTGACGCGAGTCTCAACTGCTGACGGGTATGCATGAGGGTTTCCGAGACACCACGACTGCTTGTCCATGCCAAGTCCTTGGTGTTGATGCCGTTAAAGTTGATGCTAAGAGTGCAAGTCTTGCTGCATCTGGATGCTTTCAGCACAAACTGTCAGCGATCGTACCTGGGATCATGGAGCTGTTGGCGTTTGGCTAGGGGATTAACTCGCTTTGCCGAACAGATGTTTGCTTATTCTGATCTGAGTGAGCCCAAGTTCGGTGAAATATCCTGTACTCGGTAGGCTGTCACAGCAGTAAAGAGATAGCTATGTACCGTCAGAAGATATCAGAGTCAGGGGATGGCTTTGCTTCAACGAAGAGGTTGGTTTATCGAATGAGCCAAGTTTTGATTTTCTGTGGACTCTACCTTTGAGTCCAACTTGCTGCGTACTTCTATTTCATTATGACCTGACAGTGTTATGGTATATCACGGCTAGGGCACTGCGCTGTAGTGAAGTTAGAGTTGAGATCTCGGGAAAGTTTGCCTCGGAGATTTTGAGTGAGACAAGGGAACGAACCAAGTTGCTGGGCCCATTACCCAGACTCATAATCTGTACCACCAAGGCAGTCAACATGGAGTGAATCAGGGTGAATCTTTCCATGAGATCCAAGTTAGTCGAGGAAAATATTCCCATAATCTCAATACTGCTCATCGATAGCAAGCCGCGCCCACAAAAGCTGAGCCATGAAGAACAGCCAAGTCCGAAAAACAAACGGGGAGCTACTGTTGCCCGGATAGTCGCTCGCTTGCGGAACGGTTACACACCCGCCTGAATCAGGAATCTCTCCGTGGTGATATGTCTTTCGTATCCGAGTCCGGCATCGTGAGATGTCTCAGGCGCGCCGCTGCTGTGGCTCGAGCTCGCTCTGGAATCCCCAGGGCGACCGTCCTCTTCGGTTTCCGAGCCGCTGGCAGCGAAGGAGTCTCTGAAGTCAAGCAAGCCAGCAAACACCCCAAAGTCAGCCACATTGCACGGTAGGTGGTCAGAAACCCCCGACGATAGCCCAGCGAGATGCCGGTCTGAATGCCGGTGCCCGAGACACATGGCATCCTGTCCACTGATTTCGCTCCTCATTATCCATGGCGAACGCCTCCAATATCCCACTCCCTGCGGATGAAGGGAATAAGCTTTATCATGGCCTCTGTTTCTGCCTGGGCTGCGTGAAATATCGATCGGGCATGACCGGATTTGGGAGGAATAGGCAGTTAAGCTTGGAGTTGTAACCCGCGGATCACGACGGGTTTTTGACCAGGTCGAAGGTGAACATGGATGATTGAATCTTGGAGTGTCCGAAGCGTACGTAGGTAGATATACGCTGGTGAACCTATCCCTGCATCCTTGAAAGCACCGATGGATTAGTATCACTGTATGGCTGTTTGAAGCAGCGCGATGATTTTTCCATTGCATCTTCTCGTCAACAGATACCTCTAGGTACCTATGTTTAGGTTGTGTTTTGGGGAAAATCACGATGGAAGAGGCACTATGCTTTTCTCTCCTACAGTGCGACCAATGGGCTCTTGCGGGGCTGGGTATACGATACCACTTCTGCGGTTACGGCGATCCACAGGGGTCCCCCGGAAGGGTGGCATTAACAGAAAGGGCAACGCGCCAAGCAGCGCCCAATGAAACTCTTCCCGAGCCTCCAGCTCAACTTCACCTCATCTCTTCTTCGCTCTCTCTTCCACTTCCGCATTTTTGTCTGCATCGACGACACTGCAACGTGGCAATGGCCCAACAACCAATTCATTTACAGTAGTATGCAGACCCCTGTCTTGAGCGAGCATGTACAGCTTTCTTCTCCAGGCAATGACCCTTGGAATCGCGTCATCGACAAAGAACACAGTCCCCCAAGTGGAAGCATTCCCATGTCTTGTGCAAACACCCTTCTCGTAAAGCTCGAAGATCACTTTGAACATGATCGCAGCGAAGTTTGTAGGTCAATCGATTCCTGTTACAGAGCCACGGATAATTCACCAATTCCTTTGGAAAGCACCATCGAAGACGAGCTCGCCCCAGTCTGGTTTGCTTCTCGTCTTCCCTTCTCTCCCATCTATTGTGCCCTTCAGCCACCACTAGGTATCTACTCTATATACCAAGCACCCTGGCATATGGCTGATGTCTTCATAGACCTCAGGTGTTATCCTGTGATTTCCTCCTTTGCTATGGACACAGTCTTCCTCTGTATGTATCCGAGCGCTCTCTTGGTGTTACTTTGAACAAAGTCTTACACACACCACATGCCATACGCCTCCTAAGCTTGTACAACTTCACCTTTCTTTCGTATGTGTACTGTGCAAGCACCAGCCCGGACAGCCAGCATGTAGTTCCCGCCGCTACCCGGAAGCTTAGATTATCAAGGACAGCACTTCGAAAGAAGCAGGCAAAGAACATGCTGAGGAGTTCGAAAACCGCCAGTCTTCACCTGGAACTGGAATAGACTACAGAATCTACATGGTTCTACCCAGTTTCTGAACCATTTTGGGTACAGTATTGTTGGGGAAGTTATCCTATATGCGTCCGTCTCTCAGATAATCACTTTTCATGTGTGGTCGGCATGTGGAAGCATCAAGTTTGTCACTATACTCTAGTTCTCTCTTCTGCACGTCTTCTAATCTGTCGCATAGTCACGCCTCTTCCAACCAGCTCCAAACCCAACACCCAATCAACACTTTTTGATTGTTACAGGTGCGCAGACCCGTCCTGCAGCCATTCAATACGCTGATGCCCCTCAGCATGAAGCTGTTCATAATCACCGAGCTGACAGCTTGGCTCTGCCTTTTTGGATCTGGAGCCGCATCCCGCAACACCCTCCTTGGGACAGTATAGACTGCAAGTGTAGCTATCGTGTGGGCAACCCTCCTGATTAGGAAACTTATGATTACCCTTCGCACCATACCCCTGTGCTCGAATTGCATCATGAGCCACCGCCTCAGCGGAGACCACTCGAGTCTCTTGTGGATGTCCGTCCCAGCATCCACTCTATATCTTGTCGTTATTGCTTATATACGGAGACTTCTCCCGTTCAAAAATCATGTCTTTGACCAGGCCCTCCATCTTTATTTACATCGCCAAGCTCTGAGTTGACCTTTGTCCATCTTCTTATACCCTTTCCGTTGCCACTCTTTTGGCTTGACTCTTCCTTCCAACCGGGACCATGATGTGGTCGCTCCTCGTTTCCCTGGCATTGCTATGCTTTGGCACAGTTGCCAGGGCAGCAGTTGTCACCATCAACTGGAATGTCACATGGGTTTGGGCTTCTCCTGATGGCTTTGGAAGACCTGTCATTGGTATCAACAACCAGTGGCCATGTCCCAAACTTGAGGCCAACGTTGGTGACACCCTCATTGTGAACCTCCACAATGGACTTGGTAACCAGACAACTGGTATTCACTGGCACGGTATGAACCAACTGCAAACTCCTGAGATGGATGGACCTAGTGGTGTTGTCCAGTGTCCGACCCCTCCCGGATCCTCGGTTCAGTACAAGTTCTTGGTAAGACCTCTTTCTCTTCTGATTTATGACTGAATTATGGCTTACATGGTCACAGCTTGATGAACCCGGCACGTTTTGGTATCACTCCCACGAAAAGGGACAATATCCGGATGGCCTGCGTGGGCCCCTTATTGTTCAAGATCCCAATGACCCCTACAAGGGCAGGTATGATGAGGAGATTGTCTTGACTGTGTCCGATTGGTAAGTGTCCTTCTTAACTTGGGCCAGCAAGTATCTTATAATACCATAGGTACCATTCTCAGAGCATCCCGCTTGTTCAGAACATGCTGTCTCCTGCCAACACGCGGTTCGCTCCACCATTCCCGGATACCATCTTGCTTAACGACAAGAAGGATGTCAAGTTCAACTTTGTCAAGGGCAAAACCTACCGCGTCCGTCTCATCAACATGTCCGCCTTTGCCTCTGCCTTCCTCTGGATCGACTCACACCCTCTCACCATGATTATGAGCGACTCCACCTACCTCCAAACCGAAACCGCCTACCAGTTACATGCCAGCTCCGCCCAGCGGTATGACTTCCTCATCTCCGCCATCGACCGCGACTCCGGCAACTACCCCATCCTCGTCGCTCTCGACATCAACCGGGACTTCCGCAACCAAACCCTCGCCCCTGCCTTCCCTCACAACCAAACTGCCTGGCTCATGATGGACGAAAACGCCCCCCTAACCCGTCCAACCAACACCATCGACGTCTGGCGTCCCGCCGACGACACGCACTTCAAACCTCTCGACAACCTCGCCATGATCCCCGCCTATGACCATCTCGTCAAGCTCGACTTCCGCTTCTGCCTCGACGCCAACGGCTACCCGCGCGCCTGCCTCAACGGCAAGCCCTTCATCAGCCAAAAGGTTCCCTCGCTGTACACCGCCGCGACAGTAGGCGAGAACAACACCAACCCCCTCGTCTACGGCCAAATCAACCCCATCGTCGTGAAAAAGGGGGACATTGTCCAGCTGGTGATCAATAACCAAGAAGCCGCGGGCCACCCGTTCCATCTGCACGGCCACAGCTTCCAGGTGTTGGACCGCGCGAGGCCGTACGCCGGTGACTGGCCCGGTCGCGACGTGAACTATAACCCGGTGCCGAACCGGCGGGATACAGTGACGGTCTGGTCGTGGAGTCACGCCGTACTGAGGTTCAAGGCGGATAACCCGGGCGTGTGGTTGTTCCATTGCCATATCGAGTGGCATGTGGAGATGGGCCTGACGGCGAGCTTCATTGAGGGGCCGGAGCAGCTGAGGGGGAAACAGTTCCCCGCGGACCATTTGGAGAATTGTAGGGTTGGAGGTGTACCGACGAGGGGAAACGCGGCGGGGAATGAGCTTGATCCGTTGGATACGACGGGTATGTTGACGATAAGTCCGACGGGTTATACTGGGTAGGTTTTCCTTTCCTTTTTTTTTTTTTTTTTTTCTTCCTCTGGTTGAGGATTTGACTTTGCTGGATGGTTGATGACTAACGAATCTTATGTGCAGTGCTACATGGATTCCTCCTCCTGCTAATACTGTGACTACGACACCTGGGAACTCAACTTCTCCTCCTGCCCGGAGGAGAGCGGCGTCGAGGGTTCAGCGTCGCGATGCTGTTTTTGAAAATAGTTAGCTGATCATCTAGACGAGCTGGGTTTAATGGAATGTGGCCTCCTTAAATCCTGTAGCCGCTCAATTTTGGAGATTGGGTGGTTACTAGGTTGAGATGGAGTGTCCGAAGAATGACCATGGGGTGGTGGATGACAGGTACATGGGTGAACGGGGGTTATAGGGGATTGGGAGGTATCTTAAGATAACGGCGTTTCTGTGAGAATATGTTGGTTGGGCATCTGTTTCTTGGTCATCACCCCGTTTTGGATAATTTTAATACCACTTCTTGGCTACCTGTGTTCAGTTTCATCGAGGTAACGTGATATTGTGGTTGCTATGGACATTGGGTATCACAGTGCATGCATTTAGGGTCCGAGCATTCGTGGATTTCTTTTGTTTAGAGTACATATAATGTAACACCAGTTGCTGCGCTCAGTTCTCCCTTTCATCGCCCTCATTACACGCCCATTTTTGTCCATCTTACAATTCACCCCCCTTCCCATCCATACTGAGCCACGTCTTTTGAGGTGCGATGAGCTACCAGCAGCGAGCAGCATTCACCCGAATTCCCCTTATTCTGCCGTCATCATCACCAGACGTCTGTCAAGCCGTACGAGTCCAATTCTGAAAAGAAAGTAAGGTATTAATCATTCATTACAATCATTACCCTAACCCAATGGTTTTCATTCATCCTTCCCCCATCCCCACTTCTAACCTTCCCCAAAGCCTCTCACCCCCTTTACTCAGTAAAATCCGTGCTCGTGCACTCCTCCCTCCACTCCTCCATCTGCTTCTTCTGCTTCTCCTGCACCGCCGCCCAAATCTCATAGGCATCCCTTCCAATAAGCAGTCTCGCGGGCAGTTCACGGTCCGCATACTTGCCGTTTCCACTGAGGGCGTCGACAACAACAGCCGCCAGCTTCTTGGGGTCGCCAGGCTGCTTGTTGTTGGCCGCCTCCCACATAGCCAACGTCTTCTTCATCTCCTCGCTTCCGTTGGGGCCCCTGAGCTCGGGAATCGTCCGGGCGGGATGGATCAGATGGCCCTGGTCGAGGACGGACGTCCTGAAGTAGCCGGGCTCAATGCAGGTGACCTTGATGCCCAGGTGCTTGACCTCGCCCGTCAGAGCCTCGGACAGGATGGAGCACGCGGCCTTGGTGCTGCTGTACAGACCACCGCCCGGGGGACCGAGGTAGGACAGGATGGAGCCCACGTTCGCCAAGGTTCCGGCGCGCTGACGGCGCAGAACAGGGAGCACGGCGCGGCCGACGGCCAGCTGGCCCAAAACGTTGGTGTTGAACTGAGCGAAAGCCTCCTCGGCGGAGGCCTCCTCGCAGCCGCCGGCCAGGACGTAGCCGGCCGAGTTGACGACGATGTCGATGCGGCCCGAAACGTTCTTGGGATGGGAGACGATGCGGGCGACGGTCTCGGCGAGGACGGCATCGGGGGAGGTGACGTCCAGGGTCTCGGGAATGCAAAGTTCCTGGGAGGTCAAAGATTCAGGGATCTTGGCCGTGTTGCGAGCGGTGGCGAAGACGATGTCGCCTTGGGCGAGGGCGCGGAGGGCAATCTCGCGGCCGAGGCCGGAGGAGGCGCCGGTGATAAGCCAGACTCTGGGGGTGGAGGACATTTTGATTGTGTAGAGGTGGGTTTAGGGTAGAGTTGTTTGTTTGAAGACGGATTGAGGAAGGGAAGAGAAAGGATGTTTACTACAATTGAAGTCAAACGCAGGGACGTTCGGGGATGTAGCTATTTATAATGTGGGTATCAGGCGAAAAAAAAAGCCTGGCATCGGCTTGAATCCATCAAGATCCATGGAATTTAGGTCCCGCATTTCCAAACCACGGCCCGGCCGCTGTCGTTCCCCGGGGATCCGAAAGGGTCCTGTGCGGCTACGCTACAGAACTTCCCCGACCGTTCTCCGGGAACCAATTGGTGGGACAGCGCCCCTATCCGTTATAGGGGTTGTCAACTAGTCAACTCCCCAACGGCGATCTTGGGGCAAGCTAGGAGGCTCCTTGTTGTCAAGGGTCAATGATTTCCACTCACCGTCATCCACGTGGTAGACCGGCGCCGTTTGAAAAATTTAATGTGTCGGGGTTCGGCGTGTAGTGTACATTATGTACAATTCAGAAGTGATTGATGCAGTTTCCTGTGATGTCCATGTACAAACAGTATGTAGGCTGTCGGAAATATGAGGTAAGTAGGGATTGATGACAGGGACAAATGGGTGAACAGGTTGATGAGGCTTTTCTCCTCACCCGGTAAAACGTAAAACTGGCGAGTCAATCTAGGTGGTTTCCTCCCCCGAATCTCCAAAAAGTTCATGATTGAAATGCTGGGCCAAATTTCCGTTTTGGGCTTCTCTGGTGTAAACAAGTCGAGAAACGGGGGTGGAGAAAAAAAGATAATCAGGGGGATAGTCGCCAACATTGTACTAAACTTGGACGTCCTCTTTTTTTTCTTCTTTGCAATGCCGGCGGTATAGAAATTGGGGGTAGGTTGAGCGGAGGGGTTGGGGGAGAGTGGGAAAGTACTATAGAAAATGGCATAACTACCTAATGATACATGGAAAACGCAAAGGGAAAACTGGCTATAACAAAATGCGTGTCAGTACTAGGTAGTGTAGAGACATGAACAAAACGACTCCTTCAAATACACACTCTCGTCTCCCACTCCTTGATAAATTCCCGCAGTGACGACAGATATCCAATGTGAGAAACATAGCCGTCAGGTCTCACCATCACATATCCCGCACTCCCATTGTCCAATCCAAGCACACCATGGACCCGACCACCCGGGTCCGCATATGTGGAAGCTTGCCCCTGCCCCGCGCGACTACCACGATCCTCCTCTGTAGCGTGGTAGTAGAAAATGCAGTGAACTGAGCACTCACTTTTCACCACCGCCAATACCCTCTCGCCTGCCAGTGTCAATCCCTCCACCGTCACCGCATCGCGACCTTCTGTTCCACCTATTCCGGAGAACAACAGCAAATGCCAAGACGCGCCTCGACAAAGTTGATGCAAGCTCGTTTCTTTCCTCCTCGCCAACAGGTCAGAAGCCGTTATCCCGCCATGAGATCGCCCTAGCTCGATTACCTTTCCATCCGGCAATCGATCACCGCTGCTCACCTTCTCCGGCCGCGATGATAAGGATGAGGATGAGGATGACCATAACCATGACGGCCAAGACGTATTCACCCCATCACCACCACCGACCACACAACTCTCCCCCGCGCTTGCCAAACCCGAATACGTCGTCCCAAACCCCGAAATAAACCCATAAAACCTCTTCCTAATCCACTTCATCCCAACCAACCACGGCATCACCCACGGCAGCACCGTATTCCTCACTTTGAGAACCCACGAAGTCGCCGCTGCCGTGAAGCTAAAGATCCTATCCGTCCCCTGAAGCAACGCCCTCCCCACGGGGTATCGCTCGGCGTGATAACTGTCCAGCAACGCCTCCCTTGCCTCCTCCGTCAGTGTGTCCCGGTACTTGAGCACCGTCCCCAGCTTCCAGCCCAGATTGATGGCGTCCTGGATCCCCACGTTCATGCCCTGTCCGCCGGCAGGACTGTGGATGTGCGCGGCGTCGCCGGCCACAAAGAGTCGGTCGGACCGGTACGAGTTGACGCCCCGGTGGTGTAAGCGGAAGCGGGCGAGCCAGACGGGGGAGTGCACGGTGCCGGAGCCGGGAGGGGCGATGGAGTCCACGAGGGATTGGAAGTGCGCGAGGGTGGGGGGTTCGTGAGTTTGTTCACCGTGCTGCCGCTGTTGTTGTTCAGTAGGGACCACGGGAGATCCTGATCCTGATCGTGGTGAGTGCTTGAGGACGGAGCGGCCACCTGATGCGATGAGGCGGATGAGATCTTCCTCGCCCTCGCTCTCGCTGTGAGATGATTGAATGGGGAAGAATGCCAGTAGGCCCGTGTCGCCGAAACAAATGGTGAAGCGGTCCCGCGCAACGTTGGAGTTGCGTAGGCGGGCGTCGCAGAGGATAAAGTCTTGTGGGTAGGCGTCCCCGTCAAAGGTGAGGTTCTTTGCTGAATGTCGGACCAAGCTGTGCGCGCCGTCACAACCGACGACGTACTTGGATCGAACCGTGGTCTGAGTGCCGTCTGGCTTTTCTAGAGTTGTGGTGACTCCGTTGGCGTCCTGGACGACGCTGGTAGCAGTATAAGCCCGCTCAACCGCCTTGCCATAGTCGGCCAGAGACTCATCCAGGAACTGCTCGGTTTCGGCTTGAGAGACCATCAGAGGCAAAGGATAATTCGTGTCCGTGATGTCAAGATCATCCAGATTCATTTTGGCTACCAGTTTTCGGTTGATGTTCAACACCCCGCCACGGGTGATAGTACCTCTAGAGATGAGCTTGTCAACAGTTCCATGGCGATCTAGCAGCTCCAGAGTACGGGGGTGAACGATTAAGGCTCTGCTTTTCTCTGATCGGACTGGGCTCTTGTCGATGATACGGAAAGATACGCCTTGCAGAGCCAGTTCAAGGGCGAGAGTAGTCCCTACTGGGCCAGCTCCGACTATCAGGACGTCGCAGTGGTCCATTATGTGATTGTGGACGTGAGGTGTTGTGTTGCAACGAATGATTTTTGGATGTGTAAGAGACCAAAGACGATGATGGTGTGATGTTGTCAATGTTTGGAGCGGAGAAGCTCCCTCTACCACTCACCGTTCATATCCACGATGCGCTTTGACATTTTATAGGAGGTCAAGTCCGTAATGTCCAGAATTGTAAAGTCATTTCCATCTGGCATCTGACTCCTCCCGCCGGACAGGTTCGGAAAGAGACTCTCTTCATCACTGGTGATAGTCGGTTTTTGACTGTCAGCTGGACAGATTTACTCCGAGTTACATCCTCAGCAGGAAAATGTCGCATTTCACGTCGTCGCTACCGGTAACTAACAAAAGAGCATTTGTACACTATTGGATCGTAGTAGTCATCGTGCTCCTAGCAATGGCTGAGTGCGGAAATCCCAGGAACTGGTCCGTTGTGTCCGACATTTTCCGCAACCAATTCGTAGTAAAATAATGTACCACACGAATCCTCGTATAGATGGCACTATTCACAGTATTTCAAACCAATCGCCGGAAATAAGCAAGTGACGAGATGGAAGGTTGGGAACAGGGCGAAGCAATGGAGCACTGAGATTCCCACCACTGGCAAAAGCGATAGTTCCCGGAGAGGTCCTTCAATATGCGTGCCATACTGGCAGAGAGAATGACCATTGAGGAGGCACGAGGTCGGACATCGGGGTGAACGGGGTCCGACGACAAACAAGATGACAGCAGCGAGGTGACGCCGTCAAGGTACTCGGCCTGTGCAAGATGCCTGCCGGATGGGTGTTGTGCTGAGTTGCCGCCGGCTATCCGTCCAGACCTGCGTTTGCAATTGAACAGGGCTGACAGTTGACGGCTGTCCTACAGCTGCGGCTAAGACCCCACTCTGAATTTCGCATCTTGCACTCGTGCACAGACCAAGACCAGTACCTATTTAATATTCTCCTCCCACCCAAACGTTTACCTGGTTTTCTCTTCTTTTTTTCTTTAGCTCTCTTTGCCTTTTGGCTTAGATCAAGTGTAGTATCTGTTCTTTTCAGTTTAATCTCTGAAAGTACTCTACGGAGTACAATCGTGATTATTCTAATTTTTGCAACGCGGTCGGTTTTCCTCTAGGCTTGCCTATGATTACCTTCCACTGTGTCCCTGGTATTACACTGCCTCCAGGCGACGCGAACTACTACTTGTTTGTGCTCAACCTTTTCTTCATTGCAATCTTGGGCTGCGCGCTTGGGGTGTGAGGAAGATGATGTCGTCAGTTTGACTTGTTCGTGTCCAAAATGTAGGGTGAAGTTATTTTGCTTGGAGGTTCATGCGCGCGGGGCGGCTACAGTGCCTGCAGTTGATGTTCACGCACGCAATGCTTGATGACAGTGTTGAACCATGCCGTTGGTCGCGACGGGCCGCAATGTGACGCACCCTATTTTGGAACCAACTCGTAGTCAAGGTTGGCGATGCGACAAGTGTTGTTCGTGTGTGTACAGCGCATCTGGCATCCTTTTCCCCCCTCCAGCTGAAATGGCCGAGGCATGTTTTGCGATGGAGACGTCAAATTGATGGCCCCAGGCAACTGAAGTGTGCAGGGAACAGCGGTCCATGATGCCACTTCGTTCATCCAAACCTCTCACTCCCAGAAAGCAGGACGGAGCAATCAAATCAGACGACGCAATTCAGGTCAAAGTGTCCAACTTGCGCGTGGAGCCGTCATCACCACTTCTGAACCTCAACACCACCAATCCATCATAGCCTTGCGATCCACGCCCACACCTCTTGTTCAGCTGGCATTGCTTCATTTTTATTGTTATTGTTAGATATCTTGTACATCATTGTTACCGTTCAGCCGCATTCGCTTTCGTCGATTATTTCGCGCCCGATCAACCTGGGAGCCAATATTGTACGACAATCACATAGCCACACATAAACGTAACCGCATTTCATCATGGCAGGAGGGTTAATGAACTCGATACATGCCCCAAAGGCACATCAACCACCGCCATCCTCATCGCCGCCGCCATCTCATTCGCACCGTGAGTCTCCCTTGCTCAGAAGCTACATCCATGCCCCCTATCCCATCTCAGCCCCCATCTCCAGTGCTCTTAGCCTGGCACGTACAGTCTCCAGTATCTGGCCAGAACACGACGGACACATCGGCTGTCAGCGGAATACTGGACCACTGTTCTGGGCATGGACGGAAAAGGCACTATGGTGGTCGTTGAAGCTGTTCCAGCCACGGAGCATGCATATTCTCAGAGGCCGCCAAATATGGACTGCACAGGCTTGATGGCATATGTGGTATCGCAGACATGACATCACATACCGCATTAACCAGGGGTCTTTGCTCTCTCATGCCACATGCCTTATGGCATCCGGTCTTCTACCGCAATGCTTGTCCAGTAGCTGACCTCTCTCCAGATTCCCATCATGATGAAGGCGACTCTTTCCACGATGGACCAGGTCCAAAGTCCAAGAAGCACCGCCCACCACGCAAAAAGCAGCTCATGAAATACATTCCCAAGTCCGATCCAGAACCTCAGCAACAGTCACCACCACCGCCTTCTCCACCAGTTCCGGCAGCAGCACCCGTGAATCCTCCGTCTCCACCAAGGGCCCAAGTATCCCCTCAACTACAGCCGCAGGCCGGGGCTCAACGAAAACCCTCTGTGGTCGCCCCCAGTCCTCCACCTCCCATCACCACTACCTCCATCCCCATCAGGACCACCACCAGCAACACCTCCCCGACCCCCAAATCCCCGGTCCGCGTTAGCCCCTCCGCCAAACACGAATTGATCCGCTACACCAAGATCGTCCGCCGCCTCAAATGGAAGCTCCCCTTCCTGGCCTCCGGCTACGCCCTCGCGCTTAAGGGCCGCAACCCCAAGCATGGCGACGCCGTGATCAGCGGTGGCGTGCTCAACGAGGGGGAGATCATGTTCAAGCTCGATTTCTTCGAGTACTACATGCTCATCGAGCGCGCGCTGGTCCATCTGCTGGGCGTGTTTGGGATTACGGTTAGTGGAAATGGGATTCAGGGGAAGGGGTTGGCGGGGAGTCGGTTTAATCAGCACGGAGGAGGAGGGAGCCGGGCAGGCAGCCGTGGGGGAAGTCCTAAGGAGGGTTCACCTAATCGGGCTGCTGCAGGGGGGGGAGGGGCTGGGGCTGGGGCTGGGGGAGAGGGTGCTGCTGCTGCTGCTGCTGCTGCTGCTGGGGGAAATGGGAGTGGAAAGTTTCAGCATCGGTATCACGCTCATGTTCTGGAAGCGTTTGATTCCCCTGTTCATCCGTTGCATGATATCCTGGGCAAGGGCGAAGTGCGCAAGCAACTGCAGCGGGCAAAAGACTTGCGGAACCGATGGAAGACGGCCGACTCGGAGGCCGAGGAGAAGGAGCGGGTCAAGTTGACGGCCCCGTTGGAGAGTTATGACGTGGAAAAGATGCTCGAGACAATCTTCCAAGGGTTCGATGCGGCCTTCTTGATTGCCGAGTGGCATGTTCGGGACAAGGAGGGTGGTTTGGAGAAGGGTGCGCAGTCGTCGCTGAACTGGGCAGATGATGATGATGAGGACGGCGATGCGACCATGATGGACTGGGCGGCGCAGGAGGCGGATCAGTGGGAGTTCATGGTGGATGCTATGGATTGGGAAGCTGTCTGAGCAAACCTTTGCCCTTGATGACATTCCACGGTTGTATTATGATGGGGACTGGGAGCTAACGGACAGTAAAGGACTACTAAGCTTTTTTGTATCAATTTGGAAATATGACTAGCAATATCAAATAGCATTCCAAGCAGGGCTGGATCTCGGTCTTGATAATGGTGATGGCTTCCCATCTTCTAACGAAGGAGCAGAAGACGCCTATGGTAGGCGTTTGAAATCCTCCAACAACTTCTCCTGTTTCAAGTCGTTTGTTTGGATGTATCCCTGCAGCCAAAATTCGAGCTTCAAATCTTGCTACGACAGTGGGCAACAAATGAGATGCCTCACAGCGCGCTTTATTGACTACTATAAACCCTGTACTCCCCTCCTCGACCAGAAATCCTTCCGTTGTCGTCAACTTCCCTCTAACAACAACACCTACTCCGCCAAAGTCCTCACCACCTCAAAGCCTCCAATCTTGCAACCAATATTCGACATCTCATCAGAATGTACTTGCACATGGTACCACCAATGCTTATATAAATCCGAAACATAAAATGGCAACCACCGAAGAAGGCCAATTTAGCTATAACTCGGTGCCTCTTCCAGACGCCAGCACTCACGTCCGTCTACTGGAGATCTGCCCCGTCTCTGATAATGAAGACGAGCTCTACTGCAAGTTATACGCCGCGCCCATTGCAGACTTGCCAGGCTATAGCGCTGTGTCATATGCATGGGGCGACAACACCAAAACCCACAGCATCCGGATCGTTGACTACGACCGGGCACCAACATCGACGGAGGAAGGCTTGGACAAAGAGAATGGGCACCCATGCCTCCTACCCATCACATCTTCACTGGATACCTGTCTGCGTCAATTCCGCACATACAAGGAACTCCGCTTGACGCCTCTTTGGATCGACCAGGTCTGTATCAATCAAGATGATGACGAAGAAAAGTCGTCTCAGATTCAACTCATGAAGCAGATCTACTCATCGGCAAAGGAAGTTTACGTCTGGCTCGGCCTGGACGCTGATGGCTCTGACGAAGTATTTCAAGCCTTTCGCCAGGTTGCCGAGTGCATGTGGGACTCTGAACTTTTCGGCAAGGGCCGGGCTACAAAATGGTTTCCTGCCCCTCGCGCCATCTTTTACAACAGAATAGACACCCCTGAGGTCCAAGAGTTGCTTCGGAAAGTCGTACCGATAGTCGTCCCACTGTTGCGGGAGAAGAAGTTCCTGGCTTGGTACAAGAGGAACTGGTTTTCACGGATATGGACCATCCAAGAGTTTTGTCTCAATCAGTACACCTTCTTTATGTGCGGTGACAGAGCGGTCCTTGATGAGGTTGTGCTACTGGTATGGGAAGTATTCCTCATTCTTCCCGACTTCCATCACGATACAAGATTCCGGAACGCCTTCAAAGACCATCCTGAGATCCTTTCATTGGTGGATTCGGTACCAGCAACCCTACTCGCACCCCCGATGCAGCATCTGTTTGAGACAAAAGGGTCGTTTAAGCGTGGGAAACGCGCCTCTTTACGAGAACTACTCGTACAGGTATCTACGCGGCTTGATCTCGGCGACCACCGCGTCGATATTCTCTCAACAAAATATCGGGATAGAGTTTATGGGCTGCTAGGTCTAGCGGCCGATGCCGAAGAGCTCGATATTCGGCCGGATTACAGCAAGTCCACCACCACCGCTGAGGTACTCACACAGACAGCGCGGAGTATCATCAGGACGGAAGGCAGCGTTTCCATTCTCCGTTTTTCACAATTTCCAAAACACAACGTCGAGGATCCTGACGAAGCCGGCTACTGCCAACCCGAGCAACTCCCGTCATGGGTCCCAGACTGGGCGAACGGAACACAGTACAGCTATCAGTTCCTCGACAACGTATTCTCAGCCTGTGGCAAATTTTCATCAACAGCCGACCTCATCCCCACCTCCTCTCCATCCATTCTCGGCCTCCGGGGCCTGGTGATCGACAAGATCGAGGCCGTGGGCTTGCCATGGCGTGCAGACTGGGGTCTGAAAGCCTACCACCGCTACATCCTCCAGTATTTCGCCATTATCAAAGACATGAAGCGTCGCTCAGCAGAAAAGAACTCCTCCAGCTTTGACGACGACATATACCGCAACCCCTCAAGACGCAACCAAGCATTATGGCGCCTGGCAGTCGGCGACTGCTACGTGAACGGGCCCCAAAAACGAGGAAGGGCAACGGCTGATGACGTTGTCCCGGTCTTTATGGAGTTGATTGACCATTGCAAATTTTGCTGTTCCGTGGACGAGAAACTACAAAAACAGCAGCAGCAAAGCGAAACCGGTAGCGGCAACAACAACAACAACAACAACAACAACGAATCATCACCCCCCGAACTCGACCAGGAAACCCTTAATTTCATGGCCGATCGCTGGGACGAGCTTCAATCCAAAGGATCATACCTGAACAACATGATGCACATGGACGGAAAACGCCCGTATCTCACTGCTCAGAAGGGATACCTGGGCATGGCGCCCAAGCATGCGCAACCCGGTGATGTGGTGGTCCTGCTGTGTGGGGATAGCATACCTTGTGTGCTCAGGCCGACAGGACATGGAGGGGGCGGCGACGATTATAACAGTACCGCTAGTAACACGTACATTCTTGTTGGCGAGGCTTATTGTGATGGGATCATGGATGGGGAGCTGGAAGGGAGGTTGGAGAGGGAGAGGCAGGATTTTTTCCTTGCATGAGTCGGTAGGTCGCGGCCGATACATTCTTCTAAATAGGAATTCACTTGGATTAAGGCTATAGGCCAATGAAATACCCCCAATAAGCACATACGACCATACCCACTGGAAAACTCGGGATCCCGTCCGCTCTCCCATAGATAAGCCAGTGAGGGCCAGACTAGTAGTTGGGTCGGTGACGACCAGCGAATCCCTGGTGTTGTATGTTTTTTGCTTGCATTTTTTTGGCTTCCTCTCTACCCTCCCATTCAATCTATTTACTTTCAATGCCTTTCTTCCGCTTTTTTTTCTCTTCTCTCCCCGAATTATATCCCACCTCAGGCAGTAGTCGAATTCCCATCTGCACAAGACAGATCAGTCAACGTTTAGTCGCTCTATTTTTTTACATCCCTTCAGTTCTTGACCATTTTCAAGAAGAAAGATGTCATAACTCCCAGTAGAGGGTTTGAGAATATTGGACATTACTCGATGACTTGAGCCCAGCCCCAAAACGTATGTCTTCCCTTTATTTTGGACAACAGCGTGAAGTGTAGCGACACATCAAACGGACCGCTCACCTATCGTAAACCCGCCCTCACCACCCACATCTTTCATACCCCAAACATCTCCTCAAGCCTTCTGCTTCTCTTTCACCTCCTCCTCCTTGAGCCTCGCAACCAACTTCTCCATCAAAAACGGACTTAGTCCCAAGCTGTAAACATCCCAACCGTTAGCAACCACGTCAACCAACGATCTTCACACCTCACCTCACCAAAACAAAATACTCACATGCCCTGATTCGTAACAACCCGATAAGTCCCACTCTCCTGGAACGTCCCCTCGATGATCTTGCCCTGTCCATCCACCTCCACGCTCCCAAAGATATCCTCGGGCCACGCAATCCTTCCAAAATCCACCGGCGTCCTCTCATCACTCAAGTGCACCCATCCTCCCCTGCCCGCGCCTCCAGCGCCTCCTTCAGCACTGGCACCGCCGGCACCCGTGTCGCTGCCCTTTTTGCCTACCTTTCTTGATCCAGCACGGGAAAGGAAGGAGAAACCGGCTGGGGAAGCAAAGGCTTGGGCTTGTGATTGAAGACCGGGATCGGAGTAGGCGTGTTCGGCGAGGACGGAGTTGAGAATGGAAAGAAAGTGGGGATTGGTGGTGAAGGACTGGGGAGTTGGCGGTAGGGCGGTGGTGGTGCCGATGGAGAGGGTGGGTGTGGGAGGGGTAGTGGGGAGGAGGGAGAGGGTGTAGCTTTTTGGGTCGTTTGGGTGGGGGAAGATTTTCTGTGGTGACGGGTGTTAGTATGGTGATCGAGTTGTTGCGTGGTGAGGTTGGATGGGGATGGAATGGGAGATGGTGGTGTGGTGAGGATGGGGAGTTGTGGTGTAAGTGAGGGGTGGGGTTGTTGGTGGAGGTGGATGGATGACTTGCAATGTTTGGGTTGGACGGTAAAGTCGTGATTGACCTGACTGCGCTTCGTAGCGTAGGAGCTGCACGAAATCTTGTGGCAAGCATCATGACTGGCCGTATTAAATCTGATATCGAGAATGAGAAGGTTGGTGATGGCGTCAAAAGTTAGTTGATGTCACCCTGGTGGTGTTAGTGCGTCTAGGTACTTGTACGCGTAGGTACCTGCTGTAGGTACCTCTCTAGCGCTGCCGGCGGCAACCAGGGTGGCCCTTGATGCCCCTGTTTCTGACATTGTGGAGCCCACATTGGCTGAAATCTGGGGTGAGCCCCACCAAAACGCGTCTGGTCCCCTGCTTCGTTTCTCAATTTACGCGTCTTCCAGACAGTGACAATGACGGATATCACCACCACGAACACACTGGCAGACGGCCGATTGTAACCGACTACAATAAATTACAAGTCTAATCGAGCTACCCAGACCACAGACACAATGATCGTTCAAAGTCCCCGCCAAAAGCGGACGAAAAACGGCCAGACAAACGCCCAAGACAGACCATCTCGACCGCAGCCACAAGCAGCCGCCGCCGGCTTCTTTGCGCCCAAGAACCCAGCGGGCCCATCCAACCCAATACCCTCGTCCTCGCCCGCCTTCGCTACTCCAGTACATCCACTGAAGCCGTTCCAACCTCCAGTCCTCACAAAAGCCGCCATCCTGCCCATCATCCTTCCTCCAGCGACACTACGACCGCTCGCCTTCCGAACGTTCACCAAGAAACACAGCCTAACACTTACATCAACTGCCCTACAAGAGCTCGCAACCTTTATCGGTAGACACTGTGGCTCAGGATGGAGGGAAGAAGGCCTGGCCGAAAAGGTGCTAGAAGAGGTAGCAAGGAGTTGGAAAAACCGCAATGGCGGCGTCATCGTGGAAGGCAACAGCCCCGAGCTCAAGGACATTCTCAAGACCCTCGAGGGTAACATGAGCGGGGGAAAGATCTTGACCGGGCCACGAAGCTTAAGCAGACAAAACAGTCTCTTGCTAGAGCCCGAACAAGACGAACAACATGCGCATAGTCGACTCGGACTTCGGCCCGTGCCATCATTAACCCGGGAGGATAGCAACGCCAGCTTTGGCATGTCTGGGTTGGAGTTCACAGAAGAGCCGGAAGGCGATTCGGTGAGAGATGTTAGGAGGTGGCTGAAGGTTATACATGCTTTCGATCAACCACGGTTGATGTATAATGTTGGAAAGAAGCATTTTGAGAGGTATGGTCCCTCATCACCCTCTTGACATAGGTTACACAGCTAACCTTTGTAGGGATCCTTCCAAACCCTCCTTACTACCAGCCGCCTCTCACAAAACCGATGCCTTCCGCAACCGCTACAACGTTATCCACCAGCGCATCCTTCGCAACGAAGCCTTCCAATCCTCATCCGTCCAAGGCTCTAGCTTGCGCCAACGAACCAACGCCAACGGCCTCTCCTCCCACAAGATTACCCCAATCGCCAACCTACTCGGCCGCCACGGCAGCAATCATATGCTGCTGGGCATGCTTGTTGTCCTTCCCACTGGCTCTCTTGCCATAAGCGACCTGACGGGCACCATCACTCTCGACCTCTCCCACGCTGTCGCCATCCCTGAAGATTCTGCCTGGTTTACGCCGGGAATGATTGTTCTCATAGACGGTGTTTACGAGGAGGAGGAGGAGACCATGACCATGGGCAACGGTCTCAGTGGTAGCAGCGGTGTGGGCGGTACCATCGGCGGCCGGTTCCAAGGTTTCTTCATCGGCCAGCCACCATGTGAAAAGCGCCGCGTTACGCTCGGGGTTAGTGGGCCCGACGGCACCGGCGCTGATCATACCATTGGCGGCGGATTCGGCTGGATCGACTTCCTTGGCGTAGGCAGCGAGAGGGCAGTCGGGTCCAAAATGCGCAAGTTGGAGCACAGAATTCTTCGGCAACCAGCGCTGTTGGAGGATGGCAGGCCGTCGAGGGGTAGGGCGGTGATTATTGGCGAACTGAACCTAGATCAGCCGAGGAGTTTGCAGGCACTGAGAAAAATCTTGGGTCTCTATGCCAGTGATCCTGAAGGGTGCACACCCATGACGTTTGTGCTGGCGGGTAACTTCACGCAGCATGCTGTCATGGCGAGGGGCGGGAGTGGGGGAAGTATCGAGTACAAGGAGTTCTTCGATGCGTTGGCATCGACACTGGCGGATTTCCCTAGTCTGCTCACGACGGCCACCTTTGTCTTTGTGCCGGGTGACAACGACGGATGGGTGTCTGCCTTCTCAGGTGGTGCGGCAACTCCTTTGCCGAGGAAACCCGTCCCAGATCTGTTTACTTCCCGCATCAGGAGGGTATTCGCAGCAGCGAATGCTGAAGCCGGGCTAGCCAACCCAGGCAAAGAAACAGAAAAGGATGCAGGCAAGAGGAAAGGCGGCGAAGCTGTCTGGACAACCAACCCAAGTAGGATAACCCTTTTCGGGCCTAGTCACGAAATGGTTCTTTTCCGAGATGACATCTCCGCCCGGCTACGACGAGCTTCTGTCCGTCTTAAGAACACGAGCAAAGCTCCCGTCGAGCCAGAACCCCCAACCAGCGGCAACGACGACTCGGCAATGGGTAACCAATGTCCACCCTCCTCCCTCCCCGACGCCCCCGATGCCGACGACGAAGACATGGCCGACACAACCATGACCGACGCCATGGATGTCGATTCTGCCCCTGCCCCTAACCAAAAGACTACCATGCTACCTCCATCTTCCATACCCTACGACATCCTCGCCGCCCGCAGGCTAGTGAAAACCATTCTCGACCAAGGCTATCTCGCTCCTTTCCGGCAAGCTATCCGCCCGGTACATTGGGACTATACTTCTGCCATGTACCTCTACCCGCTGCCGACGGCCATGGTACTGGTGGATACTACCGCTCCGCCGTTTTGCGTGACGTATGAGGGGTGCCACGTGATGAATCCGGGGAGCATATTAGTGCCGGGGAGGAAGGGGGCGGCACGGTGGGTTGAGTATGAGTTACCGGGAGTGGGAGGGACGGGGACGGGTGGAGGGAGGGTTAGGGAGTGCACATTCTGAGCTTGTGCACATTTCGAGTGAATCGTCTGATTGTCTGGAGAAAAATCTGCCTTGAGCTTATTACGAGGCTGTGCTGGGAGATCTTGCTCTTGGATCGGTATAGGGGCTGGAACTGTCGGCTGTGTAAAGGTGATCGAGGGAAATGGTACTTTGTATTGCTGGAAGGACGCTACGGTGGCAGGGCGCAATCGAACTTCGGACACGGTGGGCATCTCTGGCGCCATCAATTTCTTTCCGTCAATTTCACGCCTCGCTCCCTATTGTGCTGCACCTCCACGTCATGGCTGTACTCCCCTTTACAACGCATGAAGTGAAAAACAGGCTTCAGCTTGCTTATCCATGCCGAAGACTAAATCACCGGAGATTAGGTCGGCTTAGCGCAAACATCCCCAGCCTTCCTGTCAGCAGCATACCTTGTTGCATGCTTCAAGAGCATTAAGTACCACGTCGAATGGTGATTGGTTTATTAATTCAAGATAAGATGGTACCAGCCTCCGCGACATGAACGTGTTGTTATCTGGTCTTCGTGGTGTGATTTACTCTTCTCTCTTTCTCTACTCCCTTTGGTCTTTCGATATTGATGACTCTACTGAACTGTCAAGCAAGCCATAGGGCGACAGCTTCCAACACGACGCCTGCCGATATCTTACAGCGTCTGCTACACGGAGGTCATGAACAGGGATTTGCGCGATTCGGATGATGACTGTCAGCAGACGCTTGGCCAGATCGCTCGGCATCATGGCCGATCAATCGTTGAGATGCTTGTGCAGATACAGAACGCCAAAACGGAGGAATGGAAGCCAACGAAATTTCTCCAGCCGCTGGAGTGCCTCCAACTCATCGACCGCCCTCTCAGCAACACGATTAAACCACTTGACAGTGATACAATCACCGTTCCAAAGCTACTGGACGATATTAAAGTACAACGGGGATTTCCTCGGATTTCAGGCGGGCAGGAATTTCCGGTCCAGAACGAGGGCAGGTTCATGAACCGCTGTCACCTTAACGTCCTCGACGGTCAGACCAAGTACATTGCTGTATCCTACACGTGGAATCCACCAGATGGACACGATAACACCTCCGGCCGATATTGGATAGCGAAGAGGGCCGGGAATGGCTTTGAACAGTCGCCGATACGTAATAGTCTCCTCGACCGTATCACCAACTACATGCGAGCACTATGTGTGGAACACCTTTGGATCGATCAGCATTGCATTGTCCAGACCACAACATGCACAATGAGTCACTGCGCTCATGACGACTGCAACGAAAAGCGGGAGGCAGTGCACGCTATGGACCTCGTCTTTGCATCCAGCGAATATCCCACGGCCTTCCTTTCACGATCTATCGATACATGGTGGGATCTGCGTTTGTTGCACGGTCTTCTTCGGCATTCATGGCTCATGCATTACAGCTCGTATGGTTATGGCGTTAGTATACGATCCCATCGACATGCTAAAGATACGCTGAAACTCGTGCACCGTCTCATCTGTGACCCTTGGTGGGCGAGAGCATGGCCATTTCAGGAGAGACATGTGACGAACTCAAGGTTGCAGCTGCTTTGGCGATATCCTCCCCACCTCGAGAAGCAAAAGCAGGCGCTGTTTCCAGAGATGCAAGTTCCAGGAGAGATCAGCATTCAAGCTATTGAATTCCTTACCCAGGCTGACATGTTGTGCCGTGCGATGATGGTCCGACATATTTCCAGCGAACTACATCCTGAAGAGACCAGCGAACTACATCCTGAAGAGAACGAAATGATACGCCGAGTCTTTCAAGCTGTCGTTCACGACGGGCCATGGCTCGGATCGCGTCCTATAATACCCGCTCTTGTTGACACAGCTATATCAAAAGACGTAGCAAAGCACTGGGACCGTGTTGCTATTATAGGAAACTGCTGTCGATACACCAAAAGACTAGAGCTTCAGTACCTGCAGCAGACGGATAAAAGCCTTAGTATCTATCCTAGCCCTCGTTCTTTTGAATGGAGAGGTGCTGAACAATCGCCGAAAGCGAGACGAACAGAGAGCAGCCGACATGACAGTCTCCCAATATCTAACGTCGCGGCTATGCAGGAACGGATACTACGCAAGCCGATGTGGCTTTCTCGACGTTACGTTTACCATGAAGGGTATTCGAACAGAAGGACACCTGTGGAAGTTAGGCAAGGTTATCGACGCCTCCGTATGGTCGGTCGGCGACCCTGTTATCTTTAAACCGGATCCTTCCAAATGGCCAATGGATAACAGTAAAGATGCGAACGAGCATCGCTGCTGGTGGAGAGCAGTACGATGTCGAATCCTGATTGCGAAACTCAAAGCTTCTGGCTATAGCAATCTAGCAGAGAACCTTCAACAGCTTTTGAGACACTCCATAACTGATTGCTTATTCCGCCCGAACCATTCGAAAGGAGGGCAGAGTACGCCGCCACTCGCGACCCTCGAAGTGATTGATGCAATTGGTCGTGGGAAGAAGGTCAGAGTAGGATGTCTCTGGCACCCTGGACTGCCCTCGGAGCCATCTTCTTATAGTGCTCTGTTTGTTTGGGAGGGAAACTGGTTCGACAATGTGGGAGACCATGAGCAGAACAATACTCTCTTCCCGACAATGGTGTTTACGGCCACTCGAGTGAACGATTTCAGCTCCCCTTTTGATCCAATCGACGAGCATCCAAAATTCTCCTCTGAAGAGGGGAAATTTCATCGACATCTGTCGTTGGAGGTGGAAATAGAAAACCCGGGTGCCAAGAATGTCGTCTTCAGCAAGAGAGCTGGAAATCTACCATCGCTAAAGACCAAGCGATGGATCAGCGGTCTGCATTTCCCAGAAATCTGCATGCGCCCATCACGTCAAGTTGTGTTTCCTTGGCCCCATGAGCTGGCGGCCATTGGAGGCCATCATAGGGTTCCTGATCCCCGTCCGAGCCGAACAAAGATATATGGTGAAATAGCTTCTGACTTGTACAAATGGGATAACCCTATATATGAACGTACAGGAAGGCGGTAGCGCTCCACGCAACTTGATTTCATTCAAAAGCAGAAACCTTTTTAGTCCATTTTTCAAATGTCAACCATACAAAAACCGAAATATGTTACTTTTTTTAATTTAGATTGTCCGATACTTGCTGTTTTATGAATAGGTACATAGGTGCTCATGAAATGCGTTTAGCATTTGCCCCCTTTTAACCCCCATGGGGTTGAGAAGTAGAGTAAGACGACAAACACATTTCCCATGGACCTCGTACTATTGTGACCGTCAGAGAAGTCCGGTAAGTACCATCAATAGGAGTGTACTTCACACTACAGAAAAGTATTTTGATGCCATCTACAAGCTTCAAGCGAGTGAAAACATTTGGGCATCACTATTATGAAAGAGTAGCTTCTTTGCTGCCGTCACAGAGGTCTTACAGTTCAGTAGCACTTCAATAAGAAGTACCACGTTGCCCCCTCTTTCGCACCACGGGGTGGAAAGATGTAGCGCGAGGTAGACGTAAGGTAAAACAAGACATCAAAACAGTACAATGGCATAGTTATGCCCGTCGCATGCGTCGACTGCACAGGCCCACACCATCGTGAGGCTGTTCTTTTGGAGCAACAACACGGAGATAAGATCTGCTGGGAGGTGCGTAGAAATTGCAAACTGCCCACTTCCGGACACCTCAATCTACTTTCTTCTATCACTGGAAAAGAGAAGAACCAAACGCATATAAGTGAGTAAAGTAAAGAAAAAAAAAAACAAAGAAATAAAAAAAAAAAAGGTACGAAAAAACATACAACACCAGGGATTCGCTGGTCGTCACCGACCCAACTACTAGTCTGGCCCTCACTGGCTTATCTATGGGAGAGCGGACGGGATCCCGAGTTTTCCAGTGGGTATGGTCGTATGTGGTAGTAGTGTTTGGAGAATATGCCTATGTAGTCCACTGTTCTATTTGATAACGATAAACATCTGGTGCTTCACCCCTTCGAGCCAACAGCTAGGTCACTTGTCATTCAAAGACCCTTCAATAAAGGTATGCAGCAATCCTGAGGTGTAACACCCCAATATTGTGTGCACGGCGCTAACCTTGCCATAGTTCAAGTTACTGCGAAGTAAAAATCAAGGAGGCGAGACCGTATGATGACGTGGGTTAAGGAGGATTGTCTTCCATCTAAGTTGTGTTGTGGTTCATGACTTAGAATGTAGTGTAGATGCTCTGTAATATTGGAGATAGTCTCTCGTGTTTGATGTTCGCGTCTGGTGTGTTCTGGCTTGCTGCTAACTAATGATGCCAAATGGGGAAGAGGTAACCTCTTAGTGGTCCCGGATAGGATATTTCTCAAGTATTGGTAAACCTCGTCCTACGGAACGCCACCAAGCTGAGTCTTCAATATAGACCAACAACCGGACTTGCTGCCATGTCGACCGTTTAGTGAACCCGGATGAGCACATCCCAGACGTTGTAAATAGAATCTCTCATGCCAGCAACCCTCCATTGTAGTCCAAGATGAAGGCCATCGCTTGGGTCATTATTTTGGCGGGCGATGTATTCGTCTCCGGGTATGAACCACATCATGGCCTTCACTGGCTTCAGTAGTTGGATAAGATATAGATGTTCCCCTAGCTACCGTTTTGGTACGCATTCTTGATATCTGTAGCAGAGTTCGCTCTTCTTGATTCTCTAAACGGGATAGAAATGCCCTCAAGGCTATGCATCAGGTTTCACTGGAAATGAACTTGACAGCCCTCAAAGCAAAGACGGCAGGTGCAAAAAAGCTCCTCTTGGAGAGTACATGCTTGGGTATTTCACTTGGATTGCCAATCGTTTTCTAAACGTCGAATATTTCGGTTAATGCTGGCGTTAGTGGCGGTAGTGTGTATCACCCCGTGATCCCACCACACCAACGGAGCTCGCACATGTTGATAAGGTTGACGCCATTCTATGTTTCGTTACATCTGCTGTAGTCTATCATATTGGCCCTACAGTTCTCTTATTATGGGCATCGAGCGCCATGTTGACACCGAAAATAAATCAAGGCCCATGCCAAATCTTTTCCAGGATCTTCCGAGCCTCCGCGTCATGTTGTGCGGCTACGGGCAACAAAGAAAACAATCATGTTAGCTAAACTGTTCAAGTCCGTAAGGAAATGAGATCGTAGTGACATGAACCGGTGCCTACCTTGCGTGAGCCGAGCAATGATCTCTTCGATGGGCAACTTTGCTTTTTTGGCCTTCGGTTTGGTCACCTTGTTGGGATTGAAACCGGAGGATGGACCCGCGACGGAGTTAGTCTTGTGAAGTACAAGCGTTGGTTAGTTACATGTCAAGAGGTTTGTGATGGTTTTGGGTCTGTATAACAAAATGATTAGCTACCTTGGAAGCGATGGGGCCGCCATATACCTCGTCGCATAGCTTGCCAAGTTTCTCGAGATCCTCGTTGACCTCGGCTAGCGTCAGCCCCTTCTGTACAGTTGGGGGCGCTGCGAAGCACCTATGAGCCCGTTCTTCTGTGGGAGGATGCGTCATGTTTGCTAAGTGTGTTGGCGGTTGTACTGTGAGATGAATTTGCAGGGTAACAGAAACGAAACTGAGCTGGAGGATTGAAGGGCGAGAAGAGGGGAGAACATAGGTACAGTTCAGAGACCGAGTCTCCTCGCTCCTCAGTCTTCTCCCCAGGCATGCTCGACAGTCCGCACCTTCCCAAGTTACATAATCTACGAATTTCAAGTTGCTACCAGTGACAGGAAATGGAAGGAGCTTCCATGTCATCATCGTTTGCCCTGGTCCCCGTAACCACATAATGTTAGTGGGGTAAGTATCCTAAGTACCCAAGATGCTGTGTCCAACTCTCGTCTATTCTTCCTCCTCCGGCTGATAAAGGCAGGCAAGGGTTGAGCTTCAAAGGTACTCGAGGAGATCACGGAAAGACGGTTGTCGGAACGAAGCAGCAGTAAGTGCAAATATACTCACTTGAGGACAGCTCGAAGAAAGTCGTCCCTGTTGTTCACGCTTCTCGTCACTATTAATACTATCTAATACTACTGTACATCAACCAACAACCGCGGACCTAATTACAATATCAATACTCGTCATCATTAACCCTAACCAAGAAGATTTCGTGGTTATGGTAGGAAGATCTCCCCTCCCATCATGTTGGGAGATAGGATGGATGTTCCTTCACCTTTCGTCTCGTGTCGTTTCCCATGTTGCCGAACCATCTAAGCCATCCCATCCGTTTACCCTATCCCATCTATTATATGTCATTAAGATCTCATCATCAATGTCTTTTCATCTCCATCATATTCAGTGACCGCACTCAATGCGTAACCGTCCTCACCGCCTGCAACAACACTCCAAACATCAGACCCCTCGCCACCTCCTCAATCTGCAAACAATCAAACAGCCGTCCCAACGCCTCCCCGGTAGCTGACTGTCCCATGACTCCCGACAGAGCAGCGGGAACTCCACTCTCAATCAACAGCTTCCTCGCCTTAACCCTCAACTTCTCCTTCTCCTCATCGCTCATCTCACCAGGCCATTGCGCCCGCTCCTCTTCAGTGGGGAGCGCGTTCTCCCTCAGTTTGCGCAAGTGTGCTGCGAGCCCGTCGTCTGAGGTGTTCGCATCCAAGACAGACGACTGGATGAGTGACTGGATCGAGGAGAGCGAGGGATTACCAGGACGAAGGAGGAACGACTTGGCAGCCGCGAGAAGCGTTCGACGGAAGTTCCAGGCTGAAGAGAGAGTATAGAGCTCGTTGATGACTGCGAACAGGAGCTCCACCGCCACGCGGGTTTCTTCCTCCGAGAGTTTGGGGTAGGATTTGAAGCCTTGAAGAGGGGCAGCGCCGGGCCCGGGACTACGGCTTTGGCTCCTGGAATGAGAACCGGAAAGGGAGGGCATAGTTAAGGAGCGGGCGTGTTGGGGTGAGTAGTCGTGCAGGCGGGAGCTGGGTGAGGGACTGACGGGAGAGTTCTGGTAGTTGTCTGGCATGATGTCGGGCGGAGGAGGAAGTCTGAGTGATTCGAGCGTGAGACTGAGTGATGATGGAGAACGAAGGGAAGGCGGCGCTCGGCTAGAGGCACGGCTTTGTTCGCGGCTGTCGCGCGCAGACGTCCTTCCGTAGCGTGCTGACTCTACCTCGGTGCGGTAGTCACAGCTAGTCCGACGGTCCATAGGGTCGACCTTGCTGGGTTGCGTAGAGATGATGGACGACCGTTGGCTGTCAATGCTTTCACGAATCCGATTCAGCGATGCACTACTGTCGGGTCTAGGGATCGTTGACATGGAGAGACGACTAGCCGCGGTCACGTCTTGGAGAGCAGACTGTGGTGCGCCAGACGCCGAATTTCCACTAGCAGATGAAGCTGCGTTCTTCTTGTGCCCGAGACCGATAGTCCCTAGAACACCGGTAAATCCGTCCACCAGGGCCTTGGAGCCTTCGAGAGGAGCACTGGTCATGGCGTCAAAGACGCCCTTTCCAATCTTCTCAAAAGCCTCAAATCCGGACTTTGGCCGAACGGGCATGTTGGCCGTATCCCTCTCAAGGAACTTCTTCATGCCCTCGCTCTCCGCCAGCGGTTTATAAGAGCAGGCGTCTTTTACGTAGCGTTCCAGCTCATCCCGGAGCGAATTTCTAGTAGCGCCCTTCCACTGTGGCAATGTTTTATGTTTGGTGTTGAACTCGGTAGCACCAGAGATGGCAGCAATGCGGCGCAAAATCTCGTGGAGCCGCTCAAAGTCGGGGTATTTGCGCACAATCATCCAACCTGGGTAGATCGAGGTGGCTGGTTCGATCTGTACGAGATAATCCCATGCAGGCTTCGAGCCGAGATTTCGGTCACCTGGCTCGTCCAGAATAGTAATGTTGGCGTTGTGCAATGTCAAAGGCGGTGGCTTGGGCCGTTCCTCTTCGATCGGGGTCTCTGCCCGCGCAGGAGGGACAATTTGGTCAAAGCTGGTAAATCGAGAGGGTACCTCATATTGGGATTGTGCCCCCCCGGTTGCCGGCGAGCTCTTTCCAGATAATGGCGATAGAGGTGTTTTGATAGCGTTGGAGGTGCCGCTAGATACATTGCTTGACGTTGAGCCCTTTGACTCGGACTCGGTACGGGCAGCGATCGGTTGCACGGCTAGTTGGTGCTCATCAGAACTGCGTTTGAAAGCATCGCCAAGCTGATCCGGCTCTTCCGCCACAACTGTTTGCTGTAAGGGCACTGACCCTGACTTGGCCATGATATCTTTGGCCTCCTTGTCGCGTTTTGATTCTTGTTCGGCAATCATCTGGTTGAGCTTTTTCATCTCTTCCATAAGTTCCACCTCTTCATCAGCTTTGCTGAGTTTCTTTTTGTGGGACATGGCGATGGATGACTTCCGGCGCACTTTTTCCGTCTCAAAAGAGTTCTTGTTTCCTCTGGTGAGACCAATGTTGCCCACGTTCCCGTCGAAATCAGCAAAGGTAGCATCAGCGGCAGCAGGACCAGTCTGCATACCCTCGTCAATAGCTTGGCTGAAGTCGGGTTCACCCTCCTCCAGCAAATAGACGATCCATGAATTGATCCATTCAGGTTTGCAGCAGTTCTGAAGCGTCATTTCAAGGACAACCCCAGCCAGGATCTCCCTCAAAAACACCCTGGCAGGATCACATTCGTAGGTGGGTTTATCCAAAAAGGCAAGCAGGTCTTCAGCAACCATTCTAAACTTGCCGGCCTGCTGCCTCTCGTTGAGCAGTTGGGCAAGGTTCGAGTCGGGGTTGGACCCAAGATAAGTGTACAAGGCATCGGCGGCCGAGACCTGGACGTCCGCGGGAAATTCGGCAAAGGCCTTGGTGAGCTCGGAGAGGAAGACAATGACGATGGAAGACGAATTTGTTAGGAAATCCAGAAAGGCGTCCGCTGGCCGTTTCCTTTTCAGGTGGTTGGAAATGGCGAGGATGAAAGAGGTCAAGGTCCTCTTGCAGGCCAGAGGGAAGAACTTGTCCGAGGGCACCAGCGGGGAGTACCACCACTTGACATAGCCGCTGATTACGGCGTCAATTATCTCATTGATGGCTTCACGGGTTTCGGGCTGGAAGTCTTCAAGGCGAAGGGCCAATGCGGCTTCTTGCTTGTCGGCGTCTTGTTCACTCTGGGTGACCTCGGCCTTGGTCTTGGTCTCCAATAACCTCGCAACAAGGTCCACGCCCCTTTCTCCCTTGAGGGCCCGAGCTACTTCGGTGTTGTGCTGCTCCCATTGTATGTAACCAACGATACCACCGAATGCTCCTATTAGAACAAGTCCGAGAGGACCTAGTACGAAGTATGTAACTGCGCCGAGGCCGACAGCCACTCCGCCGAGAGTCCCGGGGGTTGCGGTGGCCAGAAAGCGGAAAGCTTGTGTTGCGAGGTCCTCCTCCTTGTCGGTGGTTGTGGATGTTGTACCCGAGGCGGCCGAAGAGAATCCTCCACCGCCTTTCATCTCGTCATCGAAGTAGTCGTTGTCTGCTTTCGCTTGCGGAACGGGATCGGCGGTAACGGGGTCTTTAGTGGCGGGGGAGCTCATAGCATCATCGGGTATGGCGCCCGGAATAGGCGCATCTTGGTCGGTCATTAATATCGTTTGGTTGTTATACGTAGTACGTTAGAATCGGTCGGTAGGGCAGAAGAACAACTGAAGTGTTTTGGAAGAATCGTGGAATCGTTGTCGTCAGTTGTTGTTTCATGGGCGGGCACGGTCGCAAAGGCGGCGGCGGGAAACAACGGGAGGGAACAATGGATGGAAGTAGTCGTGGAGCTATGTACCAGTAGTAGGCAGTCGTTCGTTTTAGAGATGTATTTTGTGGAAAAGAAGAAGGACTGATCGCGCGGCGAAGCAGAGGTGATCGTGGTCAAAGTCGGGGCAAGGTCCGTGGGACAATCGTCAGAAAATAGAAACTGGGAAATGAGACGTCAATCATGTTGTGTTTCGAGAAGTCTGGTGCGAGCATCGTTCGTCTCTGTGGTGTCCCAGGCACCACCCGTGGTAACATTTTCAGGAGGATCTGCCCCGGATTCCAGGTTCATTGGGCCTGTTCTTCCCCGCCCCCCCAGGCCCCGTACTGAGCCTTCTGGCCGCCCAGGGTTTATTTTTTTTTTTGTTAGTGGTGCCCCTGTGTGGTGCTTTTGACAGCTGCCCAGAAAATGCAGACCCCTGTTGGTCCCACCCACCCCCCTTTTGGGTCCAGATTCTGCACAGTGCAAACAGTGCACAATTACAGGGCTGACTGCCAAGCGCCAAAGACTGGCGACTGGACAGTGACATCCGCTAGAGGTAGGTAACTTGCACTAACAGATACACTAACAATTACAACAGTGACTGATCCCTCTACACTACGAAGCTTCTCTTTCATTAGTTCACGTGCGGTCGCGTCGAAATCAAGAGAAGGGAGACCCCATCGACGTCACTCACTGTGTTTGCTGGCGCGTTGACTCTTCGTCTCGTGTTTTCCCAAGTCGCTGTCACAAATATCTCACTTTAAATTGGGCTACCCCAGTGCTCCGCTCTTTTCCATTCCACTCATTCAAGGAACTCATCAACAACGAGCTTACTACGTCTCAACCATCAACACAAGATGCCTCCCAAGAGAAGACAAGCCGAGGACACCAGCGATGCTGAGCCTCAGTACACCAAGAAGTCCAAGGGCAACACAGGAAAAGCTCAACCCCAGGAGCTTACCAAGGGATCCGACCAGGATGGCAACACCTTCTGGGAGGTTCGTTCACCCAGTAACAACCTTGATACTGTATATGAGCTCAAGCTGACATCTTCAACAGCTTGGAAACAACCGCCGAATTAGTTCTTCGGTGTTCAGAAATACTACCCTGGTCAATATCCGGGAATACTACGATGCTGGTGGCAAGCTGATGCCAGGCAAGAAGGTGAGCTATTCCCATCACTCATCCCTCGCACTTACCAGTCGACTAACACACATACCAGGGCATCTCCCTCTCACTTGCCCAGTATCAGAACCTCCTCAAAGTCATTCCCCAGCTGAACGCTGATCTCCGTGCCCAAGGCCACGCCATTGAGGACCCAGATTTTGCCCAGGTGGCCGAGCAGACCGACGCCCCCGTCGAGACGCCCAAGGTCAAGGCGCTGGAGTCCAAGACGGAGAGCATCAAGAAGGAGAAGAAGAAGCCCCGCAAGTCCAACATTGACGTTACCAGCGACGAAGAGGAAGCTGCCGAGGACGAGGACGACGACGAGTAGAGCAGATCGGTCCGCCAAGCCAAACATCTTTGGGCGTCGCAGAAATGGTGATGCTGGGGCGAGAGGAAAATCCGTTACCGGCCAATCGAATCTCTCTCTTATGCGGGCGCAGTGCAGATACCCCCCTTCTCTACGGTTTTCCAGGTGGCCAGGCATCTTTGGTGATATTTTGTCTCGTCAATGGCGTATGAGCTTTGCTTTGTTTCGGGGTAGCGTTTCACTGGCAATTTAGCTTGTTTGGAGAAATCAGGCGGGGCGTTTGGTTCTGGATTGTTGTGGATTGGGACCATGGGGCAAGCTGCCAATATGGTCGGTCTGAGTATGACTTCTACGACGTGTTAGGCTTATGAGGGAGTACTTAGGGAAACGGCGTTGTCGGCTTATATCAAAGGTTTCATCGGTTCTTGAGAATGTCTCACGACATACACAAGGCGTATCCCCAAGAGGGTTCTGTCAGGTAACAAAGGCCATTCAGAAAAGAAAAGTTCATTCCATGAAACAAACCAACACACCTCTTGTATTCCATTGCCATTACCTTTCCCAAGCCTCTTAATTTCCATCCCACAGCTCATAACTTCATCTCTCTATTACGCATCACTCCTCCATCTCGCCATCCCCCTCTTTCTCCCCCTTCGCCTCCTTCTGCCGAGCCCGCAAAGCCTCCCACTCCCCCTCCAACATGCTAAACCTCAGCATATCCCACCACTTCCTCTCATACAACACCGCCTCCCTCTCCCTCCCCTCCTCCACGAACCCCAAGTTCCTATACAGCCTACACGCCCTCTCATTATACTCAAACGCCGCCAACCAAATCCGATGCAACCCCAACCTCCCAAACCCATAATCCAAAACCCAATCCACCGCCTCCCCTCCATACCCTTTACCCCTCCACTCCGCCCCGATCCCCACGCCAATCATGGCATTCCGATGATGTAGTTCCTCGGTACCCATAGGCGGCATGAGCGTCACCACCCCAATCGGCGTCGGCCCGGGGCGCGGGAATTCCGTCTTTAGTTTCTCTACATCCAAGGTTGCCGTCAACCCCAATTTTTCGGCCTTTTCTTGGATGAGGGATTCCCACTGGGCAATGTCGGAGTCGGAGGGCGGCAGGCAGATGAAGACGCGGATGTGGAGCGTGTGGGCGTGTTCGTAGAGACGCTGGACATAGGCGAGGGGTTGTGGGTTGAGAGGCCGGAGGGAGGCCATGGCGATGGAGGTGGGGTCGTTGTCGAAGAAGGTCCAGAGGGTGTGCCGGTCGACGGGGTTGTCTTCGATGGCGCGGTAGATGAGGCGGGGGGAACGCCAGGCGTTGGTGAGGGTGGGGGAGTAGTGGGTGGTGGACATTTTGGTATATTGGTTTTGGTTTTTGTTGGGGTAGGGGTTGATAGGTTCAAGCTGGATGGAGTTGGGTTGAACGTCGAGAGGGTGATCGAAGAAAATGAAGGAGCCAGAAGGAAAGGTGATGAGTTGGATGTTGATATGTTGGATGATGAACCGAGGTAAAGACTAGAGTAGAGTCAATATCGGTGTTATCTGGTGGTCGTGTGTGTGTTGTGTTGTATCCCGTCTTACATCAACTTCTAGCTCTTTTCTCAACTAGGAAGGTAAGATATGTGATGTCAGATTTCGCAAGTTCAAGGACAACTTGGACTCTGGGTGACGAATCTCGATGGTAAACCAAGCTCCTGGGACATGATCTTCTCTTCCTCTTTTTATATCCTGGGATCGTGACTTGGGAGTGAGTCAGCAACACCGTCTCCCCTCTTCCCTCTTCCTGTCCGTTTTCTCATCCATCTCCGAGGCATACCTCCATGTTCGTGGCTAGCTATACCGTCGCTTACCACCCCCTTCCGGTTCATCCACCGAGATCCACGGCTGGATGCCAAGACCTCCCACACGAAATGGGGGAGGGTCACAATCGCCGACCGATTTTGCGTGGGAATCGGTGTGAGTCGTACGGAATATGTAGTAAAAGGTCGAGAGGGCGGGTTGCGGCTGGGCTACCCTTGCTACCTCTGAACTCTAAAGTTTGAAAGCTTACCTCTAGCATTGTGTTATAGTGGAGTGATAAAGAACAATGCTACACTGCGGTTCTTCTTGTTTTGTCTTGTTTGGTTGGCTGATTTTAGGCTATACTTTGATATTTTACACTACCTGCTACGCATATCTATCATGAGCTTCGTCATGGGTTTGATACTTGCCCTAGAAAGAGGCGGATTTTCGCCAATGGCATGTGTTTCACGGTAAATAGTGTAGCTGAACGGGAATTCTCATTTTTAGCAGAGACGGTAGAGGTGAATTGCAAATGGGAAAACACAAAGTTGGAACTGTTTAGCGAAGCGAGCCACCACGATTGTAAAAAGGCCCAGCGTTGAAATGGATCCCAAGATGCACTGGTAAGTGATGCTTCAATCCCTTTGTTCGTGGATGAGGGGGTGGCTGTGGCTTGTTGGCGATTTCGAAATACTTGCTTGTGATAGCAAGAACAATGGGTGCGTAATTAGCACAGATACCTAGGCATTGTTTCAATTACATCCCATCACACTTGACGATGACGATCTGTCAGTTCTTCAGCTGCATCCAGGATGACAACACTCAGGGAGAACTACCCGAGGAGTCATCGCCGTCTGGACCGGCTAGTCTAGAGCAGCGTCCCATCGGTCCATTTAAGGCAGGTGATGCCGCATCTCGCACTACTGCCCCTGGATTTAGAAGGCTGACGCTGTAATTGGCCACTGGCTGACGGGGATGACTTCCTGTGCAGTTTGTGGTCACGCCGGCGGCGAGCCGCTTTCAGATCGGCCACTGCCGTCACGCTTACCATTCGGCGTCCGGAGCTTAACCCCTTGTGGAACGCCAGGCCGGTATCATTGAACGGGGCTTTTGTAGTGTACGAGCCACGTTCGGTGGTTATTGTGCGTCAACCAGCCCGGTACGTAATGGCTGGCAGAATGATAAAAGCTCACCTAGACTCTCAATCGGGGGAGCTCCGAAACCTTGCAGCTCAATGGCAAGAAGCTATGTACCGGTTGCGGTAACGAGCTCTTGGTCGCGGTCTTGGGGATCGCGTTACCAATGCACAACTGTCGTTGCAATTGTGTGCGTTATCCCGGAGGGAGCTCCGGTCATTCTTGGTGCCGCCACGAGGTTCCTTTAGCATTGTGAGTATGTAGGGTGCAACACACGATTTATTCCCTTGGTATCATATAGTAAGAACAGACCCGGCCATCCATCCATCCATCCCACCTATCCCTCTCTCCTGACTGAAGCCACTCCTTTTCTCCAGCCGAGGCAAGTTCTTTAAGCAGACCCGGTAAATGACCAACCCAAAAGATACACACACTTCAAGAGACCAATGCCGTCTCGAGAAAAAAAATAAAGAATGTACAGACATCTGATCACTCCCTTTCTCCCGCCAAAGCAAGTTTTTCAAGCAAGCCCGGTAAATGACCAACCCAAAAGATACAGACTCAGAAAGACCAATGGAAAAAGGCAAGGAATGTACAGAGATCTAGAGAAGGAAAAGTACAACCGCTGAAAAAAAAAAAAAAAAAATCAAAGATCATCGAATCAAGACTCGCTCGATCGATCCTTGATAGCCTTCTTTGTAGATTTTGCCGTTCCGATATGGGTATTATGCACCTGCAGTATCACCATCATGTTAGCACCATGTCGTACCACACCGCTGTGCCACACATTTTCCCCGGGAACGGGCTGCAATGACTTACCTTGGTAGCAAACCTCAAGCTGGTAATCGTCTCCTTCAAGTGCGCCTCCAACGGGCTCACCATAACGAACATCAACGTCTTCGAGTTTCCTCCCAGCGAGTACTGCAGCAGATGAGTCAACTTAGAGTTCCTGTACGGCACGTGTGACGACCCTCTGCCCAGCGCCTCGATGACATCTCCCAAGCACGCCAAGCTCTTGTTGATGCTCTGCGTCTCCCTCATTCTCTCCCCTTCAGCCTGCGAATGCTTCAACCGCTCAGAACCCGCCAGGTCGACCAGGTTCAGCGTACCCTCGCACCGCTCATTCGTGACGGAGTTCTCGCCCACAAGCTTGAGGATGAAGACGGAGTGGGAGCGCGAGGACCGCTCGTTGGCCTTGGTGGCGGCCACGCTGCGGTTGTTTTGCGCCTGCTTGAGCATCATCTCCACCTTGTCGGCCGAGTCAAGGGCAACGGTCTTGCAGTTGAGTACCGTTGTCTGCTTGCGGACATCGTCGTGGCGGATCTCGAGTTTCTTCTTGCTGTTATTGCTGCCGTCGAGCAGATCGTTCAACTCTTCGTTGTATACCTCGACGAAACTGCCCTCCATGGTGTACGTCCACGACTTCTCTCTAAGTTTCGTAATGGTATCATAAATCATGTGAGTGGCTCGCGGGATCATGCCATCTGGAGACGACATGGTGTACGTCTTGCCAGAACCGGTTTGGCCGTAGCAAAAGATACACACGTTGTAGCCGTCCAAAGCGCTCTGTACCAGCTGAGAGATCTCGTCGAAGATTTCCTCGTTGTGGACTGACGGAGCAAAGACTCGGTCGAATTCGAAGGGGAGCACCTTGCGGTTGATGTTTCCAAAGCTACTCTTTTCCTCGAGCCCGGTCACTTCAATCTGCGCGGACGACGTTTTGGCATCGGGGAACATAATCTTGGCCTCGTTGCCTTCGGATTTGCCGAGTGCAGGACGGACTCTGCACATGACCCGGATATTGCCTTTAAGCTCCTGGTACTTGTTGAACAATATCCGCCTCTCCGTCTCCTCCTTGATGAGCTTCTGTTTGGCGTTCTCCGCGATTTCCAGGGCCTCCCGAAGCCGTGCCTCCATCTGTGCAAACGAATCCGACTGTTGCTTGCTATCAGATTCAAGGAAGTCAATCTGCGCCCGAAGTCCTTGGTTCCGGGCTTCCAGTTTCCCATTTGTTGTCGCCATCTCGTTGATCTGTTCCTGCAACGCCCTTTTGTTCTTTTGCTCTTGGCTCAGTTCTGACCGCAGATCGTCCAGTTGAGATTGCAGTTGCCGTAGTTCTCGTTCTTTCTCCAAGAGCGATTTGTTGATATCCTGCTGTTCTGCCCCAAGCTTCAGCCGCAAGTCTTGGACCTCCTTTGCCGCCTTTGCCTTTTCACCCTCCAGATCTGCCCGACATTGCCTCTCAAAAGCGTCCTTTTCCTCGCGGTTGATTCGCTGCAGTCGTTCGCTTTCCTGTTTCAACTTTCTCTGTAATTCTTGGACTTCGTGTTCATGCTCTCTTGACTTGTTCTGAAGTTGATATTCATGGTCCATCTTCTGTCTTTCCAGTGTGAGGGTCAGTTGTTGGAACTGTTGTCGCAACGCATCCATCTCCTTCTGCAGCAGTTCGTTTCTCTCGTTCAGTTTTTGTCGTTCCGTCTCGAGCGTGTCCACTAGTAGGTGTCAGTCAGCCTGGCATGTTTGTATACTCGCTGCCACGTACCTTGATTCTTTGCCATCTGAACGGCCGTTTCCATGGCCTTCTTGTCTTGCAAGGATATGCTGAAAGCCTCCTTCATCACCTTCCATTCCGCATCAACCTCGTTGAGCCGCTCGTCGACGTCAATGCCTGTGAATGCGGTGTTATTAGAATCCTTGGTGAGAAAAGAAAGCTTGACAGGTGAAACGGATTTTCGGGTCGAGGCAGTTTTGTGAGCGGAGACGACGGCAGAGTTGAGAATGACCTCGAAACGCTCCATAGCCGCACGGGGGTCTTCCAATCTTGACTTTGCCTTAGGGGTCTCCGGGTACGCCGTTGTCGACTGTTGGAGAGAGGACTTGCGTCGTGCGGGTACGGCTCCTTCGGTTCTTCGTCTGGGTCTAGCAGGCTCCGCCTTGGCATCCGACTAAGACGCCTGGGAGGCGGGCTGCGAAGTCTTTCGAGGCGTCACTTGACTCCCGCTGGGGATGTTCTCCGTTTCATCACAGATCGACAAGTCCTGCAGGCGCCTACTCAGACCCGAAATAGTCCTTCCCTTCTCTTGCTCTTTACCCGACGTTGAAGATCGTGGTGAAGGAGATCCCCGTGTCTTCTTAGGCTTGACTTTGGGTCCGGGGACGGGTATAGAAGATAGAAATTCCGTACCATTGGGCGGCTGGGTAGGCGCCGGCTGTGTATGCGCTCCGCTAAGGTCTTTCGAAGGTCCATGGCTGCTCATCGATGTCGCTGGTCGTGGCTTGGAAATGGATCGTGATCGGTTCGTGGACTGGGTGAAGCTGGGTTGTCGCAACCCTGTTACAGGTGGTCGGCTTGAAGGACCTAGACTCTTTGTGAAGCTGGATGGGTTTGTCGAGGAGTAGGTTGGCCGATGACCGGTCGCCGAGCTTGCGCGCGGGAGCGCTGTTGCCGTCGTTTTGTTCGCATTTCGGGCCTAGAGAGATATCAAGTCAGAACTGACCTAAGCCATATCGATGCGCTTAACTGATTCCACAGTGGCCATCCTTCGAAAGCACCGGAAACGGTATGTCACGCGGTTGTACGGGATTTGTGTTATGGAAGGTGGCCGGGCTTGTCGTTAAGGATCAATTTGAAGACAGCAAACAAGACTTAAAATGTATGGTGCTGATGGGCGGAGGTTGGACCTACATTAGCCAACTGAACGAT